TGACGTCACATGAAGATTTTAAAGGAATTATAAGTCCGTTAGTCAAAAAAAAAAAGTCTCCGGTTTCTGGTATGGAGCTTGCCCCAAAAGTGGTGCGGCGACGCGGCTTTTTTTTTTTTACCTGTTTTTTTTTTTTTTAGGCTTCAAATGTCGGCTGATGACTGCAAATGGTGCCCGACTAAACTTAGTGCAAATATATGGGAGTCCAGAGAGGCCACATAAAGCTTATTCTCGATCATAACCCCATCTAAAAACACGTTAAAATTGTGAAGCAGCAGGATTCCAGTCAAACCAGTGAGTTTGGCGGTTTTGAGACATCATCTTGTATTGAAAAAAAAACCTTTTCATTTTGCCGACGCGCATGGCTACGGCTACGCGCGCGCATACCAGAAACCGGATACTTTTTTGTTTGGCCTTAACGAATTTAAAGAAAGTGCTTGTTTGTTATTGCAGGCCTTTACATAGTTTTAAAAAAGTGACGTGGTTTTGAATGGCCGTTTCGGGTCAGAAATTGCGCACACTATTCAGAAAGAAAATTAGGAGCACCCGGCTCATAATTCGAAAGTTGAAATTAGTAAATTGATTACTTGTCGTGGGCCGATTACACTGTGCGATGTCTCTCCTTTGAAAGGTCATAACCATTAGATAATGCTAGAAAATTATCAATTCGATTTGAAAATCGATTTTTCAACTTGAAGGTGCCACACCCCAAATGCACGTACACCACTTTTACTTCGCATGGAAGTAAGATGCCAATGCGCAGTTTCTTCTTACGGTACCGGTGTAGCGTGAATATCCGACTCCATGAAATATGGACTCATTGGTAGTACTGCGCATGCGTAAGTACATAATATGCTATATTTTTAGTATCATAATAGACCGGCAGCCCAGAGCATTTTGATCAAACGAACGAGGTACCAATATCCGAGCACAGAAACATTTATTGTGTAACCTAACATATTCAGATATGGGTGTCTGCCGGGAACCCCCTGCTGCATGTGGCCCATGGGGCCCAAAAGAAGGGGGCAAATAATGGGCTGGATCAAACATTCGAGGTACCACATAAAACCAAGTTTAAATGAACAATTACACCCTACTACGTATAAAATATCCATTGCCAGACAAATTGTCTGCTGCATAGGGCCCGCCAGACACATCCAAAGTGGATGGAGGAGGGGCGTGGCCGTCACCCCCTTCCTCTTCATTTTCGCTGATACGGTTACAACGTGATGATTACAAAAAAAATGAAACTAGTTTATATTGATGCCTTAGCACTTGTAGAAAATGCAAATGTAACTGAAGAGTGATTTCAGGTCAGGCTAATTAGTTTAAGAGTGGGGCAGAAAGCGCGAAGGGGGGCGTGGCCGCCACCCCCTCCGTGTACATTTCGGCTTACATCTTCGCAATGCAATTTTTAAATAATGCCAAATTTCTCTGACAGGTGTGCTGATGTCTTGCAGTTATTTTGACACCAGTTGTATGAAATTAGGGCATGTCTTCGTCAACAAGTGTTCATTTTCCAGAACAGGTAGGCGTAAGTTAACTTTTCCCATTGAAAATGTACACGTATGCACATATGCATGGAAGTGCACTTGAGAGTGGCTCAGGCTAACAGATCGAATTAAAACTTCCCAGATGCATTACAAATTTAAGAGTATGAAAGTAAAACCATGTTTTATTGGTGCCTTGGTAGTTTTAGAAAATTACATCGTAAGAATGATTTCAGGTTAGACAAAATTAACTTAAGAAAAGAGTGGAGGGGGCGTGGCCGCCACCCCCTCCATGTGCATTTTCGTCCATATCGTCACAATGTGCTTGTTTTTAATCCTGCCAAGTTTCTCTGACATATTTACTGATGTATTTCAGTTGCTTTGAAACCAATATTATGAAAATAGAGCACACCTTCGTCGCCAAACATCCGTTTTCTAAAACAGGGAAGCCTAATGTTAACTTCTCCATGATCATGTTTAATGTCTATGACAGTGCGCATGAGAGTGCCGACGTTAGATGACCATGGCAACTAAATATTTTTAGAGGTTCAATTGAAAGTTCACATATGTACTTCAGATGTCCGGTGGTGTTTTTTTTTTATCTAAGTACCGGTAATTACATTGAAACACACAGGACTAGCAGGAGATGACTAGTCATAGAACAGTAACGGCTTTGTGGATTGGGCTGAAGATGGAATTGAATCTTAATGGGCAGCAGTGCAGGGCGGTTAAGGTCAAATATTTTGTACAAAATTGAGCACATGTTAACACATTTTTCAATGGAATATATAGCAGTATTCACTATTACACCAGTTGTATCCATATCGACTTGGGTAAACCACGTTGTAACTCTTTATCAATCCAACTGGTCACCGTCAGAGTGCGACGTTTGTCCGATGTGCCTGTTGTAAATATTCATTTGCACCTGCTTCGGCATTAAAAAAAAAGGGGGGGGGATGGAGACCAGAGGATGTGAGAAAATTATCTCTGGGGTCTAAATTCTTAACAAGAAAAAGGTCGCATTTTGAAGTAAAGTGGGTATACAAAGTTCACTCGGTGACATATTAAAGGTCACCAGAGGTCAGACATGAACTGTCCATATAGCCTATGTGGAAATTCATATCATGGCAAGAAGACTAGAAGTTTAGATGTGGGTCGTGAAAAAGTAGGGTTTACTTAGTTAATACATAGTCTACCTGATGTTCCCCAATACCGATGTTTCCCGAGATCCTTAGGATGGAGGGTTAAGGTTAGGCGTAGGGTTAAGGTTAGGGTTAGGATAAGGGTTAGGGTTATGGGGTAAGGATTTCGGGGAACATTGGTATTGGGGAACATCGGTATTGGGGAACAGAAGTATGCACCTGCTCCATGGTTAATATCACCATTGAGGTTTCTCTACCCTCATGATATCACCAAAAACCTTGGGCATTTGAACATTGATCTCTTGAAGCACACCAGAGGTCAGAGATGGAATGCCCTGCACGAAAATTCTTTTCATAGCATAAACACCTGCAATTAGAATTGGGTTCTGAAAAAATGGCCTAAGTTAATTACTTGTAGTTGTCGAATAAATAGCCTATAAATGTACACAAAAGCCATGACCTCTGCCAATTATGAATTTTTCCATATCGGATCATTACTTATATAGAACTTAAATTGTATATATATTGTATATACAAATTGTTTGATCTCAAAGTAAACAACTATTTAAGATGTTTGACTTTAACAGTCGATACTGCTCAATAAGATTCAATTCCATCTTCAGACTCAAGTCCCAAAACCACTTTGACTAGTCATCTGCTACCTGTGTGTTGTAATTACTTATAAGAGGACCACTTGACATCTGTAGTGTAAGTTTTAACTCAACCTTTTGTACTGCATAGCAAACATGTCAGAGAAACTTGGTACGATCAAAACATGCATTGTGACAATATACAAATGTAGGCACAAATGCACTGGAGGGGGTGGCGACCAACTCTTTTTGCACCACTCTTTAAGTTAATTTGTCTACTCTAAAACCGGCACATTGTAATTTTCTAAAACTACCAATTAATTAACAAAAACTGGTTATATTTTCGTACTCATAACTTTTATGCATCTGGGAAGTTTCAAATGAATTCGATCTGCCACTCTCATGCGCACTACCGGTACCATGCACATGTGCATGTGTGTACATTATCAATGGGAACAGTTGTTCAATTATGAATGGGAGCTCTGTTTTCATGCTTTCAAAACAACTAAAATACATCAGTAAACATGTCAGAGGAACTCGGCGCCATTAAAAACAAACACATTGTGACGATATAGACGAAAATACACATGGAGGGGGTGGCGGCCACGCCCCCTCCATTCTTTTCTTAAGTTAATTTGTCTAAAAATCATTATTAAGAAGGAATTTTCTAAAACTACCAAGGCACCAATAAAACATGGGTTTATTTTCATACTCTTAAATTTTTAATGCATCTGGGAAGTTTCAATTTGATCTGTTAGTAGCCACTCTCATGTGCACTTCCGTGCATATGTGCACACGTGTACATTATCAATGGGAAATGTTACATTAGGCCTACCTGTTCTGGAAAATGAACATTTGTTAAAGAAGGTATGCCCTAATGGCATACAACTGGTGTCAAAATAACTGCAAGACATTAGCACACCTGTCAGAGAAATTTGGCATTATTTAAAAATTGCATTGCAAAGATGTAAGCCGAAATGTACACGGAGGGGGTGGCGGCCACGCCCCCCTTCGCGCTTTCTGCCCCACTCTTAAACTAATTAGCCTGACCTGAAATCACTCTTCAGTTACATTTGCATTTTCTACAAGTGCTAAGGCATCAATATAAACTAGTTTCAATTTTTTTGTAATCATCACGTTGTAACCGTATCAGCGAAAATGAAAAGGAGGGGTGACGGCCACGCCCCTCCTCCATCCACTTTGGATGTGTCTGGCGGGCCCTATGCAGCAGACAATTTGTCTGGCAATGGATATTTTATACCTAGTAGGGTGTAATTGTTCATTTAAACTTGGTTTTATGTGGAACCTCGAATGTTTGATCCAGCCCATTATTTGCCCCCTTCTTTTGGGCCCCAGGGGCCACATGCAGCAGGGGGTTCCCGGCAGACATCCATATCTGAATATGTTAGGTTACACAATAAATGTTTATGTGCTCGGATATTGGTACCTCGTTCGTTTGATCAAAATGCTCTGGGCTGCCGGTCTATAATGGGAGCATGGGCGTCGGTACAGCTCGAATTTTTGCTAATCTTCAAAACATGCGTAGTAGACATATCAAAGATTAAAAACATAACAGAAAAATTGAAAATCAGAAGAAAAAAAATCGTCTCTAGTTATTTTTCCCACCATTGTTCTCCACTATTGCCTTTGCCCAGAACGGTTTTGGTCGGTAGGGCCTACGTCAAGTGCAATGACAATATTTTTCGTTTCTTGATCTTCGGCCTCTACGCTGAACAAGGGCGCCCTCCATTCTGAAATCCCGGAAGGTATAATCCACTAAGCATTACGTCATTTCTTTTTTCTAAACAAAGACAGCATTGGGGGTGTAACTTGGCGGAATGATGGGGTGAATCAAGCTTGTTCTAAGCCCGTAACTATTGGTTTTTTATTCCTCAGTTTCTTTTGGTTCAGTGTTTTTGGTCTGTAAGTAATGTCCATGCTGTGTGAGCGCGATACCAACCACAATACGGAGGCAGATAATGTGAATGCGATTGTTGACGATTGGCGAAATGGAGCAATGCAAGTCTTCGGTGCCACAACACGGTTTGTGTAGGCCATTGGTTTTGTAATAATATAATATTAATAACGCAGTGGCTATCGTTACGGCAGCCGTAACGTATTTCGGAAAAAATTCCGTACTCGGACGTCACTTTTTTCAATTATTTTTCTAGCGCCAAAAGTTACATCTTTTTTATGGTTATTCCTCCAATTTCCCTCCTTAATTTCTATTTATTAATCAGTCAGTTACTTCATCGGGATTCGAACCTCTGACGCTTGCTTGATATACACGAGACTCTTAACCGCTAGGCCGTGCACGATCGCTGTTGCAATAATCAATCTTTGGACGTATTTGAAGTATCCATTGAAATAAACTAAATATTCATGAGAAAATAAATATTCATAATGACGTATTGCACTATCATTGGCAGGCTCATGCGACGTCATGGTTGTTGATGTCAAGTGTATAACGTACCGCTGTCTTTTAGCCACTACAATCAGTTTTGACCGGCTGCTTCAAGTTAGTTCTGCACGACGTATGCATCCAAAATGTGCTCTAAAAACACATTTTGAGTAAATTTTTTTCACCTTAACACAGCTTCCTGGATTTCTCTTGGTTCAAATGACAAGGTGAGGTGACAATTAATATGTTTGGCAGCAGATAAATTGACGTCCGAGTATGGAACTTTTCCCGTGAATTTGAACGTTATGAAATTCGGACTTTATTTCCCTTTTGAAAAACATCCTCCAAAGCCTCGGGTTAGAAAAGGAAAAAAATTCGAGTGCAAAACTGAGATGCGAACCTGCAACCTCGCGGTGCAAAATCCTACCCTCTATCGACTGAGCTGTCGCACTGCTCGCTAAAACGTGGGGAAACAAATAATTATATACCTGCGTGCATATCAAAAAAGTATCGTAGAGGGCGCTAAACAATGGCTGCCATAACGATAGCCACTTCGTATTAATAAACAGTGCTATTTTAATAGTAGTAACTGTTTATCATTTAGAAGGCACCCGTGTGCAGAGTTAAAGTTGGGAAAGAATGTTGAAACCTGACGCTACTTTTTTTTTCTGAAATAAATCATATCAATTATCATCTCAATAACATAAATAAAGGTCAGTCATTGTGGAAATGTTGAAAAGACGTTTGTTTCTCATCAGTCCCAGATTAATCTGGGACTGAGAAACATTTCCAATTTTGTTGGCAAATATTTAGAAAATTGGGAAAAAATGTTGCAACCTTACGCCACTTCTGCGATAGTGTACAAAGTCTACGGAGAGTCAAGAAGTATTTCCTTGGAAATGTTTCTCAGTCCCAGATTCATGTCTTATCATCATTGTTGCAATGAATGACCTTTATTGAGATGATATATGAAGAAAGAGGTGTCGTCAGGTTGCAACATTTTTTCCGAAAATTGTCTTGACTCTCCATTCGACTTGTACACAACTGCTGAAGAGCCATCTAAATGTCGGTCGCGTTCGGGTGATGTGGACAATCAGTCGATCATGACACTATCATGACACTAGTCGAACACCTTTTCTTTCTAATTCACAACTCTGGATTTTTTTTTTTTAAATGTTAGTAAAGCCCGAGATATCCTACAGAATTGATCGATCGCGCAGATCGACCGATTGCACCCAACACGGATACTTCATTTTTTGCCGACTTTAGTCTTAAAGGTTCCCAATTTATAGTATACAATCAGTTCCAACTTCAGTATTGCACTTGAGCAGGCCAAACCATAGTTGGTATGGGCGGGACGTGTGGAACAAAACCAAAATAATTATGTAACTAAATACAAGTTAGTTTCACTGGTACTTTTCAGCATGTTTGACCAATGTGTACATAAGGCCAAAAAAAAGTCTCCGTAGCCATGCGCGTCGGCAAAGTGAAAAAGTTTTTTTTTCAATGAAAGATGATGTCTCAAAACCGCCAAACTCACTGGTTTGACTGGAATCCTGCTGCTGCACAATTTTAACGTGTTTTTAGATTGGGTTATGGTCGAGAATAAGCTTTATGTGGCCTCTCTGGACTCCCATATATTTGCACTAAGTTTAGTCGGGCACCATTTGCAGTCATCAGCCGAAATTTGAAGCAAAAAAATCAGGTAAAAAAAAAAAAAAGCCGCGTTGCCGCACCACTTTTTGGGCAAGCTCCATACCAGAAACCGGAGACTTTTTTGGGGGGGCCTAAGGCATGGTTCTAAGGACGCCCTCTAACTATAGTTGGGACCAACTGTATATAGTTGGGGCAAAATTACGCTACGATTACTGATTGATGTACGTGTCCTGATTGTTCTTGTTTCACAATCATCCACAGACGCTACTTGGAAGTTTTTGAGGAATTTGATCGTGGAAACAACAAACTGGACAGACAGAATCTACGACAGGCCCTGAATCACATGAAGATATTTCCAACCAGATCCCAAAGTTTGTAGAATTTTATGATATTTCAGGTAGACAATATTTTTTGTGTGAAATTTGCACCAGCCATTTTATTGTTTATGTCAATTGAATTTTTCTTAAGGTTCCCTAAAGATCATATGTCACATGATAAATCATTTATATTCTTCAAAAAAATTGATGATTTGTCCACTAGCATTGACTAGTAAGCCTCAAATCTACATATAACACACTTATTCAAAAACTTTGTTTTCAGTGTTTTATACACTTTGTCTTTGTATACAAGCCGACTAAATTTGCTGGAAATGACATTTCGTTTAAATAAGGAAGTTTATTTTTCCATAGTCAAGGAGTTGTGGTGTCCATAAAGTGAATCATAGCTGCATGAAGACATTTTGGATGAAAACTTTTCGATGAAAAAATTACTGAAACTCCTCAATCCGTTCGAAGAATATCACATTAAATATTAAATGCAACGACCCTAAAACCTGTTTTGTCAACAACAACAACAACAAAAATTTATTGAGTATTCTTACTGTTTGTGGAACAACTAAGAAAATAACATAGAATACTTAACAACTGTAGTGCACGATATCTTTATTAACAACCCTGGTTAGGCAAACAAAAGGATTCATAAAAATCCACTTTTTGGAAAGACGGGCCTTCAAAAGACTTTATTGAATATTTTTAACTTTTAAACTGAGGTTTTATCGCTGCTGATGTTTGAAGACAATTGTGACAACGCATTTTTGGACCAAAGAGGTTTTAGGGTCATTGTGTTTAATGGTGATATTCTTTGAACGGATTTAGCAATTTTGGTAATTTCTTCATCTAAAAGTAGCTTATGAAATTGGCTTTCCAGTCATTATTATTTTTGGTACTACATATTTTGTCAAATATGAAATATAATTTAGGGGGTTTGGGTTCCACTTTTTTTGAACACCCTGTATAACAAAACAATTCTTGACTGCTGTGATGTGAGATATGCCGTTTTTGACCCCCTCGGGTGCATAGCACCCTTGGTTTCGCCTCGGGTGTTAAAAATGGCATGTCCCACATCACAGCAGTCAACAATTAGTAAACATGTCATGGGTTGTATATTCGTCATTGCACGTTACTAAACATGCCTGAGTATTTAAGACTTCATGAGAATTGTTAACATCTTTTGTTCTCTTTTTTTTTTATTGTTGACAGTTTATTCCATGCTGAAATGTGGGAGTGAGTGCTCGGAGAGAGATACCGACGATTTCATTACTTTTGGGGAGTTCTGCGTCTTTGCCTCAGACCTAGAGGAACATTATGAAAAATCCAGGTACTTGACTGTTACTATTTAAGTTATATTGCATTTTCAGTAAAAAATGTCCTTCCAGTAATTAAACCCAGCTGACACTGCATTATGGGGAAGTTTGACCAATTTGTGGGGACTTTCTGCTGTCCCCATAGTGTCTTTGGTCCCCACAATAACTATCACTCAACAGATTTGTAGTCTCTATATGCACAATTATGGAACAAGGGCGGATCCAGGGGGGCCTAAGGGGGCCATGCCCCCCCCCCCCCCCAAAAAGAACCCAATTTTTTTTTAGATGACTTTGTAACAAAGGCAGGCAATGAGTACACTTCCATCTTCTCCTCAACAAACATTGGTTAAAGTGGTCAGAAATTGCCTCAGATCGCACAACAAAGCTTCTAGAATCAGAAAAAAAATTTTGGCCCCCCCCCCAAAAAATTGTGCTCTGGATCCGCCCTTGTTATGGAACAAGGTTGTTTGTACATTCATGGGCGTTGCCAGAACGGGGGGGGGGGTTGACAACTTAATTGCCAACATACCACTCGGGGCTAAAAGGTATAGCCAGGTATTTTGTCCACATCACCAAGCTGCAACATTTGACTTATGGGGATGCTTCAAACAGATCGGACGGACCAATGTTGGGTAACGGGTGGCACTATTCTTGCAGCTTTGCAGGTTTTTTTAGGTCAACTTTCACGCTTTATAAAGGGTGTATCAACAATATGAACCAAATCCAGCTCTGGAACTGTTGCAGTCAGACCTGAGAATTCCAAGCTTAGTCTCACCTCAAGATTCCAAAGACTGGATTTGATTTATCTTGTTCATGCACCCTCTGTACATGTAGCTCCTATGACTGGACCGTACTTGCTATCCAAATCCAGTCTTGGAACAAGACTACCTTCCTGTAAGAACACAATGCTGGAGTACTGAGGCCCTTACACTCGTTTGCTGAGGTGCACCCCTGCACCTACATGCATGGATTCCCCTGATAATGTACAATTCATTTATTTTGCCCCATTGATCCACAGTGCCTTAAATCATTCCTGTGAGATTCCTAATGCAGCTGATCCGCGATTTCACCACAGCACAACTCAGCGACCGCGATCTTCATCGTCCATACCCAAATTCAAAGGTAAACAGTCTTTTAAACTCTTTTCATACTGTGAGTTGAGAAAGTGGCTCATTACATGTATAGGGCTGTGTATCGGAACCAGTTACCGGTTATGTCAGGAAGCAGGTCTGAATTATGGAATCGAGTGCCCGTAACCAACTTTACCTAGGCCCAGAGTTGTAATGACTCAATCAATGACTCGACTCGAGTCTGACTCGGGTCACATTTTTTTAAACACATTTTCTAATTCGCTGTTTCATCATTGGTTTTGGGCGATTTCTTATAAAGCTCTTGGATTCGAACGCTGGCTAAAGTTATGGCCTCCTTTTATAAATGTTGGTTTATAGTGTTCAAATAATCGTTACTCGAATTGACTCGAGTTAAATATTTGACTCGACTCGACTCGACCTTTTGACCTAATGACTCGACTCGACTCGAGTCACTTCTTTAAAATGACTCGACTCGACTCGAGTCACAAAAATCAGTGACTCGTTACAACTCTGCCTAGGCCTAATACTTGAAATAACTTGAAATAACCCATATTTCAACATACTTGTGAACATGCGATGCAGAATGGAACGGTTTGCAGACATGCAGTCGGCATCACACGCCCACAACATCTAATTGTGTAAACAGGTATTTTCAGTCTCTGTCACTCCCACCAATTGCAAAAGCAAATGACTGGGCTCGACTAGAGTCACTGTGAACAAGTGACTCAACATTAGTCGAAGGCTTTGCGGCACAATATACAATGACTATCTGGTTACTACATGTACGTAACATCAAGTTGGAATGCGACTCGCGCCTGCAAGTTCAAAGAAAGAGACTTAACATTTTCTTTCATTTTTTGTCAGTATCATCATTCCTAAATATACTTCTTTTAATTAAAGCAAATTTGTTCATTTTTTTATGGGGCATGCTTGGATGACTTTTGTGAAACAGATATTTTGTGGTATCATTACTGCATGTGAAATAAACCTTGACTAAAGCTAAGGCCAAGTTCGCGCAAGGACTATAGTTGACCAATGGTTAACTAACGTTTGCCCGAACTCTGTCTAGTCGACGGTGGTTGACTACGCTAGTCGACTATTTGGAACCATCCTACTGGGGTTGGTTGCTTCGCTGGTAACCAATAGCCGCGCGCATTCATAACGCAAGCAGAGAGCCAGGATCCAGAAGTTTTGCGATGACATTTTGACCAGCGTTTGACTAGAGACGTTCGCACGTTGCTATCAGTGCGCAGGCGTAAGGTACGTCACAAATCAACCACTAGTCGACTAATGGTCCTTGCCCGAACTTGGCCTAATCTGCTAATCCAAAAGGTTTAAAAATAATTCCCTGAAACACTGACCCTATTTTGAAACAGATCATGTAATCAGAAGGAGACCTTTTTTTTGGCCTAATAATATTTGATCAATTCCTGAGAATGGCGGAAAGCAAAGAAGCTCACAGAAAGCAAGATTTGTTTATTAAAGGAAATGGATTGCATGTACCATGAGAGTATATCCTGATTATTTTAGGCCCTACATGTACTTGTTACTTAAAAGGAATATACAACATTTGCAAACATCGAAAAATAAAACTACCCAGTTTTTATGAAATACCTTACTAGGATGTTGGTAAATGACAGTGTAAAGCATCCTGTAAAATTAAGGCACCTGGTGTGAAGTCATTTTCAAGAAAATTGTGTTTTTGTATAAATTTCCAACAGTGGTCGGCCGACCACCGTTGGAAAAACCTAACTATTTTTCAACTACTGCTCTAAATTCACCATTTTTTCAGTCCAAAAGTTTGTTTGCTATTGGGTACATGTTCATGAACGGGTGCAGGCCAGCTAGACTGCTTCCCTTACCTTACAAATTTCCGGCATCTATAAATTGATCCATTTTATCTTTAGTGGAGTCCGGGAACCAGACTACTCCACCATTTGTGTTTTTCTTGGTTTTTCCAGCATTTTCGAACACAAAACTTCAAACATGTCAGTGAAACAATATTTGATATATCATAGTAACCCCTCAACTAGTTCATTTCTGAAAATTACAGCAAACCAATGATGTACATTCTCTTTAAAGAGGTTGTGGAATGCTCGAAGACATTTCCGTCATTTTTACCCCTCAGCCGAGAGGCTCGAGGGGTATTGTCATCGCCTAGGGCGTCCGTCCGTCCGGATGTATGTGTGTCTGTCCGTCCGTCCGTCCGTCCGGGCAGCTTAGTTTCCGGATGATAACTTGAGTTAGAAATGTTGTTTGGGGTTGTAACTTCGGTAGGGGGTTGCCCTTGGGAGTAGACAAGTTGGGATTGGTTTTGAGGTCAAAAGGTCAAAGGTCAAGGTCACCGTGGTGAGTTAAATGTAAATGGTTTCCGGATGATAACTTGAGTTAGAAATGAGATTTTGGTGTCTAACTTTGGTAGAGGGTTGCCCTTGGGAGTAGGCAAGTTGGGATTGGTTTTGGGGTCAAAAGGTCAAAGGTCAAGGTCAGCATGGTGAGATAAATGTAAATGGTTTCCGGATGATAACTTGAGTTAGAAATGAGATTTTGGTGTCTAACTTTGATAGGGGGTTGCCCTTGGGAGTAGGCAAGTTGGGATTGGTTTTGGGGTCAAAAGGTCAAAGGTCAAGGTCACCGTGGTGAGTTAAATGTAAATGGTTTCAGGATGATAACTTGAGTTAGAAATGAGATTTTGGTGTCTAACTTTGGTAGAGGGTTGCCCTTGGGAGTAGGCAAGTTGGGATTGGTTTTGGGGTCAAAAGGTCAAAGGTCAAGGTCACCATTGTGAGTTAAAGGTAAATGGTTTCCGGATGATAACTTGAGTTAGAAATGCGATTTTGGTGTCTAACTTTGGAAGAGGGTTCCCCTTGGGAGAAGGCAAGTTGGGATTGGTTCTGGGGTCAAAAGGTCAAAGGTCAAGGTCAGCATGGTGAGTTAAAGGTAAATGGTTTCCGGATGATAACTTGAGTTAGAAATGAGATATTGGTGTCTGACTGAGGTAGGGGTTTGCCCTTGGGTACAGGCAAGTTGGGATTGGTTTTGGGGTCAAAAGGTCAAAGGTCAAGGTCACCGTGGTGAGTTCAATGTAAATGGTTCCGAATGATAACTTGAGTTAGAAATGAAATGTTGGTGTCTAACTTCGGTAGGGGGTTTCCCATTGGTACAGGCATGTTGGGACTGGTTCTGGGGTCAAAGGCCAAAGGTCAAGGTCACCACGTTGAGTTAAAGGTTAATGGTTTCCGGATGATAACTTGACTCTGGCTGAGGGGTTTCAACAGCAACGCTGTTATTTTTCGGGTATACATGTATGTAGCCTAAGGCATGTAAGGTGTGATGAAATAAAAACGACTATTGTTTCTGTCATAAAATGAGTACAGAAGATATTTTTGAGAGCTGTTTTTCAAGTCCTGTCATGCCTGTTTCGACCCGAACGTGCAATTTGTGTAAAAGTCGCCGTTGCGGGCAGCAAACAAAACACAGCAAATCGTGACGTAATAAACAGGACTCCCGATGCAGAGTAGCATAAACGAGTCCGTTTTATTACGTCACGATTTACTGTGTTTTGTTTGCTGCCCGCAACGACGACTTTTACACAAATTGCACGTTCGGGTCGAAACAGGCATGACAGGACTTGAAAAACAGCTCTCAAAAGTATCTTCTGTACTCATTTTATGACAGAAACAATAGTCGTTTTTATTTCATCACACCTTACATGCCTTAGGCTACATACATGTATACCCGAAAAATTGCACGTTCGGGTCGAAACAGGACCTGAAAAATAACTCTCAAAAGTAACCTTTGTACTCATTTCATGACAGAAACAATAGTCGTTTTTATTTCATCACACCTTAGGCTGCATATACCCAAAAAATGACGGAAATGTCTTCGAGCATTCCACAACCTCTTTAACACAGTGAAAGGGATTGTTATTTTTAACAGATGATTCACATCCTGTAAAAGTTCTTGAACATGTACATTGTAGTGCATACATACATACACATTATGTGGGATGTAGGTTTATTGGTTTTGTCAATGTTTTTGCCACCTCACACCTATCACCACCCAAGGGGAAACACTGGTTTGGCGGTTTGGCTGCAGCACTACATGTACTTACAACCTGTAACATTTTCCACATCTGTCAGGCATTCTGGCAAAATGAGACAGAACTGGGCGGGGATAGAAATAAGGCTTTTCAAGTGATTTTCATGAAAAAGCCTAAAATGCTCCTTACAATACTGTTTGTTGCACTTCAATCGGATATTCCATTGACAAGTTATGGCTGTTTATATTTCACATTAATCGACAAGACAAAAAAAAATACTGAGAAAAAGGCCTTTAAAGTATCAAGTTTTGTATTCATGAAAAGGAAAGATGTCAATTGTTTTTCCTTAAAAAAAAATGTATTCCACGATTTTTTTAAAATATTTTTTTTAAATATGTGTAGTAGGCGTATCAGAGATTACAAATTTATAAATCGAAAAATCAAAAAAAAAATCACCCCATTGGGTTTTGCATTTTTCACCTGAGCCCAGTTCCGCCTCTTTTTGGCCAGATGGCCTCAGATTTGTGCCATATGTACATGATACAGGTATACATTGTACATGTACATGTTGTATTTTACCATCTAAATGAACAAATATGTAGTTATTTCCCTCTCTTCTCTATTTACTGTTCAGTGTTCCTAGGCGGTTCGTGCAACCCAACAACATGGAGGAAAGACATAGCTATCCCAATGTTGGAAGAGTACAACCTATCCTACTACAACCCAGTCAGTATAGACGTGTATATCGTTAGTCAGTTGTAGTCTAGTCACCAGTCAATCATAAGTCCATTACATGTCTGTTTGCAAGTCCATCACAAGCCTTGAAGGTCAGTCACAAGTCAATCACAAGTCAATCACAAGTCAATCACAAGTCAATCACAAGTCAATCACAAGTCAATCACAAGTCAAGCACAAGTCAATCACAAGTCAATCACAAGTCAATCATAAGTCAATCACAAGTCATATCAATCAAATGTCAATAACAAGTCAATCACAAGTCAATTACAAGTCAATCAAATGTCAATCACAAGTCAATCACAAGTCAATCACAAGTCAATCACAAGTCAATCACAAGTCAATCACAAGTCAATCAAATGTCAATCACAAGTCAATCACAAGTCAATCACAAGTCAATCACAAGTCAATCAAATGTCAATCACAAGTCAATCACAAGTCAATCACAAGTCAATCAAATGTCAATCACAAGTCAATCACAAGTCAATCATAAGTCAATCACAAGTCAATCATGAGTCAATCACAAGTCATGTCAATCAGATGTCAATAACAAGTCAATCACAAGTCAATCAAATGTCAATCACAAGTAAATCACAAGTCAATCACAAGTCAATCACAAGTCAATCACAAGTCAATCAAATGTCAATCACAAGTCAATCACAAGTCAATCACAAGTCAATCAAATGTCAATCACAAGTCAATCACAAGTCAATCATAAGTCAATCACAAGTCAATCACAAGTCAATCATAAGTCAATCACTAGTCATGTCAATCAGATGTCAATAACAAGTCAATCACAAGTCAATCAAATGTCAATCACAAGTAAATCACAAGTCAATCACAAGTCAATCACAAGTCAATCACAAGTCAGTCACGAGTCGTCAATCAAATGTCAATAACAAGTCAATCAAATTTCAATCACAAGTCAATCAAATGTCAAATCACAAGTCAGTTAAAATTCAATCACAAGTCAATCTTCTGTCATCTCATCTCAACAACATTTATTTCCATATTGCAAAATTTACATTGTAATATACAGAAGGTCAATATTATAAAGAAAGATGTTTGATGAAATACATGAATAATTATGTGAGACAAACATGAAAGAGAGGCATTGTGGAGGCATATTCAAAAGACAACGTGTTATAGAAATGCCATTTTAAGACAAGAAACGGGACAAGCAGAACTTACAACAAATCAGACAGGAAAGACAGAGAACGGAACAGGACAGACAAAACAAACAAGAACCAACCAACTGGGATGTACGTGTATTGAAAAGTAGAAACTGGAATCCTCTCAGAAGAGTTCAAGAGGATGAAAAAAATAGAATGATAAAGAGAAGGAGCTACTTTAGATAATTGGAGACAAGATGGTTTTGTAGAAACATGGTTTCTTAAAACATCCCACACTGGATGACCAAGTTGATCACAAGTCCATCAAAATTCAGTCTCAAGTCAGTCATGAGTCTATCACATGCCCAGTGGAGCTTCCCATATTGATCTTTTGCATTGCAGACATCTTTGATGTGTGAGCTTGTATGGCCTTGAGTAGATCTCTTGTACATGTATATGTTCATTATTAATGAATTTTTTGGGATGTTTGAGTAGCTCACCCGGATCGACTCGAGTAAAGGCAGACAGGTTAGCCACAACAGCCGGGCTAATCGAATGTTCAACCGCGGGCCATCACTAATCTCACGTGATGTCTGTAGCAACACCCATAGCCACTGACAAAACGCTCTTTTCAGACTGGGTCTTAGTTTGATAGGCCTATTTATTGTTTTTCAGTCAGTTGCAAAACTAATAATAGTTGGGCTGGAATTATAGCCTTTAAAGTCGCAATGAACTCAACAAATAATTACCTTTAGACTTCAAAGGAACTTGATTTTTTGGTCCTTGAGATTTCCACTGTCCGGCTGCCATATTTGTCCGTTTCTAAAAATGAATGCATGGGTGACGTACTTCCACCACTGACTCTGCTCCAAGAGCAGGGTTTGTGGTGGCTGGCCCGGGTGAGCCCCGAGAATGAAGTCAGAGCTAATCCAACGGCACAGGGCTAACCCGAGTCGACTCAGGTGAGCTAATCGAACGCACCGAATGTAACAAAACACACCTCAGAGATGGCTACTGCATGCAGTAAATTTATTGGAAATACTGGAATTGACTTCGGCCTACTTCTTGTCACAAGCAGCAGGTTGAGAGTTGGAGCCATGAGCTGATAGCTATTGAGGACGATGCCAAGGAAAGAGCTGAGCTGCTCCTGTTTGTCATCGACAGCTCAACGCGCAGTGTAGCATCGCTAGTCGAAGCAGCATATCTATCAGGTATTTTATTTTACATAGGGCAGTCAACCGTCTGGCTCCCTGACCTGACGACATTCAACATCAGGATCTTTGGCTCTTGGAACCAGACTGGTTCAACCATATGGTTCCTGGACAATATTTCATTTAAGAAAAAAAAATGAAATGTACTTCAATGAAAAGTAGGATTTGATTAAAAACATCAAATTATTAAGAGAAGTATTAAAAGAAAAAGACAAATTTCTCACATCCCGAATTTGATCCCCGAACCATTGGCATGATAGTCCATCCTTTATAACCGATCGAGATACCAAAGTGCTCTGATCAGCAGGGCAGTACTAAGTGTGATATAGATTCACAACAGTGTTTTTGCAATGCCGTAACAATAGCAGTTGAAAATCGCGTTACCGCTGCTATAACGATAGCTACTATGTTTATTTTATGGATATGGCCCCCAAAACACAAGGCCAAGAGCTACTCAAGTTACGGTCTACAAACTAGAAGAAACAGAACAGAGCAAAAAGAAAGTCCAAATGACCAAACAAATATCTGTTCACGTTTCTTTTGAATTGTGAAAGATTGGTCAGTTGTACATGTAGGCTCTGAATGTAACATGGAATTGTCCTATTTTCATTTTCAGTTAAAACTTCATTTCAAGAATATTTGGGGAAGCTGTTGTGGATCTTGCAGCTAATACCCAAGGCAATGGGCCTGTTGCCGATAAAGATTTCCGCAAATTATAATATAATACTGAAAAGCTTTGAGGGGGATACAAGAATATAATTGCACGAGCTATAATAATATTGCTCAAGTTGAAATGTTATAGGGAGTTCAATATACTCTTGTATTCCCCGGAAAAAAAGCCATCCAATATTATTATTAGTATTGCTTTCAGGCTGACTTGATATGCAAAAAATTAATTTCAGGACACTGTCTGTATTTCTCAAATTTCGTTTGAAACATTCTCCGAAGCAATTTTCGCCGCTCAAAGCTGCTATTGTGGTTGTTGACAACAGTGCGTGTGTAACCTGCTTGTGCTGTGCGCTGCGTCCGCGTGCAGTCGCGATTGTACAACGAGCTATTCTTAACTGGTTGACAACTGTGAGTTTTATGCTCATGATTGTGAGGGAACCATTGAATATATCCGGAAGACTGCAATATCAAAAGTAATATCGCAGTCATCCGGGTACTTTTTACGAAAGCATACAATACCCTGATATATTTTTACCACTGGAAGCCTGATCATAATCCCAGATATTTTAATGAGATGATTCTTGTCACATTTTTTCTCCCGATAATTTTCTTCATAGGTGGAGGGAGACCGTTGGTGCTTGTCATGAAGGGATTGCCCACAGAAGTAGACAATGAGAGAATCTCAGAAAAGTAAGACATGACGATGCTGTGGCATGTGGCCATTATGGTCTTGTCCCCTGTATCTACAGAACATCATTGATACAGCCTTTCATGATGCAATTGGAACCTGACTATTATTTTGCTTTACTATACTTATTCATGATCGAGAGCCGAATTCTCACCATCATGTGCCAGCCGCTATTTGTGCTGTGTAACCAAGCGTGCATGTGAGTATTCACGCACAGTGTAGATACGTATGCGTAATAGACTATCGCACGGGTTACCCGAACTTTATTTCTGGTATTTATTGGTTTGGTTTTGAAAAGGTTTTTGAAATTGTTCGTGTTCAAATAAAGGCATGTCAAACACAAACTCAACCGATTTCAAGGAAAATCAATCATGCGCATTTTTTCTAATTTCAAAATGCTTCATCTTGTTCATGATGTAAAAATCTTGTTGCCTTTTCCCTTCTGTGTTTCCTTTTCTTTTCGATCCACTTAGACTACACCTTAAATGAATTCACAATATTGTTCTTCATTTCAAGTTCAATGTGTTTTATATATAAATCAACTGTTTTTGTTTTGTTATTTCAACTTGATGACTTGAGTTTGCATCTGATGTACCGCATCATCGATTTTCCTTGAAATCGGTTGAGTTTGTTTTCGACATGCCTTTATTTGAACACGAATAATTAAAAAATTCTTTTAAATATCAAACCAATACTCCAAGCTTTAAAATGGTATAATGTTTAAAAATAAAAGCGGCACGTGTGTCCGCACTGACACTAGAGCCTTGCAAAAAAAAGTTGCGGGTATTTTTGGATGTGCTGTAATTCTTTTGCTTCCCAAACTGCCCTGACTGTTACTTACGTACATGTACAAAATGTACTACCTAAAACACCTAAAACCACCCAATCCCTGCTTGGGTTAATCGATTCATGCAATCAGGAAGGAAATACAGTGTAGTACAATGTAATACAAGTTCTGAAGGGTTATCTCATGACTGTGTACATGTACACATGTTATGCACATACACAAGAACTGAATGTTTTAAAGCTATAGTCCATCATTTGTAATTAGTGCATTTTGTTCGTTTGAAGCAACAAAAGTGTTCAAAATCTAATGAAGGACACTGAACAACTTACTTGATGAAGTTTCAGCTCAGCTTCAGCTTCATATTCCCTTAAAAACAGCATTCTAGGATCTCAATTGAAAATCAAAAGTTGCTAAATTATGTTTCGAATTGTTTTGAATTGCAGCTTTACGCGATGTCGCGCACTGATCCGAGGAATTATACCAACCGCGCGTGCCTGTGCGCCGTTCCAATGCTTGTGCGCGCTGCGCCGAATAACAAAACGAGCAACTAATTTTTATATTTTTTTACGGTGCTTCTTAAGCCTTCTTTCATTGATTTCTTCAAAATGACAGCTTGCCAGAAAGGATAATTTCACAGGGAGTTTAGTCCCCTTACTATCTTTCAACCAGTATGTTTTTCAACAATAATTAGGCCAGTTACTTTTTCGGATAGCTGCAAATGATGGACTTGGGCTTTAAGGTTGCCATTGGAAAGGAAGTCATTCAGGAAATGCCCGGCTCCGTAATAAAATGAGATAAAATCTCATGTCACAAGGTCACAGAGAAGATATTTTAGACATTTGTTTACAAGGGTATTCATTTTGTATGAATTCACATGTTGATTAGGGGTTGCTAAAAGAAAAAACGAACATTCCTAACATTAATTTTTAAGAATCAACTTCCAATACCTTGGGGAGCTTGTATCGACTATCCACCTCAAACCATGTTATATTTTAACAGCAATTTGATAGTCACGGTTTTTAAATGTTTGCAAATGTTGTGCATTACCTTGAGCAGTGAGTTGAAGGATCTCAAGCACAGCCATGCCTTTCTGTGCGATATGGTGGAGAGACAGTGGTGTCCCATCTTTGAGGATCTGAAAATCGCCTTACACTGTGCGGCCAAGGTTCTGCACCAGGGACTGCACATGAGTCAACTTACATCAGAAGACAGAGCACAACCTGTGAAACATCCCACCTTGAAAGTTGGAGACAAACTAAGGTCAGTTACACGATACAAGGGTTATTGCACCAATAGTTAATCCTTTAGGCACTGTAGCGCCCCAAACAGCCCTGCTTATTACACACTGTACTGCCCGAGCAGTCTATGGTTTTATTGATTCTTCAGTAAATATAAAAAAAAATGATGTAATGCAAAGTGCTACATTGTTTTTTCTCACAATCAATCTGGGGCAACACTGAGTATACAGTAGTTAAAAAATATGTTGGTGAAGAGCAAAACCCAATAGTAAGCGTTCTACAGGCGCTAGTGGGTTTATACAGTACAGATGAACACTGCAAAACTGAACATTCAACTACAACGAAACTCTTTGCCTCCCCTGCGCCTCGCTATCATTTTTTGTATACCGATGATAATGAGTCATAAGTTATGACTATTATCTAAACAGCGGTACACATTTGAATAGGGTCCAAAATAAGCTGCAAATATTTTTGGGATAGACCCAATCTAATACTAACCTCGTTCCCAGGGTGTCGAGTAGTACGCGCCCATTACTTCCTGCTCTCTCACTTACTATTGGAAACGAGATGGAAAAAGTAAGCACTGGGGACGAAGTTGATTCCATATGTACCCAACGTGTGCATGTACATGTACACACATACATTGCATGCAGATACATGTACCATGCAGGTTGCCCAAGTAGTCTTGAACACAAGTAGGTTTATTGCGTTGTCGCGATTGGTAACCGACGCTTGTGGCGTGTATTAAGACAAATGAACCTGGTATCCCGCCCATTTGCATGGCGCACTGATTTTACGCATGCTTTAAGTCTATACATGTACCTCACTGGTCCACATGCATATGGTGCTCCGATAGACGTATACACAATACACTTTGCATTGTACATATGCGGTACATGTACCCCGTAATAAACAGGCAAAGGGTAAAAGCAAACGAATCAGAACACAGGAGTTGAATTGGCAAGTCAAACGAGCTTTCATTTTCTTTTTTTCTATCTTATTAATTAAAAAAAAGGGAATTTTGCTTTCCAGTAATTTATCATGACCCACCCACCCACATTTTCGAAAACTTTTTGAAATTTAAAAACATCAAACATTTTGAATGGCCCCTTTAGGGAACTTCTACTGGTACTACTAGGCAGAGGAAGGCAAGGGCTATTATCTGCAGCCATGCCCTAACCGGTTTCAAACATCACGTTTATAACTGTATTAACTCCGGCATCCCACTATTACCCCCCTTCATGTACCTTTTTGGTTCAAAACCATGATAAGTTTAAAAGGTGACAATTAAACCTCCCACGATTTTTGTTCTACCATTTTATTTCATGTTCGGGACTTCTCTGTGATGCGCGTGCACGCGTGTGGTACCGGTACCATCCCATTCAACAGTTCACAATTTATTAAGTACATTCAGGGAACACGACCAAAATGGCTTCATCATGAATAAGGTCCATAGCCTTGGTGGGAATTTTTTGTGTGTTAATTTTTAACATTGAGCTTTTTATTTCTCACCAGAATAACTTTATAAGCAATACACTTAGTGCTGTCACTGCAAAAAGAATTTGATGTAAATGCTCAGGCGTGATTCAAACCAGAAATGTTTGTTAAATGTACTTCATCTGCAAATTTCAAGCTGGGAAACTAATTATGCAAATTTCATGGCACTGCAAAGAATTGAATATGATAGGGCTGTCCATTTCTTAATAAGTTAGTACTTGATTATTCAAAACTGCACTTGACTGAATATTCAAATATTCGAAACGTGCCAGTCAAGTTTTCCACACGCCAACTGCAGCTGCCTTCCTCACTGGTCAAAAGTTGCATACAAAGCGCGCCAGTTAAAATTGCATGCGGCGACAGATATTATGGGCCGCTGGTGTGTTTTGCATTAAGTATTACTATACCTCATACATATTCATGATCGAGAGCCGAACTCTCACTGGTAAATTCACCATCACGTGCCAGATGTTATTCACGTGCCATGATTCACGCACAGGGTAAATACGCATGCGTAGTAGACAGTCTACTACGCATGCGCATTACAGAGCAATCGAGGAACTGTCGCACGGGTGCAGTATGCACGCGCGAACATCGCCCAGGAGAGATGCATGGTTGCACGGTTTGCGTAAATGTGGATTTCCAGAGCTCAATGATGCCATACTGGAGAAAATTTATGGACCGTGTAAAGATGTCTCCTGTACAAAAGAAAGTTGAACACAAACAACTGTATTTACAACTGTAGTAACTGTATTATATTGCAAACAAACTAGTAATTGAAGTTGAGCAACAATATTCTTTTGGTGAGCTGTACAAGTTTCCCCGAATTTTGTTTTACAAATGTAGGTGCATATAATATATAAAAAAAATTGGCAACTGAATATGTATGAAGTATAGTAAAACAAATATAACATGGTTTATTTCGGGTGGACGGCCGATATTAGCTCCCCTCGGTATTGGAAGTTGACAAACTAGTTCCCACAGCTTCGTCTCGGAAACTAGTTTGTCAACTTCCAATACCTCGGGGAGCGAATATCGACTATCCACCCTCAAACCATGTTATATTTGTAGACTGTACAACTGTCAAGGGATTTTACCTACCAAAAAGAGTGGGACCCAATAAATAGGCATCGACAAAAAAGTTACCTTTTACAAAAAAGTGGCATCTGACAGTCAACAACGCAACTTTACGAGCAAAATAACATCACAGCCGTGTGTGCACTTGCATGGTTCTCATGGCCTGGTGAACAGGGGTAATAATTGTGAAGCGCTTGGAGACCTTTGGTGTTAAGCGCTATGTATTGTAAGCACCAGATTATTATTATTATTTTTGTTTTTTCTTTACGAGTATTCAAAACAGCAAAAAAACTATTCAAATTTTCGGTTGATGATCGAATATTTGAATATTCGATATATTCTGAACAGCCCTAGACTTTGCATTTGCTAAGCTTAAAAATCATATTCTTGGCAAACTAGAGGGAAAGTTGGCTGAACTTGTTTTAATTGAGCAAAACGGTTTCTTTTCTATTTTGTTTGCATTTCAGGCAAATCAGAGAGGTCTTCGATGAGTTTGATCGAGATAGTCGCAGCAGAATATCACTGTCTAATGTAAGTTCTGTTACTTGACAAATATTCAAAGCACTGCTAAATTTCTCAAATCTTCAGGCTTGTTTGTACATTATCATGCCGACATGTTTTCTTTTTGTATGAAAGTGGTTCCATTTTTCTTTGGTATCCAAATGTAAAGGAAAAACTATACTTCCAAAGGAGTTGGGACAGACCCAGGAATTGTGGGTAATATTACCCACAATTCCCGGGTAATACTCCATTTCTTGTATTATATCATTACTCACAAGTAGCTGTTGAATGTTGTATATTTTTAGTTATCCCACGAGCCAAGAGGAACACAGAATAATGTAGTGCGTCTGTGTCCCACTTCAGCCTCGTGGTATGTGGGATGCAGACGCACTGCATTTTCCGTGTTCCACGAGTGCAAGTGGGATAACAAATTTATCTTCAAGCAAACTTGGCGCACAGAAAAGATAGAACACGCATGCTGTACGCAAACTTTGCAGCAGTTATCCTACATACATGTATATTACATGTGCGTGCAGCAGGAATGGTGCACGCATCTTGGAATAGCACGATAGACATGATAGAGTGCAATATGGACCATTAAATATTAGGTATAATATCACACGGTTGTTGCCATGGATCGACCAATTAGGATCCACCAATCAGGAATTTCATACTTGTTTTTTTCTTCATTTAGTCTGATACCAAACACAAAAACTTTTCTATTGATTTTAGGCATTCCTTGCCATCCGGGCTGTTACCGGTAAAGATCTAGCCTTCCCAGCGTACGACCAAATAGTAGCCAGCTGTGCCGAGTCAGGGGACAAGACCGACTTGGATTTTAATGAGTTTTGTTGCCTGGTTACCGAGTATAAACACTACGAACCACCGCCCACCAGTAAGGGAGCTTTCTCCCGACTTGTGTCTTCCATATATCGTAAGTCTTTTGTAATTACCAGTACTGATAAAGGTGATTATGTAGTTATGGGCCCCTCTATCATTTAGATCCTTAGAGTATTTTGACATTCCAAAATGACCTCGATAAATTCTAATAACACTATAGCTTGTAATGTTGACCAGCGTCTTTTCCTAGAATATTTTCATATATGCATTTTTCAGTTCATTCCATACAAATTGAAGTGTTTTACACAATTTTGTGCTGCATTTTGTCAACATCATAGTTTACCCCAAAATTTCCCCTTTAAAAAAATCTACAGAGCTGAAACTTTTCAGATTTTAATCTGAAATCAGATTTTTTTTACTTTTCCAATGAAATTTCAGATTTTTTAACGATCTCACAAAAATGATTATTTAACTATTTTTCCAGTTCTTTTTTTTTTTTTATTATAATTTCCATAAAAAGTCGATGAAAAGTCGATGAAAACGGCACGTAAAAATTTTCACAAGTGTAGTAGTTTTAATCTCTTTTACCAGTCATGAATGGAGTGATTCTAAGGTAGAAACACCTAGGCCAACGCTGATCAGATCCTTTTCTGGCTGGAGAAAAGGTTAAATACTGATCTATGACATGGAAAATTCCCTGGGTCCCACGTTGATGTGCTGCACTGCACTGCGCAATGCTGTGGCAGCTCGGAAGGTCCAATTTCAGATTGTTTTTGCCAAGGCCAGTTTCATCTCTGAATCTAAACCCTGCCCTCTATCCACGACACTCTTGTTGGTTTCAAACATCGTTATTAAGGGCATCCCTTTTTGTTTCTTTGGTTCTCATTTCCGACTGATCCAATTTTGGGCTCCCAACCCAAGAAACAGAAAAGTATTACCGCCGACCCTGTCTGGAACCCCATTATTAAACCAGTTCACTTCAGATGACGTATATGTACATGTACACGCAAAGGTTTTGCGGTATTTGGAACAGATGATGGATAAACACACAATGAGCGAGGCCGGAAATATTTGTGTGTTACCCGCTCGCACAGAGCAAGGCCGGAAATATCAGGGTGTGCTACCCGCAGATGATGGCCTGAACCCGTCATAAATCGAGGTTCGTGAAAAACAATCCTGCGCCTGGATCTGGTCTATTTCAAAATAATCCCGGCTAACAAAGTGGTTAACAAAAAAGATATAAATAAATAAACAATGAATCCAAAATACAGGCAATAAGGCTCTAGTGTTGAAAATTGAAAATGAATACCAGATTTTTTACGTGAAGTACGGCATGTAGCAACCAGTGCAATGCCAGAAGATGAGAGGATGTTGCCTCTCATAGTCTAATTAAGGTGTCAGAAAATGGTCAGAAAATATGGCAACATCAATTTTTTTTGTAAGTTAAAACCTCCCAAAAGATGGTCCAACCAATTGCCAAAATTAATATTTCATGCCAACGGAAGTACATTGCCCCCCCCCCCACTATAGTCTATAGTTTACCTTTACTGGTTTATCATGGCTGCATCTATAGCAGTGGTTCAGATGTAATGTAAGTCAACTACATCTCGCCAAATGTGGTTTCATTATTTTATTTTGTGATATCAACTCAGGATAAACCCACTTCAATTTACTAGAAACAATATGCACTTGAGATCATTTAAATTATCCAGCTACAGTAATATACGGGTGCAAGTGCAATTCGTTTTCTTTAATTTATTTTTTTGACTGCCCGACCCTACTATAGAGGCAAAAAATATGAGAACCACGGAAATAAAAAGGGTTGCCCTGACAAGTTGGGTGAGTTCAATAACCTTAAAGTGTAGTTTCCATCTCTTCTAGGAACGGGGCCCGTAACTACCCAATTGCACCGATAAAAATATAAGACGTTTCCTGCTTCCTGACATCCGAGGTTACATAGGTTGTGCCCCGAAATTAGTTCCCTTCATTTCTTTATCTTTGGAAGTTTTTCTGTCCTGAAAAGTTCACATGTACTCTTCTGGATCCTGAAAGATTCCATGGTGAACAGTTCTTGCATTGTTGTTGATTTGAGGCAAAACCAAAAACAAATAAAAGGGCTATTCCAGCTCTTCAGCGAAATTCAGTTTGCGATCCAACCATGTGAAACACATCAGACAAACTTTACTGTTAATACAGGCCCCTAGACAAATCTTGCACAATAAAAACAACATGAAATTTCATTTCTTTGAAAAAAAATATACAACATTTGCTTTTGCTGTAATTTTTAGAAATGGATGGATTTGGGGGTTGGTATTTTAAAGCAAAGATTGTTTTACTGACCTGTTTAAAGTTTTGTGTTTGTAGATGCTGGAAAAAGCAAGGAAAAAAAATGCTCTTGTAGTCTGGTTCCCTGACCCTACTTCAGATGAAACGGAGCAATTTACAAACGTCGGGTAATTGCAGGTCAGGGAACCAGACTAGCTGGCTTGCACCTGTCACGGATGTGTAACCGATTGCAAACAAAATGTGGACTAACTAAATTTGGTAAATTGGGGGCAGAACTTTAAAAATAAAAGTCAATTCTTTCCAACGATGGTCGGCCAACCATTGAAATTTATACAAATATAACTCCACTCTTCTTGAAAATGACAGCACACCATTTGCCAAGATTTCACAGGATGGTTGAGATTATTATTCAATACAGTCCAGTAAGGTATTTCATAATGATTTGGAAGTTTTGTTTTTTGATGTTTGCAAATGTTGTATATTTCCCTTAACATCCATATTCATCAGTGCCAAATTGCGTGATGAAAACAAAGAGATGGGTTTCTAATGCTACAGTGCATGTTCCAGATGCATATGTCACATACGAGTGCATGCATGTTGGATATTTGTGCACGCGTACTGGGCATTAACCCTAGCTCCCTAGGCATTTTTGCTAGGATGCAACCTCAATCCTGCAAAATCCTCCAACTGCCTCCATGTAAAAATAGCATAGGCAGCCTCAATCCTGCAAAATCCTTCATTATTTCTCAAAAGTGGTCCTTGGAGGGGTGACCACTGCCTCAATCCTGCAAAATCCTCCAGCAATCACTGTCAATATTTGAGGCAGAGCCAGTGACATCCTGGAGAAGTGCGGAGGATTTCAAGTATGATTAAGGCCTAAACTAATGCATGGCTGAGCACAGATAACACAAATTCCAGCCCAAGACATTGAGACAGTGGATCCTCCAAAATCAGCCACACATTTTTGCCATATAGCCTTAAATCCTGCAAAATCCTCCACTTTGCAAAGAGGATTTTGGAGGATTTGGGAAGGCTAGGGTTAATCACAGTTGTGATTGGTCAATATGTTGCATTTTTCATAGGGGATAATCTTTGTTTTTTTAACTAATTAACAAATGCACGAAAGGTTTTCTCATGCCTGTCCGAGCAATAGAAAACCATTGCTTGCTTACACCAACTTAAAGGGAAAATACAACATTTGCAAACATCAAAAAATAAAACTACCAAATCATTTTGAAATACCTTGCTGGACTGTTAGTGAATGACAGTGTAAAGCATCCTGTAAAATCATGGCACCTGGTATACTGTCATTTTCAAGAAAAGTGGTATTTTTGTATCAATTTCCAATGCTGGTCGGCCGACCAGCATTGGAAAAAACTGGCTTTTTTTCAAATACTGGCCCCCATTGGCCATCGCACTTGTTTGCAATCGATTACACACCTATGAACGGGTACAAGCCAGCTAAACTGGTTCCTTGACCTTACAATTCCCAAATGTATGTAAACTGCTCTGTTTCTTCTCAAATGGAGTCAGGGAACCAGACTACAGGAAAATGATTGTTTTTCTTGGTTTTTATAGCATTTTCGAACCCAAAACCTCAAAAAAGTCAGTGTAACTATATTTGCTATATATTTCCAACCCCCCAATTCCATCCATTTCTGAAAATGACAGCAAAAAGCAAATGATGTATATTCCCTTTAACTCATGTGGTCTTATTCTTCATTGGCCAGGTTGGCTGAGCACGTTCACGATACAGTCCGTTCCTAGAGAAGTCGTCCAACTCAAGACGGATGTCTTCCTTGGTGGCACCTGCCTGGACACAACATGGAGAGAGGAGATAGCCATCCCTTGTCTCGAGTAAGAATTCGCACTGCATTTGGGACTCCTTGCATGGTCAATAGTATACAAATATAGACTGATTCGAGTGGTGTAGTAAAACCAGCCTCCCGAGGTGATCCATTAAGCATTCTATTTTTCCCAAAGATAATATTATTAGAATGTTCCATGGATCACCGAGGGAGGCTAGTTTTACTACACCACGAGACAAAGCAGTCAATATTTGTTTTATAACACCTCTCCCACAGATCCTGCTTGATTTTAAGTGATAACTGTGTATTCATAACACCTAAGACAGTTTACGCATTCCTATTGGTCGAGAGCCCGTCACGTGGCCGGTCTTAAACAGATGATAAAGACGTGGCTGGCTGGTCTTAAACACTTTTCCAGTGTCACATGAAATTTGGACTCCCATGAAATCCGGTGCCTTTAACGTTTCATTGGTTGAACGTTCACATTCCTCGCGTACAATGTATGCATGTGCAATGTACTACCAGTGAATCAGTATTTCATGGTTTGAAATTCTCACTACACCAGCCCAGCTGCGTTTTGTGTGACATCGCGCAGTACGCGCTACCATGGAGGTGAAATGCATGACGCGCACGCGATTGTGGAGGAGCATTCCATATTAAAGTCAGAGGGGTGTTTCGTAAAACATGAAGTAAAATTGTTGAACAAAATGGTTAACAACGTCTAGTTTTTGACTTGTTTTGATTTTTGGACAGAAAAGATTTGTTTTTTGACCAAAAAGGTATTTATGAATGGGAATAAATAAGTGTTCCGTTGGTATTAAACACTCTGTTTAAAACCGGTGTGAGTCTGGATGGGTGATAATACCCTCGGCTTCGCCTTGGGTAATTATCACCCATCCAGACTCACACCGGTTTTAAACAGAGTGTTATAATACCTCTGGAACACACATTTATTCCCTTAATGTAATCTAAATACGTTTAAAATGTACTTCAATTTGAATACGAAATTGGTTAAAAATTTAACTGCACTTTTCCAAACTACCCCTTCACGAAATATTTGAACGAGGATTTGTAGCGCGCGCTAGCACTTGGGAACAATACGCACATCACGCACACCCGTACATGCATTTGCACACAATAGAGTGCCAAAGTGCGCTGCAAATTATGTTCCATGCTGCAAATTATGTTCCGCACAGCTTTAGTGTGGGACATCAGCGCGCGAACCAGAGTGAACAGCTGACGTCACACTTCGGTACTCTATACCGGTTCTTGTGCGTATAGTACTTTGGTTGCTACGGATATATTGCTTTGGTTGCTACGGGAATAGTACTTTAGACCGTGCACGGCAAGATAGCAAAAATAGCTAATACCATGTGATTCGTTCTCGGCCAATCAAGATACAGAATCTGTGGGTGAGGGGTTACAAATGGCACTATGTGACTTTTCACAAGATGTCCAGTGTACAGTGTATGCTGCATGCATGTACCGATTCATCCATGCATGGTATGGAATATGCACAAGTTACAAGGGAATAACCAACCTCTTTTTCGAGGTGCAACTTGAAAAATAGCACAGGAAGGCATCTTTAAACTCCGGATTTAAGAACACAGCAATTACGTTACTGGTTTAAAGTAGCACATATTACTTATTCAAGTTGCTAGAGAAAAACAATCCAAGTGTATCACATTAGAGGCCTTGCTAAAATATGTGCTTAAAATACACACACGGTACGTTTTGTGGCATGCGTCTACTCTGAGTCAACATCGCAAAATCAGATCCACAGGAATCCAAGTTTGATACCTCCTTTTATTCATCATCATCAGGAGGCACGGCCTGTCCTACTTCAACCCTAAGGTAGCAGACTGGAGCATGTCCAACATCGCCCTGGAGGCCATCGCTAAGGATACATCGCTGTACCTTCTATTTGTCATCAGTGCTACGTCCCGCGGCATTGCATCCATGATTGAGGTACTTAACAAAGATGATCCATAAACAATGGGGGAGGGGCTTGACCTTATTCAACACTGGGGCTACTCTTTTCCTCTTTTTCTTTTTTCTTTCTGTAACTTTTCACAAATCGTTGGAGGGAAATGGCATGATGGAGGGTGGGGGGAGGGGAGCATGGCCCAAGTTGCCACCCCCCCTCTTCCCCTTGGAACCACTCCTCCGATGAATATATCTGAACATAGATAAAGGTCTCAACCAACAGTTTTGGCCCTCTGTGAAGTTGTGCCTTTGACACTTACGGTAATAACTTTTGTCAGCCTGTTCTGAACATTGTGTTGGTAGTGTTGTGGAGTAGTCACAAAGAAAGGCCTGTATCCTTTGCATTCATGGCTGAATATCAGTGAAACTTGTACTGACTGTGACCAAATGTTGGCTGAAGAGAAAACTGGTAACCCTTCCTGTTTTTGTGGGAGACAAAAACGCATCCAAAGAGACATTTGCTTAAATTCACCCTGTAGTGTGATTTGGTAGGGTTACATCTTGTATTAGTATACAAATAATGAAGGTTTGTGAGTGCAGTGGTGAGAATAATTTCATGAGGTGACAGATGAAATGTTCCATTTTACGAGGCGAAGCCGAGTGGAACGGAACATTTCATCTGTCACCGAATGAAATTATTCTTACCATCGCACAAATGTGAAACATTCAATATTTGTTTTATACAACACCTGAATAAATCCTTGTCATCTGATATAGTGTGCCGCGTTTTCTCTTCTCAGTCCTGAGTAAAATCGCGACAAGAAGTTGTTCAGCTGTGAATCAGTATAATGCTTCAACAGATGTTCCTGTATGTTTTGCAAATTTGTCTAGTCGTTTGGCAGCATATTTTATTTGCTTCCTTGTGTCAGCAGCGTCAGTATCGCCTACAAGTTCTGATATTTCATCTTCTGTGAATAGGAGAACAAAGGGTGTTTCAGTCTCGGGTAACATCCGCATTTTGTGAAATAGAGTCATGTCACAGCGCCACCACCGGCAGCAGTGAAACCGTGTAATGGAAGTTCTATTCATCGTGCAATAGAACTTCCATTGCACTGTGCGTTGGGACGAATAATTCAATGACATGTGATCAACGATCCACCAATTAGATGACAGGGATTTATTCACTTGTTGTATAATGTCTGTTACTGTCTTTCGGGGGCCGGGGTGGGGGGAGTACAATGAAGACTTAATGTAGCATTGTTTTATTAACCCTGAATTTTTGCCAATTTGACTGTTTAGGTTGCCCACTATGTTGGTCAAGGGAGGAAGGTTGTCTTATGCATACAGCACATGAAGCATGGACTTTGTGTCTATGGTGAAAAGGTTAGTCATCTGAAGAAGAATCCAGGTTTTCATTCTGGGGCCGGGGGGGGGGGGGGGGGGGGAGTATGAGTCGCCGCATTTTACACATATGGAGATCGATGACGATCATCTTATTATCATTATTTATTCATATCTATTTCTGGTGAAACCAAGGATTTCTCAAAAGCGACCTTGGCAATGTAGCTCACAAGCTTTAAGAAACCTGTAGAGAGGAGACAATGAGAAGAAATTACAGTTTTAGAGGTGGGAGGAAAAGCCCAGAAGAATATTCTGGGGAAAACCCACGGAATTGAGTAGGGACTGAAAACCCAATCCACATGTTGGCCCAGTGGAGAGAAGACAATGAGAAGAAAATTACAGTTTTAGAGGTGGGAGGAAAACCCAGAAGAATATTCTGGGGAAAACCCACGGAATCAGGTAGGGACTGAAAACCCAATCCATTTGTTGGCCCAGGCGGGATGCGAACCCGGGTCACAGCGGTGGAAGGCGAGGAAAGTACCACTACACCAACCTTGACCCCCTTGATGTATTTGAATGCAAAATATTATGCAACCCAGCGTGCCAGTCAGTCATGGACAGAAAATTGTCCAAGCTGTTGATTGGTCAATAGCTGTCGGATGACCCTTTTATTATTAACCCTTTTATTGTATCCCTAACCCTCCGAAATTTCGGACTTATGAGACATTAATTCCGCCTCATAGGTCCGACGCCTCGTAAGTCTGACGCCTGGATAAGTGGCATCTGACAACAATGGATAAATGCTGTTTCGGACTTATGAGGCATCGGACTTATGCAGCGTCGGACTTATCCGGCATTGGACCTATTAGGCGGAATAAATAAATTTTAAGCCTCATAAGTCCCATGCTTCAAAAGTCTGTTGCCTCATAAATCTGAAATTTCGGACTTATGAGGCGTCGGACTTATGAGCGAACCCCCATTGAACATATTCAAGAAATAACGAATTAGCTGGATCCAATTTGTACATGGTAGCAATTGGAGGATTTTGCATGATTGAGGGTAGTTCCTAGCCAAAAGGGCCTGGGTGGTTTAGGGTTAATAGACATGGCAGCCCCACAGTCAAAGATTTTGACCAGGACAACTTCATCAGTTTTCAACTCTCTCCGCCTATCAATTCCAGCACTGAGAAGGGCAAAGAATACTTCATTTTGCACTGTTGCCAACTGCTCAGCTCTCACTTGTTACTGACAGAAGTATTATTTATCAGATGTTAGTGCCTGTAATGCCGTAGACTCGAAGACAAGTCACTAGACAGTCGTGTTTCGATTTTCGGCACCCCAAATATTTACTAGCACGGTGCAGTGTATCGTGTTTATCATTTGCTGGCTTTGACATGTTTTAATGACTTGACTAACATTGTTTTGGATGGATATTTATATGCGACTAGCAAAATGCACGCGCATTACATTTCCATAGAGAAGGCCAGTGACCGCTCAACTGTACCACTGAGGAAGCATCCGTTATTAGTCTGGGGATATCTTTCTCTTGATCAGTGTGCGTTTCTCTCTTTTTTTCAAAAGACTCACATTAGAATGCTAAACTCAGCAGTATAGTAATAAAATTAGAAAATATAACATGTTTTGAATTGACGGCGTAGTATACAGAAGTTTTCGGTGGAGTCAGTCAGTCAGTCATTTAGTCAGTGACTCATTCAGTGATTAGTCAGTGGCTCGGGGGGGGGGGGGGAGTCAGTCAGTCAGTGACTCGGTCGGGGAGTGACTCAGTTAGTGACTGCCAGTGACTCGGGGAGTTAGTCAGTGACTCGGTCAGTTGGTCAGGGACTCAGTCAGTTAGTGACCCAGTTAGTGACTGCCAGTTACTCGGGGAGTGGGGCAGTTTGTCAGTCAGTCAGTGACTCAATCAGTCAGTGACTCAATCAGTCAGTCGGTCTGTCATTGACTCACTCAAAGACTCAGTCAGTGCCTCGGGGAGTCAGTCAGTGACTGAGTGACGGGGAGTCACTCGGGGAGTGACTCAGTCAGTCAGTGACTCATTTAGTCAGTGACTCAATCAGTCAGTGACTCAATCAGTCAGTGACTCAGTCAGTGACTCAATCAGTCAGTGACTCAATCAGTCAGTGACTCGGGGAGTCAGTCAGTCTGTCATTGACTCACTCAAAGACTCAGTCAGTGTCTCGGGGGAGTCAGTCAGTCAGTCAGTGACTCGGTCAATCTGAGGACAATAGGCTGGTCATTCTGGTGCATCAGTACCATATGTAGAAGGAAAAAAAACAATAGTGAAAGTTATTATAGTGATTAGTGATTAGTTATTTTGCATTTTTGTTTTCGCTTACAGCTGACGGAAAGAGCTATCACAGATTACAACCGGGCCCGTAGCTACCTCGCTGATCTGACAGAGCGTCGGGGGCTGGCACTCTATGACGACATCCAGGAAACGATTGATGCACTGGTGCAGAAACTCCAAATGGAACACACCAGACAGACATGAACTACGCGTCGTAAGTGGCCTTGAAATCAGTATTGATTTGCGTACATGCGATCCCTCTCACAGTTTGAAGGAATGATTAGGATTTTTTACTGTAGGCAGGTGGGCATGGGGGGGGGGGGGGTTGACTTTAGTATTTCCTTACTAAAAAAAATATGAAATTCTGATTCCAGAATTTTCCGTTTATTTTCTGTCTGATTCCATCCAGCCAGATTTTTGTAATAAAGAGTAAGTTTTTAGTTTAAAAATCAGGGCCCAATTTCAAAGCGCTGCTTAACAGCCGATTTTGTGCTAACAGAGCCTCCGTCTTTTTCATAGGACTGTAAGCAGTAAGCACAGCAAAAGCACGCTCAACCCCGGAGCAAGAACTTGCTTAAATCAGTGGCATAATAGAAATCTCCATGCACGCGCAACCGTTAACACATCCACGCCATGAAATAATACTTAGGCTCAGCATGAGTTTCTGCTATAGTATGCACAGTTTTCTGCTAACTGTTAAGCAGCGCCATTAAAGTGGGCTCAGTTGTGAGAATATCCTCAAGAATTACTTGTGCATGCAGCACAAATTTGTGTAAGTTCTTGTAATACCCAATTGAAATAGTAAAATGACCCATGTGCCTATCGGAATCACTTGATGATAACCACTCATACCTCCCAAATCTAGCCTTTCATTAATCATTCAATGAAACACAAAGGGAAATTGACTCGGTGCATTATAACAATTTGTAAAAGTTGAACAAAGAAATTGACTGGAGCTGGGCTTGAACCCACGGGGCTTGAATCTACGGGGGTAGTGCACATGCACAAACATTGCCCTAGTTGCATGTACATGAAAAGATGACAGCACATACATCAACATTTTGTCAAGATAATGATGCGTATCAATGAAGTTTTAGTGATTATGTAGATGTATTAGGTACAACATGTATAGTAAAACAAATATAACATGGCTTATTTCGGGTGGATTGTCGATATTAGCTCCCCTCGGTTTTGGAACTTGATAGACTGGTTCCCTGACTTTTCCTTGGGAACTACATTTGTTTTGTAGTTTGTCAATTTTCATTACATCAGGGAGTTCATTACTGACTATCCCCCTCAAACCATGTTATATTTGTATACTATCTACCCTCAAACCATGGTATATTAGTAAACTACACCCCTTGAAACCACAGTATGCCACAACTGAAAAGAACAAACATGTGTTTCAAAAGTTAAGGATCACACCTTCAGTTGGATTTTTCATTGTATCTTGCCATATATGTGATAAATAGGGGTCTAGGAGTTAGTATAGGTTTTCCCGGCCGATTTCCTGAAATGTTCATTCACTTCTGAAAACCGGTCATTCGTTTTCGTCTGAATTTGAATGCACATCTTTAATCCCATTTCAATTCAACAAAAGTTCAATCGTTTTCATTGTCTGTGCATTCGGTTTTGGGAAACAGACGGCCAGTTACGTAACCTGTGCATTCATTTACGCAAGCATACCTTTTCCAAATTGAATTCAGGTACAGCTAATTTGACTGACGGTTAATAAACAAGAAACCCCTAATTGTATCTGGTGCCGATGGCATTAAACTAAAAGTGAAATAGAATGGTGAATGTTTGAAATCACCCTCTTAAAGCGAAAAAGAAGTCGTGTAAACGAATCTGAATGGACATAAACGAAAGGTGCTGCTCAATCACTTAATTGATTGAACTGAAATGGAATCGAATGCTCTGGTAGTGAAGATGAAACGTGTGCTCAGAGCAATTCTCAAATTCAGACAAACATGAATGACCGATTTTCAGAAGTGATTGAACATTTTAGGAAATTGGCCAGGAAAACCTATATTAGTTAGCCTAATAAATGATCTGTGCTTTGTAAATTCCGTGATTCTTTTTTTAATATAAATCTACTCTTGAGGCATTTTGTAAACACTCAATTTATCTACATGTACATGTATATCGATATGTGAGAGGTCTGCACAAACCAGAACATTTAAACTATTAAGAAATTTTGCACATTTTTGTGAATAAAGTAGGTTTTCTATGAACAAATTTAATTCCCAATTTTATTCGGAATTGTTAATATGTATGTACAAAAGGTTGTGATTTGTATAATTTTTAAATACTGCTTTTTTATTTCATATTTCATACTGGTTGATTTCCTCAGTCATCCAGTTCTTTCAGATTGATGGTATTATGATCCACTTTATACACAATTTTACAGCTTTTTCCTATAAATTATAAATTCTTGGGATCTGAAAACAAAACCATCCAGGGAATTACACAAAAAGCAAGGAAACGGATCAAAAGAAAATCTCTTCCTCTTTATATTTTTGGTAGCCTCATCCACTTTATGTACACATTCCAATTTTCCAGGAACTTTATATAATACTGAAATTGCTTTTTTTCTTTTCTAAATACAGTCTGTATAGATTTGCTTAAAAAGCGTTACTTGAACATTCCTAGAGATAGCTTATTATCCATGTATTGTAACAGAGTGTGTCATTGTCACATTATTGATGGCCACAAATGGCATGGACCTTCTGAACAACTTTGCTGCGGTGAAATTAATGTTTAATGATAAGCACTAAACATTCATAATATAGAATTTTGCGTCGGGGTGATGTAAATCAAATTAGGTTTTGCCCTTCACCGACGTATAAACACTGTATACTCGGTGGTTTTGTTTTTAATTTCATCTGCACTAGAAAGCAGGAGGTCGTGGGTTCGAGTCCCACCTGTGTGATTTTTGTCCAACTTTCACTCGGGAGGTAACACACTGAGTATACAGTGTTTATACATCGGTGAAGGGCAAAACCTAATGTGAAACACTAAACATGTAAAATAAAGTGTCATTTTTGTCTGACTAAAATGTCATATGTTTGGGCACAATCACTTAAATGTGTAGGTCACAACATCAACTTATGTTTCTGTCTAGTCCGCAATTCCTGAATATTTACATCTTCCAGACGCAAAACAATTTCATCTGAAGTCACAGCCTCCAAAAACAGCCTCTGTCTTTGTACAGGGTGTCCCGAAGAGTTGTGCAAGCAGATATCCTTTAATTTCTCAAAAACTACATGACATGAGTATTTCATCTTGATGGAGCATATTGATTATACTCTTGTGTATATTCAGTAAAAATGCCATGGAAATCCGTTCATGCAAACCAGAGATTTAACACATTGTAAAAGGCTATGGGTTTTTCAGCCATTCCAATGGGATTTAATACACAGTTAGTGATATCAGTGCATCAGATTGTCATGGACCTTGTCACTCTGATGTAAATTAAGTCAATTGTGCAAATCCAATAGGACATTAAAAAGAAAAGCGCGAGATATCTGCTAAGTTTCGTGCTCATTTTCTGTTGATGACTACAGGTATGTCAAAGCCTTATGAAATAGTGTTTTAGAGGCTGTAGGTTACTTATAACCAGTAGTGTTTCATGCTGCAGTACACATACACAGAGTTTAAATGAGACACATTTATGAGCATGTATAAAGTTTGTAGTATTACTTGTATACTCGTAGCCTTTTGTAATACACAAGATATTTCGAATTGTATATTATACTTATGCAAATTTGATATCCCATGTCAGTTTGTAACTTGTGAAAAACTATTTTCTCCACACAGATATATGCCCTTGATTTACAAGGTTGAAATATGTTGTCATGAAATAAAATGAATAATCGGGATGTTTTTCTACACACACATTGTATTTAATTATAACATTCTTATCTACTCCAATAGTTCTAGCATTTCACACTTATCTACATTTGTAACAATTTTGTGACAGCCATGCAAATGTGTAGTGTTTCTATATTTTTGTTAGAACACGGATTATGTATACTACCTCTTTTGCGCTCAGTAAACAAGAAATGGACTTGTCTGATGAAGTTTTTGAAAAGTTGAAACTTGAAGAGGAGCATTTGCGAATTGAGACAATTAAGACTCGAGAAAACGTAAAAGCTTCGACTTCCAAGGGCTATGCACAAACGTTCAAAAATAGACGAACGATGAAAAAGAATTACCAATGTGTATTTGGCGCGGTAGACTTTAGTTGGATCTGAAAACTGACCTCTAAGAACAATTAAACTGTTCTGCAAACTAGCAGGTTTCTTGTAATTTTGACATCATTTTGAGCCCCACTGGATATTATTTGATAATATCAAGAATATTATACCCTGACGTCAATTAATGGGTCGTTCCTAGTTAGAATACCTCACTGAAATGGTGCCTGTCTTTTATTTGTATGGATCTGAATTAAAAGGAAAAAGAAGACGAATGATGATACTGCCTTACTTGTTCTTATCTTTGCCCACTGTTATGCCTTTGACTTTTAATGTCTTGTATAAAGTTGGTCACCATTATTTGGGCTTTTCAGTCCGGCCAATGTTAGTTCCAATGTTTTTCCCGGGCAAATTTAAAGTAATGCTGAGGGAGGTAACCTTGAATTTTGACTGATATGGGCTGATGTCTTTCCTTTGAAACTGTCATGAATTTCCCTGTGAAGAAAGAAAAGCAAGTTTTGAATATTTTCTGGTCATTTTAGTTTTTGGCGAGTATTAAAGACTTTTATAGAGGATCATTTGTATTTTACCCAAAAGTAACCTAGAGAATTATTATCAATAAGTGGATTTAAGATCCTACTAATACTAAACACCCCGTGAATTTTTTTCTGGCTTGCTGTCATTTAGAAGAAATCAAGAAATGTTGGTGATTTCCAACAACCAGTCGATTTACTGATCGTTGGAAATAAAGAGTTCTTAAACGAAATCGTGTTTCGCGATCAAAAGGTTGTGCGTGCCTCTGCGCTGTTTTCACGAAAAGTGTAATATATCCACCGAGTTGCCGAAACCGCAACAGGTTAATACGTGTATTAGATTTTTTAAAATTCTTTGAATGTTGTGGTTTTATTATTGGAAACGATCAAAATGAATGAAACAAATAATAACAATACTATTGTAAGGGCTAGGGGTTAAAGAGGTTGTGGAATGCTCGAAGACATTTCCGTCATTTTTCGGGTGTATGTAGCCTAAGGTGTGATGAAATAAAAACGACTATTGTGTCTGTTTTGAAATGAGTACAAAGGGTACTTTTGAGAGCTGTTTTTCAGGTCCCGTTTCGACCCGAACGTGCAATTTGTGTAAAAGTCGTCGTTGGGGACAGCAAACAAAACATAGTAAATCGTGACGTAATAAACAGGACTCCCGATGCAGCGTAGTCGAAACAGGACCTGAAAAACAGCTCTTAAAAGTACCTTTTGTACCCATTTAATGACAGACACAAAAGTCGTTTTTATTTCATCACACCTTAGGCTACATATACCCGAAAAATGACGGAAATGTCTGCGAGCATTCCACAACATTTTTAACGTTGCATTCTAAATTGAAATAGCTCGAAATTCGACTTTTCTATGAATCACGGACTTTTAAGGCAAGATGGGCGTTTTCTGATTTTTTGTTATGACCAATAGATTCAAAGAATCATTATTCAGATTTGTACAGCGAAACAAATTAAGTAAATATATAAATAAATACAAGAGTAAGGGATTAACCTTGCAATACGGCCAATACTTCCCAAACATCCAAGAAACCATTTGCTAGCGTTTTTTCTCGAACATTTCAGCCTAAAAGTTGTATTATTCATGTAATATAAATAAAATTTTAAGAATCAGACATTTTGAGATTTAAATTGCCGTACCTCATTTTTGTGTGTGACGTCACTATCTTTGTAACGGAGGCCTAGATTTCATAACAACCATAATCCATTTTCCTTGAACTTCTTCAATTTGCCCTCGTAACCGAAAATGTGACTGAAATGCAGCACAGCCGACCTGCCAGCTTGTTTCTTGACCCAACCTTTATCCCGGAGCACGCGGCCGTCCGGGTACCTACCGGGGTCCAGTGACTTCATTCTTAGGTTTGGTTTTCTCTTCTGGATCACGCGATTCAGCACATCTTTATCCATCGTCTTCTTGTGCGTGGTGTTTAGCAGGCGCACCCACTCCCGCACCACGGCCAGCGTGTTTTCCGTTGGTCGATAGAGGGCCAACCCGTTACAGAACACAGGGCTGAGGCTTGCTGGGTTGACCTCCTGTCGCATGGCAATGTCGAAGTTGCCTCGGAAATCGGGGAACGGATCTTGAAACCAGAAAGTGTCGGCATCGGCAAAGAGTACATTGTAACCATCTTCAAGAAAGCGCAGTATGTAATGCGTGCGTCTCTTCACAAACTGGACGTACGTTCTCCCGTAAACTCGGAGTCGATCTGAAGTTGTCGCCCCTAGATTCGTTCTTTGGACGTGGAGCCCTGGGTGGAGCGTTTTCAAAGCAGACAGTCGCCTGTAAGACCTTTCGTCCTCGGCGATAACGGTGATGTTGGGACAGATTCTAAGTCTCTTGATGCTGTGCAGCATGTTCTCCGTCATGTCCAAGAACCCAGCGTTCGTCGTGGTCAGCAAGACGGTACCCGCGTGTCGGTCGATGTCGACCTGGGTGCAGAGCCGCGCAGGAATTTTCGCAGATGCATCATCAACACGGTTGCTTGACTTGACGGCGTTTGTTACACGCGTCTGCTCCTTAGAATTCGCGTTGGGATAAATATTCTTATTTGTTTGTGAACATTTCATCAATAGGCTTGCTGTACGTAAAAGACACAAAGAATTAAGGGTAAATCACATAAGAATATTTAAGAAAAACAAGGGAGGGAGATATGTTGTTTTTTTCCAAACAATTTCTTGAATGAGACTTGAGGTGTCAATAACGAAAACCAACCAAAGGGTGCGCATTACTATTGAAATGAGAATTTCTACGTGAGCTCATAAGCATGAAAAGTGCCCCCACAACTTTTGTTTTTTTAAGGAGACCGTTGAGCTTAAAAAAAAGGGAAGGATTATGTTAATATAGCCGAGGATCAACTCCCTATGGTTTTGGGTTTCCATCTAAAAATTGGTAAAATCACGGTTGAAAAAAATGGGTCCTATTTGCCTGCGAAAGTGGAGGGATGCCATTTATAAATTGGCTACATGCAGGCTTGCGGACTATCACTTTGCGGGAGGTGAGTTTGTTTTAGTGTGAATATTTAAAAATGTAATTGGCTAACCCACCAAGAATTGAAAAGAAATAGAAAAACGATGGACAAGACAATCATTTAATTTTGTCTGAGAAACCCCAGTGATGTTGGCTTGCATGTTATTTGGCCCTGAACTTTGTTGATTTTACACTGTTTTCAATGAGGCTTGAATTGGTGCAGTGCACCGCAAAATACATCATAGGCTAATCAACATTTTCCAGAAAGCAACTTTGACTTTAAAGTTCTATTTTCATTTTTGACAAAGTAAAATAGACCTTTCATCGTTCTTTGTTTAATTGTTATTATACCCCTGCATTTTATTTTAATAGGCCTATAGGTTTTCTCGTTCAATTTCCTAAAATGTTCATTCACTAAAAATCGGTCATCCATTTTCGCCTGAATTTGAAAACCGCTCTGAACACGCGTTTCATTTTCGCTACCAGAGCATTCGATTCCATTTCAGTTCAATCAATTAAGTGATTGAGCAGCACCTTTCGTTTGTCCATTCAAGACTTCTTTTTCGCTTTTAGAAGGCGATTTCAAACATTCACCATTCTATTTCACTTTAAGTTTAATGCAATCGGCACATACATTTAGTGAAAATGTGAATGCACAGTTAACGTAATTGGCCGTCTGTTTCTCAAAACCGAATGCACGGACAATGAAAACGATTGAACTTGACCGGGAAATTGGCCGGGAAAACCTATATTTATGAATATCAAGCACAGGCGCGGTTCTACGGGGGGGGGGGGGGGCTAGGGGGGGGGCTGTAGCCCCAAAACATTTTGGTTAGGCCCCCCTCAAATAAATTCCTTAAAAAAAAAAAATGCATTAGCAAAAAGAAGGATTGTGATGTACATGCGAACGGTCTCCCCCTAAAGAAGAAATAGCCGTGACAAGGGTGCATTAGTTAATATAGTGTATTTTCGGAGGCCTAAGTGTCTGGAAAAAATAACCGGTCAACATTTCAGCACGCCTCCCTGAAAAAAATCTGGATCCACCTTTCTAGCCCCCCCAAAATATTGGTTCTAGAACCGCGCCTGATCAAGCAGCCCTTTCATTAAAGATGGTATCTCATTATAAATGTCAGGCATGAATACCACATTATTTACCCGCAAGAATAAGCAGCAGCAAGGAGCAAACAAAGCACCAAGCATTGACCTTCCGCGTTGCCATGACGGTTGCCATGGGAACCAAGCCAGCCATATCGCCACCTGTTAATAAAATCCATCATGGCTCCATTATGACTGCTGCACTTGGAAGATATATTCATCATAAAGAACAATGCTTTTCTTCGTTTGGTGTGCTTGCTATACCCGAATACAACAGGTATAAGAATATAGGCGCACAATGTTGGGTGATTTTTTCTTCTGATATTGCCATAAAAAAAAGAAATGAGCAGTAATATAGAAGCTTGATGCAGTCAAACAATTATATCTGGAAAAAAACCCCGACAAATATAGATCTTGAAACTCAAGCAAAATCATTTTAATTCTACACAACTGGCGACAAAATTGGACCTGGGGTCCCTTAATGTAGCCACATTTACCGACGTTTAAACAATGAAATCGTTCGGTTAAATAGCTGTTATAACCCATTTCGAACCTTAATTACCAATGTTAAATTGTATACAGAGGTCCTACCAACAAAAACAGTGAAGAACAGTTGAAGCCACATATACCTCATGCGTTGTAGGTATTGTTATTTTTAATTTTTTACAAATGAATGAACGTACAGTGGTAGTAAACCATTGCCCTCAATCGCTTTAAAATGCATTGTAAGGAAAATAATTTTGTGACTTTAAAGAATAATAGAAAATAACTTACACGTGTTTCCGATGAAAGTCACACAGGGTCTGTGTTTGGTGCATGGAGCTGAGCGGAGTGTTTTATATTTAGATTGCCGTTCTCTTGTTTCCATTGTCACCACAGGGCGGCGTTATTACAATATGGATGGTTACATTTTGTATATATCGACACATTTAATCTGCGCATGCCCATCAACAAATACACCACCGGGCCACTGATCTCTATATAAAGACTGGATAGCTAATAAAGAGCCGCACAATGAATGAATTTGACGCCATATTGGTGAGACCGGCTGGTGATCTACAAGGGACAAGTTGCCGTTTTTATAGACAGCATGATTTCTTTTGTAACGTCGCGGTTCACTTGACTTATATTTTGACCACCACCACTGACCAAGGTTAACTACAGTTTTTCTAACGTCGTGGTTACTAAAATGCCGCAAATATCACTTTTTCGGCGTTTTGAAATAATAATCACTACGGAAATGTGTCCCTTTTAGAACATCATATAATATGTGTACGTGCCCAAAATGCGCGTCAACTGTCGATACAACGCGCGCGTATTTACGCGTAGAACGTTCGTATTATACGCATAGATATAGACCGCTTGCAGACGCGTTCGATAATCGACGCGCGAAGGCGCGCGACGCCATGTTGTGGGACAAGCGCATATCTATCCATGCACATTTTGTCCCACAACATGGCGTCGCCCACCTTCGCGCGTCAATTATCGAACGCGTCTGCAAGCGGTCTATAGAACTTAAAATAACTAGATCGGACGCGCGTTCGAACGCGCCATTCACTGTGCACAAAACTTCTGGGTTCTTCATGGACGCGCTGCAAAGTCACGTGAATAGGGCCACGCGCAAAGGGCAGCTGGTGAATGCTGGACGGAAAAATATCGCCAACACCCCCACCTGAATTCAGCTATGCGTTAAAGTTCTTAACAACAGGTTGACATTTTTAACTACGATTTTTGACAATGTGAAATTTCATATTCCTTTGAAAAGTTACACATGAGTTTGCCTCTGTGTCTTATTTGGGGCCAAATTGGCGACTGTGTTGAAGGTAATTGATTTTCAGCCAAGAATACTAATTTGTACCGAAAAGTAGCCACATTGTGTTCTTATATCTTTAACAAAGGCAAATGTCAAAAGCGTAGTTAAATGTCAACCTGTTTCATGAGATTTTCCCCTCTTTTTAAAATGTGCAATAAAAATCAACCGTTACTTGCCTATCAGACAAAACATAAACTTTTAATTTTACCAACATCAAAATGAAATAACAGAAAATCACTTTGTAAATGAGCAACGATAAAAACGGGCACTCGAAATATTGCGTTGCTTTAATAATAATAATAGCTTTATTTACAGATGGTAGCCATGTCACCTGACAGATGATTTTCAATGGGCCATCAATTAATACTGCTAACCTCAATAGGAACATTACATTTGAAATGAATGGATGACTACAAAAACAAGTCTCTGGCCATCTGTTGTGAGTACTGAACAAACTAATACTTAAATAACTTTTAGGTAATAAACAATTTATATACAATGAAAACTTACTTAGCTAATAAATAATCTGATGAAATGGCAGTTCCATATCCATATCCTCCATTAATCAAGATGTCAAGAATATCATTGCTCATGAAAAAATACATTTGGTTGTCACCATTCGAATATTTATGTGAAGGTCTAGCCTATGCAACTACCAGCAGGTGAGTATTGCTTCCCATAAATTTATGAACCAGAATAAGTAATCCAATATATCTTCCTCATATGCATGAACGCTAACTGAGGGCTATTCAATCTTTCAATTTCTGAGGGGCAACAATAAGACGATAACGAAATACTAAGCGAAACTTGTTACATTTTAGCTATGGTCCACGCACGAGGCCCAGTTATGCATGCGTGGCCAGCTATCTCCTCACTGTACGCACAGTCGGCAGTGCAATCTTCTTTCTGACGAAGATGTACGCTTTTGTCGAGCAGTGCAAACTTCTTCATCTGTTCACTATGATTGTGATTCGTTGAGCAAGGCGCAGTTTTCCCAGCTCCAGCAAAGTGACTTTCAATTGCAGAATAGGAAACTGTGTTTCCATCTGGTCGGCCGTCTCTGGAGTAACAAGTTGCTCCTCTTACAGGCCTTTTACCACCTCTCTGACGGATAAGATCTTTTTTGACATGATCGTCGATTTTCCTGCCGGAGTTGTCTGTTTTCCTGTTCAAGCTTGGATTATATAGCCTTTCTGCTACTGTACTTCCGAGGGTAGATCCATTTCTGGTGGTAGACTGTATGCATGCTCTATCGCTGATGTTTGTTTCGCCGGTACAGCCATGCACTGAAGCAATATCTTCGACGGGGGCTTGGGTCGGTTCTTTCCTTGCCGTCGGCAGCTTTTCTCTCTCGTGCTGAAGTCCATACACGAGACTGTAGTCTTTCTACGAAATAAAACAAATAAAGCACATGATAGGCCTTTAAATACATGACAGTAATTATCGATAGCCTATCCTGGCCGCAAGGCTCATTGTAATACTTACAGGCTTCAAATGAGTCGGGTAGTCTTCAAAGATTGACGGTATGGCATCGACACGCAGACGTGTTTTCCCCCCATTCCACCTTGAAGCACTCTGCAGGGAAATGGTCGCTGCAAAGACGATCGTGCTTTGTTGGATTCCATTTGCTGCCATTTGGAATATTTCTAGGAGAATGGTGCATTTTCTTTAATCACCCACATCCCACAACAAAAAGTGACTCCCAATCCTCGTTCCCCCGCAATCCTCGTTCGGACTATTATTGAAAAGCAGGAGAGGGGAGGGTGATGTTAGGCCAGAAATAGGCCCTAATATTGTTATTCGATGTTCAGGATCAGAAGTACCATCTTAACTTTTAAAACAAAACACTGAAAATATTTTAAGTAGGCCCTGCGCGGTTATTACAAAATTCGGAGGATCCTTTGGATCACACATGGGGGATTTTTCTCCACACCCATTCCTGTGATTTATGCCCATTCGGCATTGCGTAACGTAGCCTATATTGAGTTAATTTTTATAAAAGCTGTCTTGTTCGAAATGTACTCTCAAGAGATAAATTCTGTGTATAAAGTTACTCGCACATGATGTTAACTTCTTGAGAGACTGTCCTCCGGGTCCCTTTCTCCGTCTTAGTTGAACTTTGCTGCCGCACAGATTGCCACCATTTTCAAGCAGTGATGGAGTACAAGTGATCGTCATGCCGAAGAAATGCGCGTTTAAATTGTTGACCCTATTCACGTGACCAATGGCAGCGTCCTGTCAAAACGCGCGTATCATACGCGCGTCCGATCTAGTTTTTTAAGTTCTATATTTATGATTATACGCGGCCATCTTCGTGAGACCGGGGGCGAATTGGTCAATATGCAAAGTCTACTGTGTGAATGTTGTATGCATATCCGCTATCCAGTCTTTATATAGAGATCAGTGCACCGGGCACGTCCGTACGCGCGCCTATAGCCCTTATACGCGTCGCGTACCTCGCGGCAAAACTGCATAATATAGGTTTTCCCGGCCAATTGCGCAAAAATAGCATTCGAATTCATCTTGATAGTGGCCAATTTGAAGCGAAGTAGCGCCCTGCTGTCATTCCCGTGGTTCGTATTAGATTTCAGGCGTTCAAATTCGTTTTAAGGCCTGACATTTTCATGTTTAGCACATCCTAAATTGAAGTTTTGTCATTCGGTTTAAGTGATCATTTAATTGAGCAGTCGGTTTGGTTTAGGGTTATTTGCATCAGATTCTTGTTTTCGTTTTCATTTCCGTGCATTCTATTCAGCACTTTTTTCATTCAAAATAAAAGTCAACGAAGGTATACGATGCGAGGCTTTTCATTTCTTTCACCTTTTCTGTATTTCTGCTTCATGTCGTGGTCCATTTTTGTGTTTCTTGCCCCTCTTCTTGGCAGGTTTTCCCGTCTGCCAGATCTCACGTTTCTACAATTGACCTGGCAGTAGATATCTGTTTATACCAAGATTGTCTGCAAGTTCAAGATAATTGGGCATCAAACGAGCACGGTCTACAATTGAAATTCTCATATAACGCCCATGAGCTGGCACATTGATATTTCTAGCGATTCAATCTAACAGTTTGCATGGTGATCAGAGTAGTGACAGAGTCTTGCTTTTTTATATCTATATTTCCAAATTGGAACAACTGCTCTTCAACTCATTCTAACAAACGACGGAACGACATGGACCTATTTCGAATTACTTTGTCTACTTTCCACATATGCTTGCTTAATGGTGAATTCGAATGACCACACTTACACAGCACGAAGCTCCGGCGAATTTGGATGCTGTTTGTGCATTTATAATTTGAATGCCTTTTTTTTTAAATGGCATGATTAAAATGTGAAAACGCATGTTTCTAATGTGAAATTGAGTGGTGGTTTTAGGTAATTGAATGTTGATCTCAACGTGCATTCAAATTCGTGCGAAAATGGGTGATTGGTCGCCAATTTGGCCGCCAAATCTGCTAACTTGGCCGGGAAAACCTATATTACTATTTAATTGTTTTTAAGGGGTTCATGTAATGTAATTTTTTAATGCAATCCTTGAAAATGCATCTTTGTGTCCCATTTAACCTTATTTTTCAATTTTCATTTTGCCATTTTTATAGGCATTTTGGTGCCTTTTTGGTTTTTATGCTAATGAAATTTCCATATTCATGAGCAAAAGTGGGATCTCATATCAGGCAGATATTTTAGTACCAAAAATTTGGCAGAATTGTTGATATTTTGCCGTTGTAAATTTTCGTTGTTGTTTCGGTACACGACTGCAAGCCCTACCCACCCCCACCCCCATTTCCCCAGGCCAACAAAATATGCCCCTCTCGCGGTCATCATGTGCCCCCTCGAGACGAAAACAAAACTGCCCATCAAATGCACTCATGAAGAAAGCATTATGATCGCGCTTAAAAATTGTCTCCTCTCTAGTAATGCAAAAGTGCGGCCCCTCAAAAACACAAATACCCCTCGCTTATTAACAAGATTGTGAACCTTCTCGAGATGGAAAACTATCCCTCGAAAACACGAACAACTCTCTCGCAATAATAAAATTGCTCCCCGCTCGAGATGGGAAATTGGCCATCAAAAACAATAGTGCTCCTCTCGCGATAACTTATCGAGATGGAAAACTGCCCCTCGAAAGCACAATTAGTGCACCGCTCGCAACATTAAAACTGTGCTCCTCTCTAGATGGAAAGTTGGCCTGTAAAAAATTACTAGTGCTCCTCACGCGAATAAAATTCAAAAGCAACAGTGCCCCTCTGACGACATAAAAATGGTCCATTTGCATAAGCCCATAGTCAAACTCAAGGGCGGACCCAAATAGGTTCCTGCCGGGGGTTGCCGGAGGCCGAAGGGCTCTCTCAAGTGAACAATTTACCTTATTTGAGAACAATACGGCTATATTGAGACTATTTTAGGAATAGGCCTATACTGTATTTTTTGAGTAAGGAATTAAGATTTTAATTTTTTTTAACGCAAATATTATTAACAGTGTATATCAATGTTGTTAGTAATTTTGTTCCGGGTATTCCTTTCAATAGTTTCACATAGTTTCACAATTTTCTCCTCTTTCACACCGAGGGAATGTGCTTTTTTTCTAAGCAAGTGCCCCATTTTGGTGATGCCCCCTAGTTTAAAAAGCGTTCAGCCGCCGCTATCTGTCGTTATAGACTCATCTTGAACGAGTGACTCGTCTTGGACACCGTCCCCATATTAGCATAATTTAGCAAATTATCATATTAGCAAATTTGCTCACTGGAAAATGTCTGATTTGTCACCTCCTGAAATTGTTCTGCTTTCAGAACTTCATGTAGTTCTTTAAAAGCAGTATACGATTTTCAGGAAGTGAAAGATCATACGTTTTTAAATTCGCTATAAACATATTTAGTGTTTGAGGACGGTGTCTTTATGTCTGACGTTAACAGCGACAGCACAGGGTGAGTAAAAGGGAAGTTCTTCATGTAGCACTTTCAAAATCTAGGATTTGTAAGCCCAATTCATAAGCTTTCTTTCAGTACACGAATCATTCAAATCACTCATGTAGTTTTGTAGTGTTGAAAAACAACCACCGTTTTATAGCTCTGTCCACGGATTTAAAGTTCTGTCCGCGGATCACAAAAAGGTGTGTTCTTTCCGCAAAACGAAAAAAAAAACCAATCTGGATGTGTGTGAATTGTTTTCGTTTCGCTGAAAGAACGCGCACTATTTGTGTGATCCGTGTACAGAACTTTAAAACGGAGGTCGTCTTTAAGGCCAAAAAAAAAAAGTCTACGGTTTCTGGTATGGAGCTTGCCCAAAAAGTGGTGCGGCGAAGCGGCTTTTTTTGTTTTTTTTTACCTGATTTTTTTTGCCTCAAATGTCGGCTGATGACTGCAAATGGTACCCGACTAAACTTAGTGCAAATATATGGGAGTCCAGAGAGGCCACATAAAGCTTATTCTCGATCATAACCCCATCCAAAAACACGTTAAAATTGTGCAGCAGCAGGATTCGTCAAACCAGTGAGTTTGGCGGTTTTGAGACATCTTCTTTCATTGAAAAAAAAACCTTTTCAAATCATTTTGCCGACGCGCATGGCTACGGCGACGCGCGCGCATACCAGAAACCGGAGACTTTTTTTTTGGCCTAAAATTCCGCAACTTGAAAAGTACATGGGTGATTTGAATGATTCTTGTACTAAACGAAAGCTTATGAATTGGACTTTCATATCCTTGATTTTGAAAGTACAGAATTTCACTAAAACAATAGTTCCGACATTTGGGTTTCGTTGTTTTGTTTTTTAACTCACCCTGTATACAAGACTAGTCGTTCAAAAGGAAACTATTGACGACAGAGGCAGTTTGGCTATAAACCCCTATACATGTAATTTCTGTACCCAACTTTCATGTGATACCTTTACAGAACCCTCCATATCAAACACATGCAGCGAAAAAAAAACGTACACGTTAAATTAATTCCATGTCGGTTTATTTATGCATATATATTACTTTCTTTTGCGCGTATCTAGTGCTAATATTTCGCTGGTAAATACAATTAAAAATCGTATTTGTGCATTTTCATTTCTGGAGTAGATAATGCATTTGGAAGTCGCGGTTGTAAGATTTTATATTTGGCTGTGTTGACAATAATTTCAATACATGCACATACAATAACAATGCAGGCCCACGTGCAATCCATGGTCATATATACAGGTAGCTAAAATAACCTTCTATGTACAATAGGCCTACTGTTTTAACCCTTTACGCTAAAATGAAGTTTCAAATATTCACAGAAACCGTGTGAAGACAGTCAACTTTAGGAAATGTTTTTGCAACTTTTAAAGTTAGGTATTTATTATTAATTGTTCACCTTTGGTAGTTATCTTTTCACTTAAGTTAACAATAGACTTAGTGCCCATTGTGGGGAATTTTTAGACTTTAACGACGAAACCATGTTTTAAAAAAAGTTCTAATTGTGTTGCAGACAACCCAAAATGGGGGAATTTTTTTTTTGGTTGTAATATAACTTACAAATCCAGGGCGGATCTAGCTTTCAATGATGAAGGCATTCCGAGCTCGCTCTGCTGATTGGCATGCCCCCCCCCCGGAAAATTAATCTACGATGATTTCTCCTACATGCTAAGGCAATTTCAGAATAAAGTTCAGAACTTAAGCATTCCACTCATTACTTTTGGCCCCGTTTTACTAGTTTCATAACATCAGTCAGCGGCAGAACGGGCGGGCCTACTACTGCAAGTTGGACATTTATTGATAGGAAAAAAAATGGAATTTGTTGAAGAGCATGGGCAAAATAAATTTAAAGTCGTTAATTTCTGAACCTTTTCCATCATTTATGATAACACGCTGTACCTGCATATAATCTGTCAACTCTTGAATGTAAATAAACCTTCAAATTTCAAAACCATTTCAAAAGCAATTTAAAAAAAAACTAGGCAATAAGTTGATTAACTTATTTTGTAGGAAACGTACTTCCCATATGCATTGCATTTCACTATGCAGTCATGGCAGTTACTCACATTTCGAACTCAAAACCCTTTTTTTAATGGTAATATATGTTAAGGTAAACCTGAGCACAGTTATTGAATTATTTCATGTACCAATTACTGCATATTGCCCCTTAACGGCTGCTCTAACTGTGTATGTATTTAAGACCACAAATTCAAAGATGTACTGTATGAACATGCCATTTTTGAGTTTCACCTCTAAGAATAGATTTTGATTTTAAATTGCTATTTTTTTCAGGCAACACCAAAATGTATTCACTTTTGAAAAAGACATAATAAAAATAAAAAACCAAACATAAAAAATAAAAAAACCAAACATGTTTAGCGTCCTGCCTTTTTGGAAAAAAAGGAAGGAGGCGGCCCTTTTTTCCCCTCCAAAATGGCCGCCCAACCGGGCTATTTTTCAAGATGGCCGCCAGCTTGTTTTTTTAAATGGCCACCACTTGGACTCAGGGAATGATATACCAGCTGTATATGGGCTAGATGCAACAGACAAAGAGGTCAAAATGATGTCACTGTTTAAAATTTATCATTTTTTTTCGTAAAAAAAAGAAGAAAAAAAAAGAAAAGAGGCCTCCAATTGAAAAAAGGAAGCGGGTTGGGACGCTATATTTTTTTATTTGGCCTAAAAAGGATTTAAAGACTTGAACCCAGTCTAACTGGTATTGGCAGGGCAGATCTGTTTATGCACAAAATCAACCCAAATAATTTTTTTCATTAAAAAGTAACATTCAAAGGTCACAAGTAGTTCTGAAATTGATAAAATTGACTTGCTGAAGAGCATGGACAGTACAACGTAAGAATTATGTATCTGTTCTGAAAATAAGCATGCTACCTTTCCATTTGGAGACTTTTACCAAGGTAACTAATACCAAGGTAACTTTTACCAAGGTTACTTTTACCACGGTGTGAATAAAACTGTACAAATTTATACAATGACTTCTGAATACAATATTTTACATGGAGAATTACGTAAGGCATATAGTTTCATACCGAGCTGTGGATGAGTTTGAGGTGGCCAGTTTATAGTAAGACATGCACAGATAGTCAGTAGTCACACAATACAAATTTATAGTTGTCATGTGATATTTGTGTTTATACTTTTAGGGGTGTGCATCGGAACCGGGTACCCGAGTACCCAACTGTTGATGTCAGGAACCGGTTCCAGATTCTGGGATCGAGTACCCGTAACCAAATTTACAAATTACCTAGTAACTTCTCAAACAATGGAAAAGCAAGATTTTGAATGTCTTTTGTGGGGACTTTTGTCCGGATCAGAATTGTGGGTTTTTTTTGGAAGTGCACGATGAACCCTTTTAAAATGCGCCCCACAGTAAGAAAATCATTTGCTGACAAACTTTTAGTTGGGTACGGGAGTGGAAGCAATGATGATTTCTCAGAATTTATCAACTTTTAAGAAATTCTTAAATGCTAACTTGGGATATTCGTTCAAGTGCGCCACGTTAGGTATCACCCAGCCAATTCTGTGTCCAATTTCCGGACGCCTGAATGGTGGCCTTTGTCACTCGCACTGTCACCACATGCCCAGCCTTTGTGGGATCTTGACATAATGGAATTGAGGTCAGCAACCATGTCAAAGTTCAATTGTTTTGACCTTGTTTCTTGTCAGTGTCTTTGGTGAAAGTATAAATGTGTATGTCGTGGTAGATCTGTGTTAAAGATAATCCTTTGTCAGTGTTTTGTCATGTGACCATCACGTGACCAACTATAAACTGGCCATTAAACATGGAGGCATTGTGTTCATCACCTGTAGGCAAGAGAAGAGACCTGGATGGTTTTCTTGGGAGACGGTCGGATCCCAAACCAAGACGTCTGCGGAAGAAACAAGAGAAATTTTACGGTAAATGGACTTGTTAAGGTGTCTGTTTTCGGGAACATGTATTTTTTGGAGGATGACTCAAGTACACAAGACGAAGAGGCAACTTCCCATAGATGGACTCCATGCTGATTAAGAATACTTGTCAGACTTACCTTCCATTCCAAAGTCTTGTTAATCAGTTTCTCTTCGTGTGGTGTAAACTCCAGCAATGTCGATACTGCCTTCAGTAACTGCTTGGCCTGTCAAGAGAATCACAACCACCATCTTCAGAAGCTATTCATGGCCACATCACTCTTCCATGACTCTCTGGCTTGAACTCTTGCCATTTTTCAACATGTGTACACTATTTTAAAAGTTTCGTTACGACATCTGCTGCTGCATCAGATTCAAACTGGCCAGCTGACCCCGGCAAGCTTGGTGGTCGTGTGGTGAGATGTCTGTACTCCTAAGCAGGAGGTCATTGGCTCGAGTCCCACCAGAGTAAGCTTGTGAATTTTTCCTCCAAACCCTTGGACAACACTGAGTAAATAGTATTCATAAAATATGTGTTCACTGTTATGCTTTCTTTAAGCACTGTTATGCTTTCTTCTGTTATGCTTTCTTTTAACAGGACCCACCTCACTATCAGTGCTACTCATGAACTTGAACACGACGTGTCGGAGATACTGGAAGTTGACTTCTCTGACATCCTGCCGATCCAGGCCCGCGCAGTGTGGACTCAACGAGGAACTGGCCTGAGTGTTAGGAGACTCTGTGGGCCCTGAGTTATGACTGTACCCTGGTGATTGGCCTACACTACTGTTACTAAATGCTGGCGAGCTGCAGCTTTTATTCAACCCTGCAGAGATTGAACTTTGACCCTTGTCTCTGGTAACTTCCTCTGGCGAGTCGTAGCCGGTGGAATTCTGGATTTTCTGTGGACGTGAAAAAAAGGATTGGTAGGAGGTTTTTACAAAAGGCGCTTGGGACTTCGTACACAGGTATCCTCTCAATGGGAACCAACAGTGCTGAAGTCAAGTCCAAGGTCTGGTCAAAAGGGAATCACAAGTCCTTTCATTAGTGCAGTTAAAAGTAATGGGAGTTAAACAATAACAAAATAGCCTTTGTTACAGCTCAATTGAATAGCTTGAGACTTGACTGACTGTGGCGGACGTCTGAGGACTTGTAAGCACTTGTCAGTTCCTGCGAAGACTTGTAAGGACTTGTGAGGACTTGTAAGGACTTGTAAGGACTTGTGAGGACTTGTGAGGACTAATCTTTCATTAGTGCAGTCCAAAGTAATGGGGGTTAAACAATAACAAAATAGCCTTTGTTACAGCTCAATGGAATAGCTTGAGACTTGACTTGTGGCAGACTTATGAGGACTTGTATGGACTTGTGAGGACTTGTGAGGACTTGTATGGACTTGTAAGGACTTGTCAGTTCCTGTGAATACTTGTAAGGACTTGTGATGACTTGTAAGGACTTGTATGGACTTGTGATGACTTGTGAGGACTTGTATGGACTTGTAAGGACTTGTATGAACATGTGAGGAGTTGTGAGGACTTGTGATAACATGTGAGGACTTGTGGTGACATGTGAGGACTTGTAAGGCCTTGTAAGGACCAGTGAGGAATTGTGAGGACTTGCCGGGACTTGTAAGAACTTGTGATAACTTGAGTACAACACTGGTAACAAACAGACCCATGTGATGGAAACTGGAATGGCATTACTGACATCATACACACAATAGTAATCTGCAGGCGCAAAGAATGGTATGTCTAATTTGCCATAAAATACACTAAGGGTTTCAGACACTGTTTCTAAGTACGCTTTTACTCTACAGCTAACTCTGGCTAAAGTCAGCACTGATGTGCAAACGGCACACACCCTACATGTATCCGATCACTTCCCATCCTAATGTAAACACGTAGCCGAGTGGCAGTCTTGGTCCTAGAGTGGATCTGGCAATTGTACTCTTAATGCATTTGGTCTCAATTTATGGCAGGCGTAAAGTCAAGCTACTGTGGCAGCAGAGGGCGCTATTAGCATGATAAATCAGATCCTATCTTGGGAATGATGGCGCTTGGACCCGAGAAATTTGTGTGAGTACATGTACATCACGCACACATTATTAAAATTTTATAGAGCACACATGAAAGCACACATTGCTCCTGAAAAATATTCCAGCCGAATGTGAACACAACCAAATACCCAATGCCCGTCTATTTTCTGAAATCTTACCAGTTCTCTCTGTAGTGTTTTCTTCAGGTCAGCTAACCTCTGTTGCTGCATCTTAATCGTTTTGTTCTTCTCGCTAAGCTGTTGTTCCTGCTCTTCAAGAGTTTGCTTCAACTTCTCGATATCCTACAAGAACACAAGAACGCAAACCTTCAAGATGTACTGCCCTTGCTATTTTTGAGTTTCACCCTGAAAACTAGATACATTTTTTTAATTGCAATTTTTTTCTAGAAATACTAAACGTTATCCATTTTCGTTTTTTGGAACAATGAACGGAAAATTAAAGCACACAAATTCAGTTATGGAATAATTACTTCAAAATTATCAAATTATTTGCAGTCTGATAATAATGCAATTCTCTCGAGGTAGACTGGTTCCCGCCACCCTATCCAATTCGATAATGTAGGGACCGGAACCAGTCAACATGCACGGGGCAGCTGTTGAAATAAAAGCTTTTAGCAGAGAGACACCCACAATTGGAAAAAAAAGTAGTTTTATAGTTAAAATATAACATACAACTTGAAAATTCGGATTAAAACATTGATTTCTCAAAGAGCATTGAAAACTTCAAAGAGCATTGAAAGTGCATCTAGGTCATATCACTCTGTAATCAAAGTATAAGGCCTACGGGCTAGTTTTCAAGGTTATCAGATATCTCTGTTATTTTAGGAAACGGAATGGATAATAGTGGCACTGCTTAGTCTTTAAAATAAACTGACCTAAAAAAAGGGCCTCTCATTAGTATAGTCAGTCGAGTTTATATAACTGACATACAGATCCTAGTCATTTGATTGGTGGAACTCACATCACGTGGCATTCGTTATTGCTCCCATTCATGCCACGGCTCAAAAAGTACTATCCGCCCATGGGGAATGGGAAATACTATTCAACAGTTAGGATCATGACGCGGTATTTGTGTGCAAATGCATGCTGGTGTGCGCGTTCAGCGTTGCGCGTAGCGCGTATTGTTCCAAAGAGCCAGCGCTACAGCGTTGGGTTCAAACATTTTCGTGAAGGGGTGGTTTGGAAGAGACAAATACACTTTCCTCCAGGTTTGTATTGAAATAAAAGTTCAAATATATCAAATGACAAGGATCTATATGTCAGTTAAATAAAACAAATATTGAGTGGCTTTAAATTGTGAAATGGGAGGAATATTATCGCTCGGTAAAATCTGGACTTTTCCATTTCACTCGGCTTCGCCTCGTGAAATGGAAAAGTCCAGATTTTACCTTGCGATAATATTCCTCCCATTCCACGCTGAGCCACTCAATATTTGTATACTATCACAAGTTTATCAAAAAGTCTTCACAAGTCCACCAGATGAAGTCACTCAGTCCCGAGTCATGTCACAAGCTATTCAATGAATGCTAACGAAGACAATCATTTGTTATTGTTCATCCCTTGTTATTTGTGACCAGCTTGTTGGAAGGGACTTGTGCCTGGACTTGACTACAACAATGAAATGTCATGAACTCTGACCTCAGCTTCATTGACCCCGTTGGTGTCAGCTTGGGCTGCTGCCTCCAATTCCTTTATCTGCAAATAAACCAACATTAATTACTGACTCATTATTGCGGAGTCCAATAACATGGTGCACCCTGATGTTGTCTTAGAAACAGAGTTGTAATGACTCAAGTCAATGACTCGACTCGAGTCCGACTCGAGTCACAATTTTTGGTGACTCGACTCGACTCGAGTCCCTAAGGGTAAATGACTCGACTAGACTCGAGTCACTGCAAGCCAATGACTCGAGTCACTGCGAGCAAATGACTCGACTCGACTCGAGTCCCTCATCAGAAGACTCGACTCGACTCGAGCGAAGGCTAATAAGACTCGAGTCCCAAAAAATAAAAGCACAACTTTGCGAAAAGTATTTGCAATGACTTACGGTGCAAAGTTATGCTCACTTCGCTTTGCGAATAGCAGTCATGTATAAATATACAACATGTCACAGACTCCCACCTCATGGTTCTAGAACGCACAAAATACTATCCAGGAACCAGATTTTTAAACACATTTTCTAATTCGCTGTTTCATCATTGGCTTTGGGCGATTTCTTATAAAGCTCTTGGATTCGAACGCTGGCTTAACTTATGGCCTCCTTTTATCAATTTTGGTATATAGTGTTCAAATATTCGAGACTCGAATTGACTCGAGCTAAATATTTGACTCGACTTGACTCGACTCGACCTTTTGACCTAATGACTCGACTCGACTCGAGTCACTTCTTGAAAATGACTCGACTCGACTCGAGTCACTTCTTTAAAATGACTCGACTCGACTCGAGTCATTTTAAAATGACTCGACTCGAGTCACAAAAATCAGTGACTCGTTACAACTCTGCTTAGAAATGCCCAACAGCTTGCCATTCAGAACTCGGACACAGCGTTACAAGCAATCCTCTATCCTGCATATCGTTCACCTCCTTAATTCAATTAACCTATCGCGGTAGAATTGCGTCAACGCATGCTTGTGAAATATTGTCCAAAGAATTTAATTGAAATCATCCAAATCACTCACGTCATTTTCAAGTTACGGAATTTTAAACACAACCACTGTTTTAAAGTTCTGTCCACGGATCACAAACAGGTAAGTGTTCTTTCAGCAAAACGAAAACAAATCACATAGGGATGTGTGTGAATTTATTTCATTTTGCTGAAAGAATGCACACCTTTTTCTGTAATCCGTGGACAGAACTTTAAAACGGTGCTTGTGTTTAAAATTCTGTAACTTGTAAAGTACATGAGTGATTTGAATGATTCTTGTACTAAAAGAAAGCTTATGAATTGGGCTTTCATATCCTAGATTTTGAAAGTGCTACATTAAACTTCACTAAAACAATGGTCCCGACATTTGGGTTTCGTTTTTTTTAAACCCCTGTAGAAAGTTGCACAAAATGTGTTCCTCAGAAAAATTCATTTCATGGACCCTTTAACTTTGCGAAGCACAGAATTAGTGTTGCTATGTAAAGCCGGTTATCCGCCCCCAATAAAGCATATGATAACACAGTGGCTGTGACCGGTCCTTGGCTGATTTTTGTTAACAAGATAAAATCTGCTGAGAGAAATCGGAACAAACCTTGGATTGGTGCACCTCAATCGCTTCCTCCTTCTCGGCGACGGTTTGCTTCAAGACGCTGATGCTCTCGTTCTTCTCAAACAGCGCCCTCTGTGCCTGGTCGTGGTTAGTCTGCGTCTCCACGTCCTGCTGAGCGAGACTGTTGGCCAGCTCCAAGTTCTGGCGTTTCAACTCCTCATTCTCTGTTAGGTTTTAAAACAGAGCATGTTCGGAATTTCATACAAAAATTTGTGCTGATGGCCTCAATTTTCTTTTCTTATTAAAGGGAATATACAACATTTGCAAACATCGAAAAATAAAACTACCAAGATTTTACGAAATACCTTACTAGGATGTTGGTAAATGACAGTCTAAAGCATCCTGTAAAATTATGGCACCTAGTGTGAAGTCATTTTCAAGAAAATGATATTTTTGTATACATTTTCAACGGTGGTCGGCCGACCACCGTTGGAAAAAACTGACTATTTTTCCACTACTGCTCCAAATTTACCATTTTTTTTTTCAGTCCAAATTTTGTTTGCTATTGGTTACATGTTCACGAACAGGTGCAGGCCAGCTAGACTGGTTCCCTTACCTTACAATTTTCCGGCATCTATAAATTGATCCATTTTATCTTTAGTGGAGTCAGGGAACCAGACTACTTGAACATTTTTGTTTTTCTTGATTTTCCAGCTTTTTCGAACACAAAACTTCCAACATGTCAGTGTAACAATATTCGATCTGTTATACTAACCCCTCAAAATAGTTCATTTCTGAAAATTACAGCAAAAACCAATGATGTACATTCCCTTTAAATACACTATGAACCAGAAATATCTGAAACACTTTTGAACCGGACAAAACATCTGAAACGTGAACAATGACGCACTGTGGAGAGCAGTGAAGCTTGACTGATGCTGTCCGCTTGCCCTGAGCTTAACCACACAAAAGAATTGTGCAGGGATTTGAAGTGTTATCCACACTTCATGGAATATCACCTCAAAGGAATTTGGGCAAAAGTGGTTTTGCAAAACCTGAAAGGTTGTAATTAAGTGCTGAAGACTGGGACGGTTAATCCCTTTCACAAAAAAAATTGGAAAGGAAATACAATGTAAAGTGGAGTATCATGGCCTAGCGGTTAAGAACACCGGAGTCATGTTCTGGTGTTTCAGAGGCAACAGTGACGTGGGTTCGCCGACGGACACTTGTGCTCTTAAGCAAGGCACTTCCATTATTGCTTCGTCCTTCGGATGGAACGTTAAGACGTAGGTCCCGTGTGTTGTATAAATGCACGTAAAATAACCCAGTAAACACTTATCGCCAAGAGAAGGGGTTTGCCCCGGTGTTTCTGGCCTCCTGTATAAACTTCCACGTGGAGTATTTAGGAGAAGAACAAACCAAGAACCAAGAACATTGTAAAGAGATTTGCAGAAGCCAACGCTGTCCCATTTTAAAATCTGCCTCACATGTAACCACACACGTTACCTTGATCTGCCTTGTTGATTTGCGTGTCTCGAGCTTCTACAAGCTTCCGAAGCCTGTCTACTTCTTTATGGGCGTCCATGACGGCAGTGCCTGCAGACAGAGCCTGGGTGAAGAATGCATACAGGGAGTCAGGTTGGCGTAGCGGTACTTTCCTCGCCTTCCATCGCTGTGACCCGGGTTCGAATCCCGCCTGGGCCAATATGTGGATTGGGTTTTCAGTCCCTACCTGATTCCGTGGGTTTTTCCTCAGAATATTCTTCTGGGGTTTTCCTCCCACCTCTAAAACTGTAATTTTTTTTTCATTGTCCAATTCTCTCCACAAGTTTCTTCAGGCTTGTGAGCTACAGTGCCTAGGACACTTTTGAGGAATTATTGGTTTCATTACCAGAAATAAATAATAATAATAAGTCAGAAACTGGCAAAAACATAAGGGTACAAAGAGCAAGCGGCAAAAAATCAGGGAAAAAAAAGTAAAAACAATTGAACTTAATGAAAATAATGTAATGACCGAGGTTCTGCAAAGATGAGTGAATGAAACCTCCAGAAACTTTTTGAAATTCCCATTGTTGGCATCCTTTTTCAATTGACCCAAAAATGAATCAGCCAGTTGATTAATCGAAACTGTAACCCAAAAAAGAACGATTAATTGAAGGAATTTCCAATTTTTGAAGACTGAATTTTGAGTTTGATCATCTTGTTTCTGCAACTGGTCCCTGGCAAGTGCAGTCAAAAAATCGACAGTAATAAAAAAGAGAGAAATTTCAGCTTTTGCATTTTATGTGTTTTATGGCACACTGCGGTATTTTCGTAGGCCCCCAAATTTTTCGTAGGCCTTAGGCACAGTAATCCGGGCCTGTACTATCCAGTATATGTTTGCGACAGCAAATGTTGCAATATAAATCCTTTGGACAGACAAATCTCTGTTAAAATACACAGTTTGAAACAGCTGTGTGCCGCCATTTTGAACAAGTCACGTGATCACATCTATGCTGTGAAATCGTCGTCGTGTCGTGGGTGACATGAACATGGTTGCTACTATTGTGTGTTGAGATACTGCTTGTTCCACGCGAATCACACGATTTCTCAGTTTTGTGACCTGGGCATGACTTTTGTGCTTGATGCCGACGGTTCAATCGCGGCGCAAGCAAATCACAAGACGACCTGAGGGCCACTTCAGGATAACAAAATCCAAATTTGGATTTTGACCAAGAGGGCATGTAAATGGGTAATCATTTAAACAATTTGGACCAGGTTAGGCAGAACCAGTTTGTACCTGTCTGGACAAATCCTCTGTCCTCTCTCGAATCTCCTCAACTTCCCTTGTGAGTTGCTCGCATTCCTTGGTCTTCAGGTTGAGAGATGCCTGCAATGTCACACAACAAATAACCACAGAAATAAATCTTGTTCTCTCTCTGCACTGTAGGGTTCATGCAGGCATGCTTGAGGGCACTGTTTGGCTCCTAAACCAACTAAAAAAACAGTTTCTCATATGATTTTTCTTTTAAATGAAGGAGGCTGTTTCGGGGTCCCCCCCCCCCCCCCCCCCCCCCCCCCCCCCCCCCCCCCCCCCCCCCCCGGTGGATATTCCAAGATGGTAGATTCATTCTTCTGGGTGCACCCCAGGATAATAGTTCCCAAACTAGACACCAGTGATAAATACCCACACTTCAAAATGCTTTCCAAACTGAAAATTTGAAAAAAGAACTCACCGAGACATTTTCTTTCTCATCTTCCAGCTGAGTGATGTGCTTCTCATGCTCGATCTCTCGCTCTAAATACTCCTCGTTTTGACTCTCAAGACGAGTCTATTCATTGGACAAAGAAGTGATATAGCTTCATCACAATGCCATCATTCCACAATTATGGCTGCTGTGGGGTGGGCCATGGTGTTTTTGAACACCCAAGGGATGCATGGCATCGAACTAAAACTTCTCACATGTCTAAAACTTCTCACATGTCTTGCCATGTAAACGCGGTGAACGTGATGAATGAACTTGGGGGACGTATATCATCGGTCGCACCACAAACCGGCGTATCTCGATTTTTTGCCAAATTGAGTTTTTGTCATTAACGTTATTATTTCATCACAGTGCTCATTCTCAGAACGTTTTATTCCGATCTGAGTTCTACGTAACTAAGAACGTTAATTAGACTGTGTGGCGTATCTCTAAAAAATGAAAAATGCTGCACCACGAAGTGGCGTATCCCGATACGCCACTTTACGCGCTTATTCCCATAGTGCTGTGACGTCACAAAGGAGCGTCGACATGAAAAATTGGAATTTAGCATTTCACGAACCGACGTATCTCCGTATCTGGCACACGGCCACTATTACGCGCGTTGCATGACATACGATAAACATGATAAAAATCTGTTTCACGAAGTGACGAATAACTTTGGAACTGAATTTCTCAACAACTAAGCAACTCAGATGCACACGGATTGCATACAAGAAAGTTTAATCTATAATTTAATAGCAAAAACGAAACAGCTTGAATTCTTACACAGGGAATATATGGAATGAGCCTACAAAATATGACCAACTTTAAATCAGTTTTTCTCGAAACACAAAAAAATGCGATACGTTGGTTCGTGGTGCAACCGACGATATGTAAGTTTCAAGTTGATCATTATCCTCAGATACATTTATACGGATAATGTTGCCGAAAACCAACTAATGGGCTCCGTGCAGAAGCACCCCTCAAGGGTAAGAAAGGGAGAGTTGGGGAGACCACTGGGCGAGACAGTTGAATGCATTGCCGATGACGCCTGACGCTCATGCGAAGACGCTATGGCTTCACGCACATTCAGAATAAATGAGTCATGCGTACATGTACATCATGCTATACGCGCAAGAACCAGGGGCCAATTTCATAGAGCTGCTTAAGCACAAAATTTGCTTAAGCACAAAAACGTCTTGCTTAATAAAATCAAGTTACCGGCCAAAACTCCATGCAATTGTTATGCTAAGTAAACAACAGCTAAATACCAGTAACAAGCAATGTACATCACATGGAGTTTTGGCCGGTAACCTAATTTTACTAAGCAATGTTTTTTCGTGCTTAAGCAAATTTTCTGCTTAAGCAGCTCTATGAAATTGGGCCCAGGGGCCAATGCTGCTTAAGCACAAAATTTGCTTAAGCACAAAAACGTCTTGCTTAATAAAATCAGGTTACTGGCCAAAACTCCATGCGATTGTTATGCTAAGTAAACAACAGCTAAATACCAGTCACAAGCAATGTACATCACATGGAGTTTTGGCCGGTAACTTAATTTTACTAAGCAATGTTTTTTCGTGCTTAAGCAAATTTTCTGCTTAAGCAGCTCTATGAAATTGGGCCCAGTACACGCACGTGGTGTGTCCCGTCCTCTGAGCTCTCCAAAGTGGTCAAAAAGCACGCTCTCAAGTTCACGCATGGAGCCCATAGAAAAACAAGTGATGATTTAACCATATATACATGCCATGTTTCAGCTGTTTCGCATGGATACGTTTTGAGAAATTTCTCCCCAACAATTTTTCTTTTCTGATTGTACAGGGAATGTACTACCTGGACATCAATGTATTACATGATTAATACAGGTAGGGAAAAGGACACCTGGACTAGGATTGCGGATGCCCAAAGTGGAGAAAAATACAGATGTAGTTTAATTTTTTTCTTGTCAAAATATAACATGAAAGTGTATAATTTTAAGAAAAAAATCCATTGAAGAGCATAAACAATGCACCTTTTAGAAAAAGAGGTACTTAAAGCTATAGTCCATCATTTGTAATTAGTGCATTTTGTTCGTTTGAATCAACAAAAGTGTTCAAAATCTAATGAAGGATACTGAACAACTTACTTGATGAAGTTTCAGCTTAGCTTCAGCTTTATATTCCGAGAAAAACAGCATTCTAGGATCTCAATTTCAAATCAAAAGTTGCTAAATCATGTTTCGAATTGTTTTGAATTGTAGCTATACGTGATGTCGCGCAATGATCCGACGAATTACAGCAACCGCGCGCGCCTGTGCGTCGTTCCAATGCTTGTGCGCGCTGCGCCGAATAACAAAACGAACTACTAATTTAAATTTTCCTACGGTGCTTCTTAAGACGCACCGTTGGAAATGCCTTCTTTCGTTGATTTCTTCAAAATAAGAGCTTGCCAGAAAGGATAATTTCACAGGGAGTTTAGTCCACTTACTATCTTTCAACCAGTATGCTTTTCAACAATAATTACGCCAGTTACTTTTTTGGATAGCTGCAAATGATGGACTCGGGCTTTAAAACAAATGAAAATTACTTACAATTTTGTGTTCTGCTGCACTTTTCTCAAAGTCTGTTGCTGTACTGAGCCCAGTAATCTTGGATTCTAACGTCGCTATCTTGTCCTGAAGTTGTTTCTTCATTTCCAGGGACTGCTTCTTGGTCTCGGCAAGCTGCTCTTGCGTTGCTCTCAACTCCGTCTCGCTCAGCGATTTCTGAAATTTGATTTTCAATGATGAATTGAATGTCAAATGTCTGAATGCTGTCAAAATTGGGTGGTACACACATGTACATCTATGGAAAGATGGAGAGCAGAGCTTGCTTTTTGCCAATGGAAAAAAAAAAAAAAAAAAATTCTTAAGACTCATTTTTTGTTTGATTTATACACCAACAAATATTTTAATGATAAAAGCCACAAAATCTTCATGATTCTGCGTTCTTGAGTGGGACTCTTAACTCCAATTGGCTTCTCCACACAGATGCACAAGTGTGCTTTTAACTTTTACCGCCCAGGGTGTTCTCAGGTTTGACTGTATGACACTTCAAAATTCCACAGCTGTTGTAAATTGTGGTATTGAAATGCTACGTCACTGATACATGAATGTGACATGCAAATTCCAACTATCAAAATGTACTTGTACAGCCTGTCTCAAAACAAATGGTACAATCGAAAACAATTTGTTTTTTCAATATTAAATCTCAACATAAGTAAGTCGATTTCAGCATCACATTAAAGAAAAAAGACCAGGCTTTCCAATACTTTTTGTTTCATCTCATTTGCTTTTGTCAATCCAGAGATAACTCAAGTTTACTGCGGAACACAAAAATCGAGTTAGTGCCACTTTCTGGTTGAGTGAGAACGGTGAAAGAATTAGTTAAACAAAACGTTATTCACACTTGAACAGATTTGAAATTCAAAGAAGGGATTAACTTCATAAAGAAACTATTTATCATTCAACTTATTATGTTGACTATTAAAGCTTGTATCGAGAAAACCAGACTTCCTTTGTGTACTTTAATCTGTGTTTTGTTTCTTTTGCCAAGTTGCAATCTTTTGTGAGCTTCAAGACAGCATGGCACAGTACTCAAAACAACTCTGCCCATGCATAAAAGTGGCACAGAATCGATTTTGGTGTATCGCACTAAATTGATTATATCTCTGAATTGACAAAAGCAAATAAGATCAAACAAACACTATTGGAAAGCCCAGTCTTTGTTCTTTAATATTATGCCAAGTAAGAATGACTTATTTTGAAATTTATATTTAACCAATTTTTTTTCTGATTGTACCATTTTTTTTTTAGACAAGCTGTAGATGTATAATGTGGTTTCAAGGGTTTTGCCAATTAACTTCTGACAACAAAAAATGTTTCTGCTTCCGACTACATGCCTTTCGAAAATACAGTCAGTAGGTTGGAAAGTATTTCATTTTGCAAATGTTTTTCTTAGTGCTGAACATGTCAAGCATGTATTTACCTGTACGGCAATCTGAGTGTCTCTCTGTTTAACAAATTCCAGGTGACTTTGAGCTTGTTGTTCAGCGTCATCTAGCTTGGCTTGTAATTGACTCAGCTCCTCAGAGTGTCTCCTGCTCATGGCGTCTAGCGTCTGCTGCCCCTTGATTGCTTCTTCCGTGTCCTCGGCCATCTTGGTGTTCAGATGAGAAATCTGTTGAGTTTGGCATACAAAGTTTGCATTTATTCTGACACCTCATGCATAGTTATGAAACCAACACGTTTCTTTTATTTATCCGGTTCATAAGTGACTGCGTCATACACGCGCATGCACCACTGATTACTAGCGCCCATTGGTTGAACACGCCACTTTGCACAATTGCTGGTTCCAATGGTTTCAATGCTATACTCCGTATATACAGTAGAACGCCACTATAACGAACAAGATAGGGTCCATTAAAAATGTTCCTTATAGTGGTAGTTTGTTATAGTGTCTGTGCATTAATAGAATTTACTATTTGTGGAGCCAAAGTGGATGTTCGTTATAGCCAAATGTTCGTTATAGCGGTGTTCGTTGTAGCGGCATTTCTCTGTAGTGGTGTGGTTTAAGTTAAAATGACGTCACACTTTATGCAAACCGAATAAGCCTCTGTACTGATGATGTCACACTTTGTTTACTTATGCACTTTTCTATGGGGCAACTCAACTGTCCTCCCCATCAGGCTCCCACAAGAAAGCACACGTGTAAACAAAGTGTGACTTCATCAGTACAGAGGCTTATTGCCAAATTGGTTGACGGTACCAGGTTAGTGCTACCCCTATATAACCTCCTACGCTGAAGATGCCAAACTAAACAACGGAATAGTTCCATACTAAGGCCAAGTAAAAAAAAAAAAGATTCTCGTCCCCGAATGCTGCCTTTTTCCCGCCCGTCTCCTTTTATCATTTTTTAATTCATACATTTGCAATTCATTTTGCAAATATATTGCCAATATAGGTTGTCTTTTTTCAAAAAGCTTGGCAAGAAACTGTTTTTTTTTTTACTTGGGCTAAATTGTACACATTCCTTCCGAGTGATTTTTCAAAGAATTTTGTCAAATTTTGAAAACAGAGCTAACTATTTTTGAAGTTTAATAAAAAAATGCAACATATTTTATTTCAGGTAGGTAATGTGAAACAACTGGGGTTTTGGTGCTGGCTGATTTTTTATGAAATTTTTTTTCCAGTTCTCTTTGATTTTGTATTAACAAACATCCACAGTTTTACAACATACACACACAGTTTTGCAATGAATGTCTACACTTTTACAACAAACGTGTACAGTTTTGTAAAAAACGGCCACAGTTTTGCAACAAATGGCCATAGTTTAGCAACGAACAACCACAGTTTTGCAACAAATGTCCACTGTTTTGCAACAAACATCCTGCAGTTTTGCAACAAATGTCCACAGTTTTGAAACAAACGTTCACAGTTTTGCAACAAACGTTCACAGTTTTGCAACAAACGTTCACAATTTTGCTTTGATTTAGCAAAAGAAAAATCTACATGTATGTGAGCCAGATCTTTACCTGTTGTTCAAGACTGGAGATCACATCAGCTGAGGAACTTTTCACATCGATTAGTTCTCTTCGGGAAGCTTCTAATTTCTGTTCTAGAGTATCTCTCTGAAATTGACAATTAAAACAAAAATCACTTATAATCTGCCACTTTGGTATTCCAATGACGCACACGTCAACAACTGACGATGTTCACTTCAGGATAAACTTATTGTCTTGTGCACACAGAATCATATCCACTCCGTTCACAAGTACCCCCTCACCGGCAAAGGAAGTACAGTTGGGGGTGACCGACCGACGCCATCTTGCCTGACTGCAATTCATTTGCCGCAAAGCGCGGCCACAGCGTGTACATAGCACAAATCCCCTGGTGTACATGCCTCACACACAAGGAGTCAACCAGCTAAATGTCCCGCCCATGGGATGTCGTTGCTGGGTAAAAGGGCGCCCTCTTTCGTCGGCGCACGGAGCCCATAGGTATTAAATAAAGTATTGACTTAATCTGAAGTATGGGCAAAATTCAAACATTTTGGACTGTGTCAAATTTCACAGCTCTAAACTTAATTGCAAACTCGAATTCTCGATTTTGTATCCTTGTGGAGTCATTTCTTTGTTCTCGTGTACTAAAGTTTTCGAGTTTGAAAGTGTACTTTCAAAATGCTCCTATTTTAACCAGAATTAATTTCCTGGGCTGAAATTTGGACTTAATATCCCTTACATAAAATACTTCAATTTGCGACGGATCAACACACCTTGGAAATTTCTAGTTTTTGAGTAAAATCAATATATATCTATTTCGTGATAACCTTGTGGAGATGTATTTACCTATAGAAATTGCTCTGTGGAGTTGTAAATTTTGAAAAAGAAAATTGGTGATTCTTTCCCAAAACATACTTAATTAGCGGCTGTAAAAGAGTCTACAATGTTCCATACATACCTCAGCCATGACAGCTTGCATCTGCTCATCATCAGTCAGACTGTGATCCTGTAGTCTCTGCTCCAGCATCCTAACCTTCTCCTCCAGGTGTTTGTTGGTACTTTCGCTCTCGTGCAGCTGAGTTGCAGACTTTAAAAAAATCAGCAGACAATCAAAAAAACAAAAAATTCAACCAAATGCAGAATCGAAACATGGCAATTAAACGCACGTGCCAAAAAATGATCACAACTGAAACAGTTTCAAAGCTTTCAGTGTTGTTGCATGGGTCTTTCTATAAATTTAAGGTCCAAAGTGTGACATATTTCCTGTCCCTGTTTCCTTTGAACTTTGTAATCTGCCATTCAAAATAGCATAAAGAATGATTTCAAACAATGTTTTATTTGTTGGGTAGGTAGTTTGCTATTCATAATCACTCTTGGAAGACGACTGCATGAAGGAGTTCATCAGAATTATCATATCATAGATCAAATTAGGTTTTGCCCTTCACCGACGTTTAAACACTGTATGCTCAGTGTGTTATCTCCCGAGTGAACGTTGGAAAAAATCACTCGGGTGGGACTCGAACCCACTAACTCCTCCTTTCTAGTGCAGATGTCTTACCACTCGACCACCGAGCTAACAGGATCGGTTAGCTAACGGGATTGGTTGGCTGGTTCAAATCTGATGTACCGGAACATAGCAGGGTACAGCATTAACTATTCATGAGATGGAATTTTGCGTTGGGATGATGTAAATCAAATTAGATTATTCCCTTCACCAAGGTATAAACACTGTATACTCCGTGTGTTACTTCCCGAGCTTTTTCCAACTTTCACTTGGTATACAGTGTTTATACGTCGGTGAAGGGCAAAACCTAATTTGATTTACATCACCCTAAATCATATATATCAGATGTAACAGGGACAAGAAAAAAGTGGACCGCAAATTTGCAGAATGACCCATATCCATACAATATATATACATGTAAATAAAAACAAAAGAAGAATGCTAAATTATTATGTCTGTATAAAGTCATATAACTTAAGATAAGAACGGCCAGCAATTTGTTTTTTAATGCATGATACTGGTTCCCAGGATATATATGGAATCAAACATGCAAAATGAAAAAAAAAACAGCATGTTTCCGAATTCTTAATTCATTTTTAATAATAATAATAATAATAATAATAATTACTCTTTTCGCCCCAATAGGGTGACTTTCCAATAGACTTGTGCACAAACCTAAACTGCCACCTAACCCAAGTTTACCTGATGTTTTTTCCACGAAATTTAGTATTTATACTAATTGGACCATGAGGAATCGATCTAGATGGTTAGCGACAGAAAAATTTCTTGTCCTAAGGGTCGTTTTCATAAAAGGGCGACAGTCATTTTGTCGCCTCAATAAGGTGTATCGCCCTATTGTGGACGGAGTTCGCAAAACCTGTCGCCCTATTACAGTAATAGTAGTAATAACTTGGTGCTAGTTTAGCGCTTTACACCAAAGGTTTCAAAGCGCTTCACAATTATTACCCCTGTTCATCAGGCCATGAGATCATTTTCTGCAGCAGCTCGAGATCAGCGCATTCTAGTCTCTACCTTCACAGGTACCCATTTATACTCCTGGGTGGAGAGAGGTAACGGTGGTAAAGTGTCTTCCCAAGAACACAAGCACCATGTTGCCGTCAGGGTTTGAACCCACATAACACAGCACGTGAGTCAAACACCGTAACTACTTGACCACAGCACTCAGATTGTTACCTGTGTTTTGTGAACTTCACTGTCATGACGCAATGCTTCAAGTTCTTCTTGAGTCTGATTCAATCTTTCCTCCAGTGCCACCAGTCTTTTACTCTTCTGCAAATAAAAGAAAAATGAAATGTCAAAGTAAGTTGAAGAAATTAAAATATAAGCGAATCCTTCGATAGGAGTCTTATAAACACCAATTCTAATTGTGAGTAAAAGAATATTAAAAATCATGCACAGTTGAAATCAAACGGAACCGTCAATGTTAGACACGTATTGCAAAATTTGGCATTTTGATGAATATGGCTATTAGCCGTCTTATGCAATCATACACTGCGTGCCAAGTTGTCCTTTCAGTCAAAATCAATCAGTTGTATGCTTTCATAATGCATAGAAAATTAAACAGGAAAAATATTAGGAAAGAGTTGTTTACGTTTTGTTTGGTTTGGTCACAAATAATGTGCTTCAATGGTAAAAAACACAAAATATTCGTGATTCTGTGTTCTTGAGCGGAACACTTTACTCCAATTGGCTTCTCCAAACAGATGCACAAGTGTGATTGTAACTTTTACCATCCAGGGCTGTTTTTAGGTCAACTGTGTAGAACTACAAAGTACCGCAGCTGTTGTAAATAGTGGTGTTGAAATGCTACGTCACTGATACATGAATCTGACATTGCAGCTACCATAATGTACATATATAAAGCCTGAAGATGCAACAACATGCAGCACTCATTGAAAGGCAATTACATATGGTTGGCCAGCTCACTATAAAAAAACTCTATAAGTAATTACTAGTCAAATAAATATATACAATTTTGAACAATTCAAAACTACATGTACTTACATGTATATCTAGATTTAAAATTGACATCAAACTTCTCTAAAAATATTTTTTTATACTTTAAATACGATGATGAATGTACACCTGATGACAAATAAAAAAAAAAAAAACAACACCAAACTCCCACTGATCAGAGTCTGTGGTTGCCACAGCGGCACTGTTCAATGGGACTAGCTCCTATTGTCTCTGAAATGGCCGTTTATGCACTGGTGTTGATGGCTTAATGCAACAAGGTCCCACAGACTTTACATCTGTTGCACTACATTGCATTTGGCCGGGTTAGGGTTAACCCATTAGCACATGGACTTCATTGTATTTACTGAAAAATCAATAAACCCACAGAGTGCTGGGGCAGTTTCAGGTGCTACAGTGACTAAAGGGTTAAGCAGTCCTTCAGTTGAAAATATAGCAACCTTGACCGAACTAAGCATCCGAACTACGTCCTTGTCTACGGGTGGCAATAACACACACGCTTATGTAAGTGGCTGCAGCCACTTCCCATAGTGTACAAATATTGACTGCTTTGAGTGGTGTAGTAAAACTAGCCTCCCGAGGTGATCCATGGACATTCTATTTGTCCCGAAGCAGAGCCGAGGGAAAATAAAAAGCTCCATGGATCACCGAAGGAGGCTAGTTTTACTACACCACGAGATAAAGCAGTCAATGTTTTGTTTTATAACACTTCTCCCACAGATTCTGCTTGATTTTAAGCGATAAATGATTAATCTAAATCTAAATACAATTAAAATGTACTTCAATTTGAATACAAAATTAGTTGAAAATTTACTTATACTTTTCCAAACTACCCCTTCACGAAATGTTTGAACCCATCTCTGTAGCGCTAGCGTGCTCTTGGGAACAATACGCGTAACGTGCACCCGTATGCATTTGCACACCGGTTCTTATACGTATAGTATGTTGGTTGCTACTGGTATAGTACTTTGGTTGCTACAGGTATAGTACTTTTGGCTGTGTGCAGCAAGATAGCGAAAATAGCCAATGCCATGTGACTCGCTCTCGGCCAATCAAGATACAGAATCTGTGGGTGAGGTGTTATAAACATGCATGTAACTGTCAGCCCTATGTAGCCAAGTACATGCACATATAATTCCAATGTAGGAAAACACACACGCACCTATGGAAGCGGCTGCAGCCTCTTCCCATAGACCCGTGTGCTACATCCAGCCGTAGCCAAGTATTGAATGTAGCCTTTCTTACCTCCTGGCTTTCTATTGACGCACTGTGTAGTCTTTCCTCAAGCAGTTTCTTGGATCGCTCTTGTTGCGTGCCATGCTCCTCTGCTGATGCCTTTTGTTTGATCAACTCATCTCTGTGAAAAAGAGCAATGGCAGACTGAACCATTCGCCAATATCACTGAGGGTTACTGAGTGATATATTAGTATTATACAATGCCCGAATAAATCCCTGCCATCTGATTGGTGAGTTGTTGATCAATTGTCTTTGAATTATCTGTCCCAATCCACAGCAGACGTTTCAACAATGTTTACTGTTTTCAAAAGAAACATGGACAGACACAGAATAACTGCAATACCGGTAATTACCACAATAAAACTGCACATTTGTAATTCTGAGAAAAACAATGTAAATCAATAGAGGATGAAACTATTTCTTATTCAAAATATTAAAGGTAATATACAACAACTGATCATACTTGTGAATGGACTTGCGATTTACTTGTGACTGGACTTGTGATTTACTTGTGACTGGACTTGCGATTTACTTGTGACTGGACTTGTGATTTACTTGTGACTGGACTTGTGATTTACTTGTGACTGGACTTGCGATTTACTTGTGACTGGACTTGTGATTTACTTGTGACTGGACTTGCGATTTACTTGTGACTGGACTTGCGATTTACTTGTGACTGGACTTGCGATTTACTTGTGACTGGACTTGTGATTTACTTGTGACTGGACTTGTGATTTACTTGGGACTGGACTTGTGACCGGACTTGTGATTTACTTGTGACCGGACTTGTGATTTACTTGTGACTGGACTTGTGACCGGACTTGTGATTTACTTGTGACTGGACTTGTGATTTTCTTGTGACAGAACTATCGATGGAATTGTGATGCAATTCACGACTCTTTATCTACCTGGTATGTCTGAGTTTGGTCACATTATCTCTGACTTTGTTGAGTTCCGTGGCCAGCTTCTGTGCCTGTTGATTACTCTCCTCAAGTTTTTCCTGGGCGTGGTCCAAATCGGCCTTGCATTTATGTAACTCCTCCTGGCTGTTCACAAACTGGTTATGAATATCACACAAATGCAAAGGTGTTAGTAAGCTCAAAAGTAAGAAATCGAATTCCAGCAGACCCTAGCGAGCTCTGGGGTTGAGGGGTAAGGCGTCTGCACTAATAAGTAGGAGGTTGTGGGTTTGCGTCCAATGAGGGTAAAGCTTTTGAAATTATCTTGCAAACCCTCTACCAGCAATGAGCATACAGGGCTTAACACGCTTTATGAAAAAAACAGTGAAGAGCAAAACTCAATATCAAAGTAAGAAATGAAGGATACAGTCGCGGATCTAAAAAAATTGGAAATGTGTGGGAATGATGGTCACTTAAAAGAACAGTGTTGTAGTTCAGACTGTTTTAAGGTTGAAAACAGAAATTGACTGGAGCGGGGTTTGAACCTGCGACCTCCGGATTGCTGTTCCGGCGTTCTACCAACGTTCTAGCACTACGTTAATTAACGTTAGTTGATTAATTCAATACATGTATTGGGTTTAGCCCTTCACTGATGTATTTTATAAACACTGTATATTACTCAGTGTTGTCCAAGGTGATTGCGAGAAAAAACCTCAAACTACTCGGGTCGGACTCGAACCCATGACCTCCTGTTTACTAGTGCAGATGTCTTACCACTCGACCCCTGAGCTTGCCGAGCAGCCTTGTTTGCGATTCCCCATTTTGTCAATGTCTTTGTTCAAGGGGCGCTAGTCAGAAGCCATAAACCCGGATATGCCGTATAGCCAGGACCCGCGCTCTAAGTCACGATGCCAGCAACATGACTAGTAGCTGTTTAGATACAACCACACCAACAGTGTTTACGTGCATATAACCCATTATTTTTTTATTACTAGTTTTCGATACACTAATAATAATAATACATAATAAGTCTCATATAGCACACAATTAGGTACTCAAGGCACTGGAAATTATGTCAATTATTAAAGACAGGTAAATGAAGTTTATGAGAAATATGAGACCCATTATGTAGCACCTTATAAGGGTTTACAAGTTGCTGCGGCGCATATTGCAGGCACTGCCAGAAACACCGGGGCAAACCCCTTCTCTTAGCGATAAGTGTCTTTAACGTGCATTACACAACACACAGGACCTACGGCTTTACGTCCCATCTGAAGGACTGACCAATAATGGCAAAGAGCACAATTACTATGTTCCCATGGTCAGGATTCGAACCCATGTAACAAGGCTTAGATTTGAACACCGTAACCATTGGACCACAGCACCCCACACTGTGTATAATGTACTACTCTAAGCAATCATATAGACACTGACCATATGTTTCACTTTGGCAAGCTCTTGGACTTGGAAGCCCTGTAGTTCCTCACTCTCTTCCTGCTTCTTGAATTTATCCAGCGACACTCGCTGGAACTGATCCTTAAGACCCGACTTCTCCTACACAAAAGACCAACGAGGAATACTGTAAGTTTTGAGGTAGGAGTAAGGGTGGTCTTTTTGTTACGAGTGCAATATATTCTTATTCATTTTTTATATTCATTTTTTATATTTCATTTCTTTCTGGTAATGAAACCAAGGATTCCTCAAAAGTGCCTAGGCACTGTAGCCCAATAGCCTGACGAAACCTGTAGAGAGGAGACAATGAGAGGAAATTACAGTTTTAGAGGTGGGAGGAAAAGCCCAGATGAATATTCTGAGGAAAACCCACAGAATCTGGTAGGGACTGAAAACCCAATCCACTTATTGGCCCAGGCGGGATTTGAACCCGTGTCAAAGCGGTGGAAGGCGGGAAAAGTACCGCTACGCCAACCTGACTCCCCTGTATCCCAAGAAAAAAAGCCATCCAATATTATTATTTTTATTCATATCAGGCTGGCTTGGTCCACAAGAAATAATTTGGCTTTCCTCACATCCACACAAAACTTCAAAATGCTGCCTAGCGTAAAGCGTATCCAGTGTCTCAAAATCAATCGGTAGATTCTTCTTGCAAGATACCCCCACGAATTTTGGTATTTTTACTATTGGACCATTAGCAATCGATCTACAATCCCGGCCAAAATGGTTGGGATACTTGGGAATAACCTTAGCTTCCAACGGTCACCAACTCCCCCGCTCCCCCGGTCAATGTTGTTCTCTCCAGCGGATGGAGCACACACCGCGCAATGAGAGACAACATTGAGCGGGGGCTGGGGGGTTGGGGGCCCAGCGAGATTTGGCCAGGATTGTAGCCTATTTGCGACAGTAAAAGTTTGCCTCTAAATAGGAGCTGAGGCATCAAGGAGACATCATTCCACCTGTCTCCCATAGGTATAACTTTGACGCTAAAGTGTCTCCCAAATGGTATAATTTACGATAGTACGTTTTTATCAGAAGTAAAAGCCACTTTATGATTATAACTTTTATTATGCACAATGTCACATGAATGTTGAATTGTCCAAAATGTACATCCGACACGCTAGAACTGCCTGTGTGGTTTTCAAGCATTCATAAGAAAATAACTTCACGCCATACATGTACGTGTTCTACATAACCCCCCGAGGACCGACACACAAATGGAGAACAACAGATCCTCTCAGTCCTTGGGCGTTGGGTCCTTTGTTAAAAACGGTCCTCTATCGTACGATTATGAGCTTAGTCTATGGGAGAGTGTTATATTACAGGGACAAAGGGAAACACAAAGCATTGTCCTCAAGAGTATAGTAAAACACGACTGTATGTGCAAACCTGTGCATGCATGCTGTGCCCCCCACACATAGGAGGTCATAAGTGGTCTACTCTACACATATCAATGTCTGCTGAATGGCTACTTACTTTCTCCAGAGCCTGTATCTGTTCCTTCATCTCGTCTTCCTTCCTCTGTACGGCTAGGGCTAGCTTGTCGGCCATCTTGGACCGCCTCAACTGGAACTCTTCGTTCATCTCCTGAACTCGTTTGGTGTTGGCTGCGTAGTGAATTGTCAACATGAATCTTAAAATTCTCCTTCCAATGACAATATTTGTTTTCAATTAACCCTAATTCCTTAAGCTTTTTTTTTTATTCTCCAATGGCATCTGAATCCATCAAGATCATCCACTTTTTGTCCCTGGAGGTCTCTGCCTGGATCCTTCAAAATCCTTCATTGGGTTTGCTGGCATGTTATCACATAATCGGATTTCAATGCTCTTTTGAGTTATTTGCCTGTGTAACTTATTGAAATCCTCCATTGTTATCCCATGTTGTGGATTGGCAATGCCAAAACCCAAAAAAGTTGGAAAAATACGCTGTACAATACACAGTGGTATGCTGGATGCTTGTCCAAGTATATATATGCAAAAAGCAAGTAACAGCCAGAATCCTCCAATTTTGGAGGATGTTGTCTGGAAAAGCAAATATATTTAAAAAATGAGAACGAGCTTGATTTCAATCCAAAATACCATCTTGTGGTTTTTCTAGCACTAGGCAGTAAGAAGAACCATGAATTCAATATTGGTTTTTGTTTTTTGTTTTTTTATAAACACTGTATACTCAGTGTTGTCCGAGGGCTTGCGAGAACAAATTCACAAGCTCATTCGGGTTGGACTCGAACCCATGACCTCCTGCTTACTAGTGCAGCTGGGTCTACTGGCCGCTTCAAAATCTGTTTACATCAAGTGGGTACAGCAACTGAACTATTTACAGGATTGAACCTGTATTTGGGAGATATAAATTCAATAGTGGAAATTCCTTTCAATTACATAGTTTAGTCTCGCAAGCCCTCGGTGTTTATGGGAGTTTATATGTAGTGTTTTTTAGGACTCAGGGTGGCGTAGAGGTACTTTCCTCGCCTTCCACCGCTGTGACCCGGGTTCGATTCCCGCCTGGGCCAATATCAGACATGCAACTGGGAAGTCACCAAAAAAAGAGAAAATTCAAATCTTTCCAAGATTTTGTACAGTGCTTTTCTATTTTCAATGGCACACATTGGAAGTGAAAAAAGAGGAAATCAGCTGATCCGAGGAAAAGTTGCATGCCTGCAATATGTGGATTGGGTTTTCAGTCCCTGCCCGATTCCCGTGGGTTTTGCTCAGAATTTTCTTCTGGGGTTTTCCTCCCACATCTAAAACTGTAATTTCTCCACATTGACTTCCCCTTACTGGGACCCATGGGAGACCAGTGGATTCCACTGCATGGGCTACCCTATTAAAATGAGAACTACATAAAGAAATAAGTAAACTGTAAAAAATATGTCAGCGAAGGGTAAGAATGCACTATTGAATGTACATTTCCCGACGCAAATTCCATCCTATAAACAGAGCCATGAAATCACGCTGTATTCTCTTACCTTCTTGTTGTTTCTCTAGCACTATCTCCAATTTCTCTTTCGCCTTGACTGTTTCTTTCAGCATCGCCGAGTACTCATCCAATTTGCCCTCCAGACGGCGTATTTGATCACTGCGTTGGGTCAGCTCAGCTTGAAGACTGTCTGCATTTGACTCAGCACCCTGAATTAAAAAAAAGTCATAACTATTAGAAAACTAAAGGTAAATGGGATCATTTGCTTTTTGTTACATCATATGCAAGTTGGAAAACTTGAATAACTTATTTAGATATGCACAGTACTAGTCCGCAATGGCCTGCTAGTCTAAGATGACAGACTAGCAGCAGAACCTCTACATCTGGATCCTGGAGAGCCATCCGGCCGTCACTAAAGCACAGCAAACCTGGGCACGCCCTGCCCCTCTCTAGCGACACCCCTGCTTATACCAACCTACCTTCTTATTCTCAGTCTGTGCATTCAAGCTTGATGAGCTGCCCTAAGATGACAGACTAGCAGCTGAACCTCTATGCCCTCTGGATACTGGAGACCCATCAGGCGGTCGCTGAGGCACAGCAGACCCAAGCATGTCCCCCCCCCCCCCCCAGCGAACCCCTCCTTGTACCAACCTACCTTCTTATTCTCAGCCTGTGCATTCAAGCTTGATGAGCTTCCCTGTGATGACAGACTAGCGGCTGAGCCCCTATGGCCTCTGGATACTGGACACCCATCAGGTGGTCGCTGAGGCACAGTAGACCCAAGCATGTCTGACCCCCCCCCCCCCCGGCAACACCCCTGCTCATAGCAAACTACCTTCTTATTCTCAGCCTGTGCATTCAAGCTTGATGAGCTTCCCTGTGATGACAGGCTAGCGGCTGAACCCCTATGGCCTCTGGATACTGGACACCCATCTGGTGGTCGCTGAGGCACAGCAGACCCAAGCATGTCGTCTGCCCCCCCCCCCCCTCCCCCCCAGCGAAACCCCTGCTTATACCAACCTACCTTCTTATTCTCAGCCTGTGCATTCAAGCTTGACGAGCTTCCATGTGATGACAGACTAGCGGCTGAGCCCCTGTGGCCTCTGGATACTGGAGAGCCATCAGGTGGTCGCTGAGGCACAGCAGACCCAGGAACATACTTCTTGCTCAACTCGGCCTCCTCCACCCCCTCCTCTTCAACAATCTTCTTCTTCAGTCTGGCAAACATGATGACTTATGTTTTATAACCTGTGGACAAACAGAAAGTGATCACCGTGATAATTATGGGAGGAATATTCATTCTAGTACGTTCACATGAAGTGAAGTTGGTTCTTTCCTTGCCTTCCACCTCAGTGGTCCAGGTTCGATTCCTGCCCTGGTCACATTTTTTTCACAAAATTAAGCTAGGTAATATATTCAATATGGTATCTGCAGATCTTAGCTAACTATTTATATGATTCCAAACACATACAGGGACTTTTCCTGCTTGTATCATAGTCCACATAACTTGGACCCTACTTATCGCCTTTTATAACATTGGGACATGGTCTGGCGATAGTACGGTAGGGTGCAAGCGGCATGGCCCACATCGCACGACACGTAGAAACGACCCAAACTGAGATATGAATAAAGTTCAAGGTTTAAGATGGTGGTAAAAATGTTAACTTACGATCTGAATGAAAAGTGAAATTTACCGATTATTGGCAAGGGCTCCGTTGCGAATATCGCGCGGACGCCATTTTGAAAATGCAATAAGTTGGGCCCAAGTTACTACTTTTTGAGGGGGACATCTGATGTTTTTGTTGGGTCATTTCCATTGTGTCACACAATGGCAGTAAGGATGTGACGTTTAAACGGGGAAAAAAAATCAAATCCGTTCAGACATTTTCCCAAACGTTTAAACCGAACTCAAATCAATCTACATGTACCCTCCAGTTTTATTTACAAAGAATTTACAATGTTTATAAATCTATTTAATTGACTAAGCATTAGAAATGCCTTTAGAAATTGATTTCATTCCAAGAAGTTTAAAGATATACCAGCAACACAATATATCTATTATGTCAATGATACACAGTGCATACAGTTGTTTGTGTTTGATATTTTCAATACACCTCTGGGCCAAGATTAGCTTGAGTAACTCCAGCTGACATGCTCCATATTCATTCACATGTGAATGAATATGGAGCATGTCAGCTGGAGTTACTCAAGCTGGGCCAAGATCAATGCTCGGCAAGGCAAAGGTGCATTCCCATTGTCACACTCCAACGTGGTTGTCTTGAAAATACTACATTTTTGTATTGTTAGGGCAAACTTTTCCTTGTGCAATCGATCGATGGCTGCGCGAACGATACATCGCCAAATAGCGTAACGGGGTCTACATATCACGCAGAGTGACCAATCGCACCCAACATACTTACAAACACACGTGACCATACTTTACCGCACACACAGCGGGGCAGGCCGCAGCCTTTTGAAGCGTTGACTAAAGGTTTGAACGCTAAGGGAAAGTTTTGCTTAACGTTTATCAAATTAACGTAGATTCCCGCTTTGACCATACTATCGCCAGACCATGTCCCAATGTTCAGATGTTTAAAAAGGCAATAGGGCCTAAGTAGGGTCAATACTCAGACGGAAAGAATGTAGTATCCAGACACCACTTCAGTAGTCATGGTAGTTGTGTACAAAGTCTATAGAGAGTCAAAAACATTTTCAAAGTATTTCCTAACAAAATTGGAAAAGTTTCTCAGTCCCAGATTCAAGTCTTTTATGGTACATGTATCTTCTACGTGGAGCCTCATAGTTCTAGGAGTAAGCTGGAGTTACTCAAGCTAGGTGTTGAGTGTCGTCCTGGAGGTATTCTTTCCAAAACCGAATATCCAAAGAAAGACTAGCTGACTAGGCCTAGGGCCTATTAAAAAATAAAACACAATAATGAACATGATGAATAATGAACAAAATATACATGCCTTTCCAAAATTTGCTCAAATTTTTAATTTCATTCTCAGTACAAACTTTACATGATGCAGCATGTGTAGCAAAATGTCACAGCACAGCGTGCTGGGAAAGATTTCCATATACGAAGTTCACTACTTTTCCTCTGTATTGACTAACAAGCCCCCAGATAGCAATTTCATGTCATCAAAGTCCATGAAAAGGCATGAAGTCAATTTGAGCAGTGAGAAAATACAAGCATTTTCTTAGAAAACACTTACAATTTGTCAGTCCAATCTCATCAATCTGCTCATCAATCAGGGTTTGTACACAGGGTGTTGAGTGAACTTCGTTTATGCTGAAAACAAATTGTCAAAACAAATCTAGGCCTAATTTGATCATCATCACTAGACATCAGTCAGTCACTCAGCACTGGGCAGTCACTGCACTGAGTCAGTGATCAAGTCTAAAATCTAACGCAGTGGCTATTGTTACGGCAGCCGTAACGCATTTCCCATTTTCTATCGTTACGGTAGACTGCAACCTATAAAAAAACATGACAAGAAAATATAAAATTAGAAGGAAAAAAGTGAATTTGAACTTTATGAAATTCGGACTTTATTTCCCTTTAAAAAAAAATCCTCCAAAGCCTCAGGTTAGAAAAGGAAAAAAATTCGAGTGCAAAACTGAGATTCGAACCCGCAACCTCGCGGTGTAAAATCCTACCCTCTATCGGCTGAGCTGGCGCATTGCTCGATAAAATGGGTGGAAACAAATAATTATATACCTGCGTGCGTATCAAAAAAATATCGTAGAGGGCGCTAAACAACGAGTGCCGTAACGATAGCCACTTCGAAAATCTAAATGATTCCCTCAATTTAGGCTCAAATAATGACCTAAATCTTTAAATCTCGAGTTTTCCTGTGTAAAAGTTAAACTGAAGCGACCCTTCTCTCTTTTCTTACCTTTCAAATTACTGATTTACTGCAATCGTCTTCTGGTATTTAATACGTGGCTTGAAAATGCTAGACTTTAACTCGTAAAATCCTTCCGGTCCGCCGTATGTTGTGTTGTCATTTGACCTCAGTGACCTTTGCAAATTAGGCTGGATCCTCCCATTAGTCTGCACCCTTAACCATCTGCCCCAGAAAGCACATGAAAGGTCTATTATGAGTCTGGGAATCAACACAAATTTGTCTAGTGCCTAGAATCATGGAATTGTCAACATGGATCAGTAGAGTTTTGCGACCGTGTTTTGCTGCCGTTTGTTTGGGTCCGGTTTTGCAATGTTTTGTGCATCGAAATGTGTACGTATGACGACTTGTCAGTCCACTGTGTTGTGAATGTTTTCCTTCCAGTGCTGTGAATGTGATGTTTTTCTTCACTTGACACCCGGTGCACAAACCCCGTATGAGATCGAGACTGGTCTGAAAAAAATTCTAATTTGTTGGGAAAAATGTTGCAAGTGCAACTTGCATCCTGACGCCAGTTTGACTTGTGTATAAAGTCTATGGAGATCGAGCGGGCCAAGAATTGGAAATGTTTCTCAGTCCCAGCATGCCCAGATTCATAACTTATCATCGTTTTTGCAATGAATGACCTTCATTGAGACGATATATGAAGAGAAAAGTGGCATCATCCCCATTGTCTTGTTTCTTTCATGTTTGTTGTGTTTATAATAATTCATTTGTATCATACTAATTATCGGCATGATCGGGGTCCATACCCACAAGCTAAGCTTTCTTATGGATTCCGCATCTCTATTAATTGTATTTATTATCTGCTAGTATCACCTTGTATTCATGTAAATTATGAGATGAAATAAAGTCAAGTTCAAGTTCAAGTTCATCAGGTTGCAACATTTTTCCCAAGTGTTTTCTCAGCTCAGTAGGCATGGTAGGCCTAGGCCTAAATCCATATTTTCCCTGCTGAATTTGACTTTTTTAATTTTAGGAATAGGACATCGGCAGGATGCCTCGCCATGCGCGGCACTTGCTAGTTCAGTAGTTGGGAGAATCTAACAAATGATCTAGTTTGAAATTTCCAGCTTTCTTCTTTTCTGGGCTCTAGCCCTAGCTTGAGTAACTCCAGCTCTAATGCCTAGGCATTAGAGCTGGAGTTACTCAAGCTACTCTAGCCCCATAAATGTGGCCAATTTACTGGACTACCTCCGTAAATAAGGCTCGATTCGCCAGGCATCTCCCCATGTCATGAGCCTAGAAAGTTGGAAATTTCAAGCTGCAAGTGCAAATGATCAGTGGCAGTGCGCCCTCAATTGACGTATTTTTGAGAAGGGGTTCATTATACAGTCATGTTTTGAAATTATGCAAATTCATATCGCACAAATTTGAACGATCGACAGTTAAATTTTCATCATCAACGACCATGACCACAACGTTGTGTTTTGCATAGTTAGTAGCGATACTTTTTGAGTGTTTTCATAGAGATCATGTAATATTTAAGTATTGAAAGTCCATGAAAGAAACAAATTTGCCAAAAAAACCAAATAAATCATTTTTTTTACGTGCCAACCATGTCCGTGACTTCAAAGGACAGTGAAACCTGGGCATATGGGCATACCATTTAAGCACATGCATACCATAACCAAGCCTCTCTGTTAACCTTTACATTTTGTGATTGCGCACACTGTTTAGGCCCGTTACAAACAATGTGACACACAGACAGACAGACAGAACCAGACAGACAGACAGACAGCGTTGAATCTTTTAATAGGGATGTTATCGGTTTCTGATGGCTGATAGCTCACTTAGGGAAAACTGAGTGATGTCAATTTGTGAAATTCTTCCCAATACTCCTTTCCAATTCATGGAAAGGATTTTTTTAAAGGGAAGTTAGTCCATCCGAGAACCATTCACAGTAAGTGTAAATTGTAGGTTGAAAAGAATGATTCAATACCATTGACTTTATTTTCATACAGACATCTGCAGTGATGCCCTCGAAAGTGTTGAATGTGACGGATGACCTTAAACCATGGGTGTAACAGCAAAGACATCACCGATGAACATGCAAAGCGTGGAGCAGTCATCACCATGTAGATCCTTCACCAAGACCGTCATCTCTCCTGGATCAGGATTGGTCAGACCCAATGAAGGATCAATGTGCACCGTGCAGATCAGTCAATCGGGCGACTCGACCCATCTCGACGAGGCTCTGATTGGATACCCACTTGGCGAGGAGACGGTGATTTGTCTCGGTTTCGGAGAAGGCCTGGTTTCTCACATCGTCGATGCTTGTCTTGAGATGATGTTGCCAGGAGAGACGTGTAAGATGGAGGTTGCCCTGGAAACGATGCGGGAAATTGCATCGAGGCAGCAAAGTATCATGAAAGTGGACAGTGAATCATTGCTACAGCAACCAGCTGTGTTGCAGATAGAACTGAAGTCACTCGTACGAGGCAAAGACATTCACGAAATGACCGTCGATGACAAGTTTGAAAGAGCCGCCAAGTTCAAAACCAAAGGAAGCAGATGCTTCAGTTGTGGTAAACTACAGAAAGCTGAAACCTTCTACCTCAGAGCGCTGAAATACATCATAACAATCGACGCACCGGAACTTGATGACGAAACCGACGCAACAAGAGAGAAATTCAACGCACTGAAGTGTGCTTGCCTGTTGAACGTGGCTGCCTGCAAGCTCAAGTACAAATGCTACGAGCACGTTGTTTCTCACTGCACTAAAGCCTTAGCAGTTGACGGAAACAATCCCAAGGGGTATTTCCGGAGAGGAATAGCGTACATGGAACTGCAGGACTACGAGAAGGCAAAAGCAGATTTTGACCAAGCGGTGCGCTTCGAACCAACAAGTAAGCCGTTGAAGCAACAGAGACAAATTCTACTGGACAGAATGAAGACTCTGGATGCCAAGTATGCCAAAGCAATGAGCAAGATGTTTGGTGGACAATGAAACAAAGATGACATTCTTTCACTTTATATCTAACTTTGCAATGAAGTTGCTGATGTGGTCGTATTTGAGGTCAGGAGATCAGACACTTAGTCTTGGGCTAGACGTTGTTATGGTTTTTTCCGGTTTGATACGCGATAATCCGCCGCAGCAAGAGGGTGTTATCACGACCAACCAATATCACCCACGAACCCATCGGAACGTCTAGGAAAATTTGTAAAATCTTCCCCCTGAAAAATGGGGGAAACTAGTGCGCATGCGCGACTTCTGCACACCACAAAAGAGCTGACCAGTGAAGTTGCACAAAAGTCTTGCTGCATCTTTTATACTTGCACAAAAGTCTTGCTGCATCTTTTATACTTACTGCAAGAATAAAAGAGTTTGGTTCGGAACTACAATGAAATGTTTTGAATGCGTGCTGCGTATATTAGGCCAAACAGGTGCGCGTGCAATACACAACCGATACAAATTTCCCTACTCGTTGTTCCTGATAGGTTCATGGGTGATATTGGTTGGTCGTGATAACGCCCTCTCATGGCAGCGAGTTATCGCGGTGGCGGGTTATCGCGTATCAAACCATGACAACGTCTAGCCCCTACATGTAGACTATCAGACTCTCTGCTCAGGGACTGTATCAACACTATCAATTTTGGTTTTGACCTGTTGTAATGTTAACGGTAATACACATGTATGTGTACAACATAAACTTTTGCTGTAATTTTCATAAATGGATGGATTTGGGGGTTAGTATTTTATAGCAAATATGTGACCTGTTCTGTCAAAAGCAGACGCTTCTGGGCAGAGGTTGAAATTGAGATAGGGCCAAAAAACGCTGTGGGGGTGATTTTTATCAATTTTCAAATTTTTGCATATTTGTAATCCTGAACATGTCTAAAATATATTATAAAAGTTTGAAACCCTAATTTTAACTCTACATATACTATTTTTGATGATTTTGATAAGGTATATCAGTTAAAGAAATAACTGTTTTGTGACGTTCGTGGCCATTTTCTCCATTTTCTACTTTTTGACACAATGAACTTCAAAATAGCATAACTCTGCCCAGGAATGACCGGTTTCAAAAATTAAACCACCTACATGTATTAAAAGGAAAAAGAACATACCGTATGTTAACATGTAAAAATATCATTTTCGAGCTTATCCCCAGAAAAGTCTGATTTTGACAGAACAGGTCACATATTGTTACGCTGACCTGTTTAAAGTTTTGTGTTCATAGATGCTGGAAAAACAAAAAAAACTGGCATTCGCGCAACATCACGTTAGTGATTTTATTCCGAATGACCGTTTGACCTGGTCTACTTCATCAAGATATCAAACTGGCTTATTACAGAATACAAATTATTCGAAAGTGCACCGCGTTAGTTCCATACAGACTGTCAAATTCCGCAGTGACACTCTAGAATGAGCATTCACGACATCGTAATCACTGCAGCTTGCACGTAATTAAATGTCAACCGAGTGGCAGCGCAGCACAATGAGTGATAATATGGGTACATGCATTTGTTGCACGAGCATGTGCTAAATGCCGCTCAAATTTGGCGTTGTGTAATATTATCTATGGGTTATATATAACATGTATAAAGAATAAAACTCAATGTACATATAATGCTCACAGATAAATAATGCAGTTTTTTCCCTCCATTTTTGAGAGTTTCAGACCAATGTGTCAAAAATAAAACAGGTTTTCAGATTTTGCGCTTCAAATTCAGACAGTTTGTGATCACATCTGCATTTGCTTGGACATATTCTGTAAATGGTCAAATAATTTCTGATGTTTTAACTGCAATTCATAAATACCTAAGACAGTTTACGCATTCCTATTGGTCGAGAGCCCGTCACGTGGCCGGTCTTAAACGGATGATAAAGACATGGCTAGCTGGTCTTAAACACTTTTCCAGTGTCACATAAAATGTGGACTCCTAAAAATCCAGTGCCTCTTATCATTTCATTGGTCAAAACGCAACGCGCCAGGTGCGTTCTGCGCGACATCGCGCAGAACATGATACGCGCGCGTCAATCTCCATAAAAGGGTTGTTTACATCTTACTCGCCAGTTGAACACTCCATTATTTTGCAAGAGGGATGTTTCAAAAAGCATAAAGTGAACTTGTGGAACAAAATCGGGATGTTTTGAACGAATTATATGATTTTTTTTTACTGAAAAGGTATTTATGAATGGGAATAAATATGTGCTCCATCGGTATTTATCACTCTGTTTAAGACCACTTAGAGTCTGGGTGCTGATAATTACCCTCGCCTCCGGCTCGGGTAATTATCAGCACCCGGACTCTAAGTGGTCTTAAACAGAGTGATAAAAACCTCCGGAGCACACATTTATTCCCTTATTTAACCCTCTGTGAGGCAGAGTTAAACGGGGAAGGAATTAAAAGACAGGTTATGACCACCTAAAAAACCCTCAAACTGTTTAAAAAGAAGGTGACATTTTAAGTAAAATGCTTTAATGTATTTATGGAATTAAGGTTTGCGGTGAACACCGTGTGAATTTTATCTTTCTTGAGTTGTGTGGTTCCGAGAAGAACCAGTTGTTTTCAACCAAATGCTTTTAACAAACATCACTAGCGCAATCAATTTTCAGATGTCTTTTGCACTTCACAGCTGAAAAAAATTATTTGGAACATGATAAAATGACAAACATGACCAAAAAAGTAACTGTAATTTCACAATTTCTGGCCGAGATTTTTGGGTCCCTACATTGGTTCTGCACCAAAAATATCCTTTTGTCACTTTTTACTCCCATTGAAGATCACCTAATCCCAAAATCTGTCAGCAATAAAGGTTTGATTATAATGTTAATGAATTTTATCAATCATATTTGTGATGCGATCAAGCTACATGAGTCGTCAGTTGACCCTGGCCAATTTTTTCTTTTATAACAGATTTCAAAGGAGCACAATCTCAGCATTACTGCTGTGAAAACCGCATGCAGATACCATCTTTAGTTAAAAAATTATGGAATTCCGAACACCAAGAGATGTGATGAAGTGGCCCTATTTTGGCCTGCATCTCCAATAAAAACTCCCGATATTTATTGTTCAAAATGTTGATATACCCATGCATGTATCTAGACGCATCTTGCATGTGATCACTATACACTCATGCGACCCCCTTCAATGGAGAAACCATTGTGCATGCTGGAAAGCAACTTCCTCAGTAACAGGTTATTTGAATCATAAAAATGTAGCTTTCGCCATTGAAGGGGCCTCTGTGATAGAAATGATAGCATGACCGGGTTGGTCTACAGTCCATTTTCAACGTCTCCCCTAATCTTCAATGGAATATCGACAGCAAACCATGAACAAAACAGGAACATAATGAACCACAATGAATGATCATTATCTCTTTATTTTCAGTTTCTCAGTGAAATACATCAGCCGATTTCAGAGATTTTTGTTTTTACAAATATACAAGCTTAAACATATATTTATGGACCTTTTTCTCTATCGCCAAAACCTAAGGGCCCACATCAATTCATATCTGGGAGGAGTACCAGACAAGTTGCGGGTAGAATCATTCACTTTGTCCGGAAGAAGCTCTGCATTTGTCCTGGACATGCTCCGGGAAATTTTCTTAATCGCAACTGCTTGACTCACCGATACTGATAACTTCATTGCGGGAAGATTGCGGGGAGTTGTTTAGAATCCTGCAACTTATACCCGATACAATGTCGGCAACTCGTCCGGAACTCATCTCAGATATGAATTGAGATGGGCCCTAACCTACTAGTGATGCCCAGAAATGAAGATAAACATTTTATGTACATTGTCTGTAAGGCACTGCAAACAAGTGGAAGTTTCTGTAAGCTCTGTAAGCACACCTTTAATGAGCCAGTTCATTCTGATGCACACAATCATGTGACATCAAAATTTGACAATTTTCATTTAAAGGATTAACTTTGGAAAACCATTATGCAAATGAAGAGCAACATTAAACAGCTTGTGTGACAATTTGCGATCAAGCTTCTGGCCCTGTGGAGGCCACAATAGGAGTTGGATATTTGGTTTGGGTAAACTTGTTATTACCCAAATCGAAAAGCGCCCTCTACTGTTGCCGCCACATCTCAATAGGCTAATTTACATGAATAGTATTGTTCATTCATTAAAGTAATGATTTTAAAGAATTTGTATTCAATGGGTTCAACCTAAAAACAGACATGCAACCAGGAAGTAAAAAGAAAAAGTAAAGTTCCAAGCATAACAAGACTTTATACAGTGTTTTTTTTTCAATATTTAAATGCCAAGTTTCAAGTGAAAACAAGGAAAATGAGTTGATCCGAGGAAAAGTTGCATGCCTGTAAAAAGAAAAAAAGGTAAAAAATTACAATGTAGCTCTCTTGTGATACTAAAATGCCCTTAAAACTTAATTTTCTAAAACAATCTACTTTCCGCCTTCCACCAAACATTCACTGCATATATGCAATGCCTCAACAATCTGATTCTACGCATAATTGCCAACATCGTGCACTTAGTACTTTTTGCTAAATATATTAAGTTCTGAAATTGAATTATATTTTTCATTTTGGTTGCAACATTTCTTTAATTCAGTAAATAATTTTCTAATCAGGTTTTGCTGTTTCAACACATTTTAATCAATTTGTTTCATAAATTAACTCCTAACAGAATTTTCTATTGCACAATCTATTAACAAATTTCATTATTTCATGAATCGGTTTTGTATTTACCACTACGTGGATTTAAATTTGGCAAAAAGTCAGTGAGAAGTACAATTGATCTCAATATTCTACAGGGTGAATTCAATTTAAATTTTAAATAAGCACACTGTGCTACTCTTATTTTACGGTGCATTTTGAGGGATTTATACATGTACATGTACAACTGAAATTAAAGGGAATATACATCATTGGCTTTTGCTGTAATTTTCAGAAATGATCTATTTGAGGGGTTAGTATAATAGATCAAATATTGTTACACTCACATGTTTGAAGTTTTGTGTTCGAAAATGCTGGAAAAACCAAGAAAAACAAAACTGTTCAAGTAGTCTGGTTCCCTGACTCCACTAAATATAAATGGATCAATTTACAAATGCCGGAAAATTGTAAGGTAAGGGTACCAGTCTAGCTGGCCTGCACCCGTTCATGAACATGTAACCAATAGCAAACAAAATTTGGACTGAATTAATGGTAAATTTGGAGCAGTAGTTGAAAAATATTTAGGTTTTTCCAACGATGGTCGGCCGACCACCGCTGGACATTTTTACAAAAATACCATTTTCTTGAAAATGACTTCACACCAGGTGCCATAATTTTACAGGATGCTTTAGACTGTCATTTACCAACAGCCTATTAAGGTATTTCGCAAAAATGTCTAATACCAGCCAAGCACATATCTATTCCCATTCAGAAATAACTTTCGGTGAAAAAGTCAAACTAGTAAAAAATTCACAAAATTTCAGAGATTTCGTTTTAATAACAAGTTTACTTCATGGTTTATGAAACACCCCTCTGGCCATGTCTATGGTATGTGCCTCATGCGAGTGGTACTAAAAAACTCCTTATATGGAGATTGGCGTGCACGTGGCATGTACTGTGCGATGTGGCGCAGAACGCAGCGGTGCAAGGAATATAGTGTTTCAAACCAGCTGGCGTTTTATCAGCGGTTTAAAACCACCCACGTGACGGGCTCTCGACCAATAGGAATGGGTAAACTGTCTTAGGTATTTATGAATTACCATTAACTGATACAGAGATTCTTTTCAAACCAATAGCGTTTGATACGTAGGATCACAATATGGCTTAAAAAAAATTAAAGTGGTTTTTCTGCTAAAAAGGGAAAAAAACTTTATTCATGCTGATATATTTCACTTCAAGACTAAAAACATTTGGTACCATTCCAAAGAGGAGCACTGCGACACTTTGAATGCTTGAAGTAAAACTTGGAACATACGTTGTACATATTATTACTGGGTACATCAGGAAACATACTGTATGTGTTAGGTTTCATGTTTAAAGAGGTTGTGGAATGCTCGAAAACATTTCCGTTATTTTTGGGGTATATGTAGCCTAAGGTGTGATGAAATAAAAACGACTATTGGTTCTGTCATAAAATGAGTACAAAAGGTACTTTTGAGAGCTGTTTTTCAAGTCCTGTCATGCCTGTTTCGACCCGAACGTGCAATTTGTGTAAAAGTCGTCGTTGCGGGCAGCAAACATAACACAGTAGATCGTGACGTAATAAACAGGACTCCCGATGCAGAGTAGCATAAACGAGTCCTGTTTATTACGTCACGATCTACTGTGTTTTGTTTGCTGCCCGCAACGACGACTTTTATACAAATTGCACGTTCGGGTCGAAACAGGACCTGAAAAATAGCTCTCAAAAGTACCCTTTGTACTCATTTCATGACAGAACCAATAGTTGTTTTGTTTCATCATACCTTAGGCTACATATACCCCAAAAATGACGGAAATGTTTTCGAGCATTCCACAACCTCTTTAACTGCCCTTAAGAAACACTGCAAATCATACAGCTATGCTTTTATGCAGAGCACACAGCTTGTCAAATACAATAAAACTTTCATCCCGAAAGACAGATTCCTTTTTTCAAAATTTCAAAAAAAAAAATCTAGCAGTACTTAAGTTATTCACTTTTGAAAGAGACTTGGACGGAACAAAAACCGCCCCATGTTTAGTTATTGAATGAATTACTTCACTAATTTTGAATTACCTGCGGCCCGACAATAATTCCGTTCTCGCAGGGTAGGCTGGTTCCCGCTCCACAATCAACACTGATGATGTGCAGTCTGGGATCCTGTCTGCTCACGAGGACCTATCTGTGCCCCCCAAAACCCTTTTTTTTTTGGCAGAGAGTTGTTTTGGTCAAAACAAAGTATACAAGTTGAACATTTATTAGCCAGTTCGCGCCGGGATTATTTTTGCAGAAAATTTTGATTTTCAAAAAAGGCAAAATATAGCAGCCAACTTTTGATATACAGCCAAACGCCACAAATACTGATTCGCAAGAGTCATTTCAACAGCATTTGTACGATATTTCTTAGCGCAACCTCATATTTTTCAACACTCCGGGGTGTGCCCACGGAGCGTAAATTGTACCACAACAGGCCGTGCACAGCGGCCTTGTTCAAGTTCAACACACGGTCCACTTCCACAGACTTCTCGGACTTGGTGTGTGTTTACAAAACAAATGGGGGAAAGTGTGTTTAGACGTCGCCCGGAAGCAAGTCGAGGCATGCTTGACGTTTTAACCAATCAGCCTTGCCTGTGTATAAAGACAGCCAGATCGTGTTAACACGTCATCCGACACGAACTGGTTAACAGAAAAAACTGAATTTGTTGAAGAGCTCGGGGAGAGCAACTTCAAGTAAAATTTCAGTTTATTACTTCCAGACATGAAAAATGTATCCAAAAAAAAAAAAGAAATTTAAAAAAGAATTTCCATTTCCTGAAAAGGTACAGGTAAACTAAAAGCTAAATTACTTTTAAAAATCAACGTTAAAATCAACATGTGGCAAGATTATTCTACTGACAGTAAGATGAAGCTTCTGAAAATAAATTTGTTTCTATGCACATTTTCAAAAAAAAATGAAAATTAACAAAATACAGAATTTACGCTTCTTTGGACACAGTTAACTTTGGAAGGTGCTTTTAAGTCAAACCATTTGCCGCTGTTTATTTTAGTAGTTTTGTGTTTTCGTTTTGCACCACAACTCAAGTGTTGACTTGGAGGGCAGGTTACATTGTCTCAGCGTGGAGGTGTGGATGAGCTAGTCGTTGACTGAGCCTGTGGAATGAACGACAGAAAACCAAATGCGTTGATTCATCCTGTACATCAACAAGTCAGTTTTTGTACAAAGGTCTTCCCATGAAAATCCAGCATGATACTAATAAGGCACAAAAAAAAGTCTTCGGTTTCTGGTATGGAGCTTGCCCCAAAAATGGTGCGGCGACGCGGCTTTTTGGTTTTTTTCCCCCCATTTTTGGTTGTACAACTGCAAATGGTGCTCGACAATCCTGTGCAAAATATATGGGAGCCCAGAAAGGCCGCACAAAGCTTATACTCGATTGTAACCCCATCATCTTACATTGAATTTTTTTTTAAAATTTTGTCGACGCGCATGGCTACAGCAACGCGCGCGCATACCAGAAACCGGAGGAGTTGTTTTTGGCCTAAGCAGTTCTTATATTATTAGTTGTCCCACGAGTGCGAGTGGAACACGAAATAATGTTGCGTGTCTGTGTCCAAAACACCACACGGCATTTGGGACACCAACGCACTACATTTTCCCATGTTTCACGAGTGCGAATGGGATAACGGAAACGCATCGTCAAGCAAACTTGACACACAGTAAAGATGGAACACGCACGCTGTAGGAACTGTCAAGCTTTTATCCAATGCAAAAGCATTTGGCAGAAACAGAAGGGCTATGGTACAATATCACACTGTTGTTGACATGGATAAACCAATCAGGATCGAGGATTCAAGTTTGCTTGAGGATAAAGTGCATAATACTCAACTCAAAGAGTCCGCACTTTTGATTGCGAACGAATAGTCTTAATCCTAAAGAGGCCGGGGGGGGGGGGGGCGGAATCCCCCCCTCCACTTTTTCTGCGTTGGTTTTAAAAAAAATTTTTTTTGCGACCCGAGCTGTTCTGACTTTTTAGCCTCGAGCCTTGCGCATCTTTTGATGCCAAAAAAAAAATCGGACAACGGGTTGCCGCGCAGCCAAAAACTTCCTGGCGCTATGCGCGGTGAAAAGTGAATTTCCCCATATACGTCTTACACACAGAGCAAAATTACCATTCATGCATATGAATAATAAATTAGCCATAATTCCAAAACCCTTTGACCTATGGTCATGAAATTTCTTGGGTATGTTCATCAATAGTTGTTCTATGCATGTACCGAGTTTGAAATTTTTTTGTCACTCGATGGCCGAGATCTTGGCTGAGAGATGATCAAAATAGCCCTTTTAGGGTCAAGCTCCAAGGATGGGCTGGTTTTTATATGAATACGTAATTCAAAGAGTGTGACATGTATTGTCCATTAATAGATTTCTTAGGATAGCACAAAGACTTTAATTTCAATTTTCTAAGTACAAGTTAGGAATTTTCTGTTCAAGTCTACTTGGAAAACTGGCGCAAAAAAATCCCTTGATATATTGACAGAATGTGGTATAACATGGTGTGGTGTCCATAACCTATCATTATTTCTTCTTTAAAATATCACGCCAAAGAACATCTGAATACTCTGAAACACACAGCGTACGTTATCAATAATTCCGTTAAATTAAGTGAGCCCCATAGACATACATACAAATGTCACAAAAATCTACAAATGTTACACAACGTTCTCAAACTTCATATAACGTACAAGGAAAACATCTTACCTCTAAATTTCCCCTTGCTTGTCGCAATACGTCATGTGTCTGGGATACTATACAAGAAAAAAGGGAATAAATATAACTTTACTTTAAATAATTTAGACTAATGATGTTTAAGTTTTAAAGGTAAAAGTTCTGACAACTTGTTCTCGTGTAATTCCACGAGAATTCTCAGTTTTGCTTTTTTGTGGCAGCGGCCATTATGAGTGCCTTTTTATTTTCACATTTCGCGCATGTGTCGCCATGAACAGCGCCATTCATTGTCCATTAGTGTTCATAATTGTCTGTTTTGGACAGTGCCCCCATCTTAAAATGGTACCCCCCCCCCCACTATTTAATTTTAAGGAGGCCAAGAGTCCGGAGAAAAAAACGTGGCTACATTTCAGCAGGGATGTTCGAGTGCCCTATTCAAGAAATTCTCCCCCCCCCCAATAAAAATGATCTTGCTACGCCCCTATTTTCAGCTTGATGCCAACGGTTCCGTCAAGGCACAAGCCAATCGCAGGTGGACCTGAGACTGCCCTTAAGTACAGAACCATGCAAATACGCAGAGACAAGTCATTGAGACCAGTGTGGCGGCTTGGCACTCACATTGTTGGATCAGAGCCAACTCCATGTCCTCCTTGAGTCGATTGGACGTGGACAGCCTCTGGAGGGCCTCCTTCATCAGATCATCCTGGGCTTTGAGTCGTCGCCTCAGCCTGGCTACCTGGTCCCCCTGGGGTAGATGTCCCTTCCAGAACCGCGCCAGCTGGTGATTGCACCGATCCAGGTGAGATTTCAGGTTGTGAACCTCCTTGGACAGGGCTTGCAGATCTTTGGTGGACTGTGTCAAGGAGAACATTGAACGCAAATCTACATAAGCAATGGTAATTTAAATTGTCCATGACAGAGATTTTAAACTGACTGTATTACACTGATGAGACACTCCTTTTTGATTTAATTTGTGTGTTAGTGCACTTTTTAACATGGGCAATTCTGTAAAATCCAACGTACATGTACGTCCGACCACATGGTGTACATCTACAGGGTCGTTTAAGTTATTGGTACCTTAGTTTGGTCTGTAATTGTTTTCAACTCATTAGATGTCACATTATTAGTGATGTATCACGTTCACTTTTCCAACAGCAGCTCACTAAATTGTCTGACTGTACATTCGAATTATGGAATTTCCCACATTTAAAATGGCCTTTCAACTGTTGCTGCTATGTTACTTTAGGCATTCCACAGTTTAGGGATTTTAGTGTACAAAAAAATGAAGCCAACATACATAATATGCAGCTCATGAAAATATCGGTACCTGACTATAATGTACCGAATCATGAACGAAACATCAAAACAGCAACTTCATCGTAGCAAAACCCAAAAAATCTGGCGCAGTGGGAAGTAAATTTGAGAAACAAGACGTATTGTCCAGAGTATTTGGGGTTTTGATTAGGGTTAAGAATCTTGTATTTGGACAAAATGGGATCTGGAAATATCCAGGATAAAAAAAAAAAATATTTTTTTCCTGTTCAGTGCTAAGTTTGATTATTCGTCTTTGGAACTACTTTAACTCCTGTTTTAAACTTTCTGGCTTTACATTTTAACAAATTGCTTTCAATTTATTCCCCTGTAATTCAGCCCTTGACTGTGATGGTCTTTATAACAAAAAAAGACATTCATTAACCCTGAACTTCCAAAACCCTCCAAAATGCTCTTTGCAAAATGGAGGATTTTGCAGGATTGAGGCTATATGGCAAAAATGTGTGGCTGAATTTAAAGGATGCACTGTGTCAAGGTCTTAGGCCGGACCTTGTGCTGTTGATGCTCAGCCGTGCATAAATTTAGGCGTACATTATACTTGAAATCCTCCGCACTGCTCCGGGATGTCACTGGCTCTACCTCAACATATTGACAGTGATTGCTGGAGGATTTTGCAGGATTGAGGCAGTGGTCACCCCTCAAAGGACCACATTCAAGAAACAACGGAGGATTTTGCAGGATTGAGGCTGTATGCAGTTTTTACATGGAAGCAGTTTGAGGATTTTGCAGGATTGAAGTTGCATCCTAGCAAAAGTGCCTAGGGAGTTGGGATTAAAAAACAAAGCCTCAGATTTGGTCTACAAGATTTCACCTCTGGATGGGACCTGATCATCTCTGTCAGTCGCGTCTCGATCAGATTGACGATGATTCTCCCGTCGTGGAGGTTCTCGCGCAGCGTCTCGTAGGTTGGCACTGTGCCAATGACGTGAATGTCGCCCTCGCTGCCCTCGTCTGATCGAGTGGTTTCGCCGTAGTGTTGGCTAGTCTTGTCAGAGGCCGAGTTGGTATGGTGATTTCGTAAAGGTGCAACACCTGCAAATGCAACAAGGGCCATATTTGTTGTAAACTTTGATTCGCTCAATGGGTATCTTCAGAAAAATCACGCAAAAAAAAACATGCTAAACTGCAGGCAATATAATATGTCAGTGCACAAAGCCAAGTATTTGCTACTTATACCCTACCCCTGCCAGCCACAACTACATGCAACAGGTCTGTTGGACCTTGTTGCATTGGGCAGACAACTCTGCAGCATTGTGGAGATACATGTATTGAAAAAAGGCACTGGCATCCACACACCCAGAGGCTTAAAGGGAATATACAACATTTGCAAACATCAAAAAATAAAACTACCAAGTTTTTACGAAATACCCTACTAGAATGTTGGTAAATGACTGTCTAAAGCATCCTGTAAAATTATGGCACCTGGTGTCAAGTCATTTTCAAGAAAACGGTATTTTTGTATACATTTCCAACGGTGGTCGACTGAACACCGTTGGACAAACCTAACCATTTTTCAACTACTGCTCCAAATTTACAATTTTTTCAGTCCAAATTTTGTTTGCTATTGGTTCCATGTTCATGAATGGGTGCAGGCCAGCTAGCCTGGTTCCCTTACCTTACAATTTTCCGACATCTATAAATTGATCTATTTTATCTTTAGTGGAGTCAGGGAACCAGACTACTTAAACAATTTTTGTTTTCCATGGTTTTCCAAGCATTTTCAAACACAAAACTTCAAACATGTCACTTAAACAATATTTCATCTTTTATACTAACCCCTCAAATAGTTCATTTCTGAAAATTACAGCAAAAGCCAATGATGTAAATTCCCATTAAAGGCATATACCGGTAAGGTCATTTGCATTTCATGCATATTGTTCGTTTCCAATAACATTGTTCAAAACCTACATGTAACCTGATGAAGTTTCAGCTCAGTGGATATTACACTTTTCGAGAAAACAGTGATAAACCATGCACAACCAGACAACCTTTGGATCACGAAACACAATTTCTTAAACAGCACTCTTTGATTTCTTAAACAGCACTCTTTATTTCCAAAAATCAGTCAATTGACTAATCGTTGGAATACATCTGTTGACTTCTTCTAAATGATTGCAAGCCAGATGGAATAATTTCACGGGGTGTTTTGTACCAGTACGATCTTGACTCCAAGTGAGCTTTTTTGATCACAATTTGGTAGGTTACTTTTAGGATAAATGCAAAGTTATGCAAAATGATCCTACATGCCTTTACAGGGTATGAGAAATTTGGGGTTGTTGACCAGTTGAAGTTTTTTACACGAGGCTGGCTTCCCATTTTGACAAATATTGCATGTTGTCAACTAAAACTAAATGAAGGGAAAAGAAAAACGTCGGTGAAGGGCAAAACCTAATTTGATTTATATCACCCTGACGCAAAATTCCATCTTATAATAGTTTATGCGGTACCCGCTGCTATGTACAACAGATTCGAACCGGCCAACCGATCCCGTTAGCTCGGTGGTCGAGTGGTAAGACATCTACACTAGAAAGCAGGAGGTCGTGGGTTCGAGTCCCAGCCGAGTGATTTTTTCCAACTTTCACTCGGGAGGTAACACACTGAGTATACAGTGTTTAAAAACGTTGGTGAAGGGCAAAACCTAATTTGATTTATATCACCCCGACGCAAAATTCCATCTTATAAAACTAACTGGTAAAGTAAGGTTTACAAGACATGCTCACAGTTCACACAATTTTCAGCGATTAAAATATAGCGCAATGCCCCAAACCTGTACCATGTTCACTGTCACATTTTGAATGTATTCCATGTTTTCCGTCCTTGACAAACTGAACTTAAGTGGTGGAGTCGTGTTAATCAGGCAGAAACACATGGAAAAGTATTAAGGTAGCACTATGAATAACAGTTTGCATGTATAAGCAACCTGTTGCTGAACATTTCATTCTACATGTACCAGGCCAGCCACTATAAAGCCAATTTAGAGAAGTACTCCAACAGATGGATTCAAATCAAGGGAAGACAGTGAAACTGCAGAACAAAAGATTCTTCATAGACTGGACTGTATTAAAAGAGGGCTTAATAAAACTAAAACATAATGACGTCACACTTTGTTTACATGTGCGCTTTCCTATGATGCGTCCAACCTGGCTCTCATAGGAAAGCGCACTTGTAAACAAAACGTGCATCATTACGTTTTTAGTCTATCCGCTCCGTGCACAAGTACCCCATCAACGGCCAGAAAAGGAGAGTTGGGGTGATCTAGACTGGTTCCCGATCCATCCACTGCGTATTTCGAATGTCTCCAAAGTTATTGGAGACGGAGATTAGTCTCGGAGACCATTGCAAGTTGAATTCGAATGTATTTGCGCGCCGACGATGCCTGACGCTCACGCGAAGACGCAGTTGCTATAGCTTTTGCACACTCAGGAAGTCGTGCGTACTTTGTGCCCGAACCAGTATAGTACAGTACGCGCGCGCTGTGTCCCTGTCCACGGAGCTCTCAAAAGAGGGAAAAACGCGCCCTCTCTTGGATAGGGATCGTGGCTTTTTGTCACACTAACACTACTGACTGGTCACCAACTTTCCGTTTAGACTGTGCATGTACATAAACCTTGTATGATGATGCCCCTCTCCATTGTATCCGATGAAGTTGTTCTAGCCAGGAAAGCTATTATGCAAACTTTTATTCCAATTGTTGGCCATTTTAAGTGCTACTTTACTTGTCCATGTTTTCCGTGATTCTTTAGAGTACCGACCTGGTATTGAGTAATATTCCTCATCTTGTAGCATGCCGTCAGTTGGGTACAGGGGAGAGGTAGCCTGGCTTGACAATGATGTCTGACAGGCTACATGACGCCTGGAAGCATCACCTGCAATGGAAACAAACGTCAGGGTCTTGAGTCATTCAACTTGGTCAATGTGGCTTATTGGGTAGATGTTCCACTATACTTTCCTGAGATAAACTGTCGTACAATCTTTATTTAAGGTTAGGTTTATGGCTGCAGTATGTAACAGATCTCTTTTGTGAGTTTGTGAAGTTCTGAAAAGAACCGGGGAACTGAACTTTTTGCTCTGCCCATCGTCAGGAGACTGTCTTTATGGGGCAGATAGCTTTCTAAAGTTGTGGGTTCTATTGTCCCAATTGTTATTCTGTGTGCTTGGTGTCAAGTAGTCTGAGTATCACCCGTTATCCACGGAGCCATCTCCTGTCTAACGTCTGATATGTCAAAGCATGCAGATTTATGAAAGCCGCGCACCAGCCAATCGGAGTCGACTTTACTAAATCGTGACGTCATTTCATCCCAAAATCAGGACTAACGCTGTGATTGGTCAATTCGAATGCAGTGTTTTATAATACAACAACAGCCGGGAGCGCATTCGTGTAACATGATACGCCCGCCGTGATTGGTCAATTCGAATGCAGCGTTTTGTAATACAACAACAACTGGAGCGCATTCGCGTAACATCATTCCGAGCGCTGCGCGCCGTGACATGTTTTTTTTTTAAACTCCATGTCTAAGACGCGCAACGGGTGAATGACCGAAGACCCGATAGACCTATAGAAAGCGCCTGCTGATTGGTCAAAATCTAGGAAGTCAAGAGACGGGGTCTTGCCTAATTAATCAGCAAATCTGTTCGCGCATAATAGATTCGCCGTGGTCTATTGCATAGACTAGGTGTCGAGCAGACCCAGGTGAAAAAGTAGGAGAACTTACAGTAGAATCAAAATTTTTGAAAAACAAAAACAAAACAGAACAAAACGGAACAAAACCAGGACTTTGGAGGACAAAATCAGTATAAAAGTAGGACTTTTGCGGGCTTTCAGGGGTAGATTTTGTTGATACTCACAGATGTTCATGGCTTCATACATGTAAGCCTCATTTGGAATGTTTTGTACTCACAACACTTGTGCTCCATCCTCAACTAAGCTCTTGCAAGTACAGTTGCAGTACTCCTGTGCCCAAGCCCTTCATTGTGTGACTCACATATGACAGTGTGTAACACTGTTATGAAAAATATTCAATGAAATTTCATTTTTTGGAGTTGTGGGACAACAAACTAGAAAAAAATAGGGAAAGTAGGAATACTTAAAAGCCAGTTTACTTTTTACCGACTTGTTTACAGGCAAAAACTCAAACTGCATCTCCTAGATTGTAGTAAAGTATCTTGCTTAAGAACACAAAATGCATCCTACCATTGAATAACTGCCTCGGAGTGAAAGTCCTCCCAGCCTGCGTCCTGCCAACGCCGTCCGCCAGAGTCCACGAGTCTCTCTCGGATACAGTCGTCATGGTGACAGTTGTCAGGGATGTCTTGTGAGGGTCTTTGGGTGACGTGGTCTTCATCATTTCTTCTAGTCTTAGCCTCAAGGCGTTGTTGGTGTCGATACTGCGCTCGAGTTGGATGCGTAGATGTCTCATCTCCTTGAGGAGATCCGACAGATCCAGCCCAGTGGTCTGGTCCTTCATGGAGGGGAGTCTAGGACTTGCGCCTCCCAGACTAGTCCTACTGGAATCATCTGCTCAAAAGCACAAATCGTTTGAAGATTATTCATAAATACTTAAGACAGTTTACCCATTCTTATTGGTTGAGAGCCCGTCACGTGGCCGGTTTTAAACAGTCGGATAAAGACCAGCTGGCTGGTCTTAACACTTTTCCAGTGTCACAAAATAAAATGTTTTTTTTCCCATCACATTAACTCTAACTCCCTAGCATAATTTACAAGGAACCGCACCCAACCTCGCAAATTCCAACACCCACATGGGAAATCGTACACACACATGCTGTTAAACTTAGTTTCTGGAGGTATGCCAAACCCAATGTAAAAGACCATCAGTTTAGGGGTACTGTACCCATTCTAACAGATTTCAACAACACCTGCTGTTGGGCTTTGATGGGTTGAGTTCGGTTAGGGTTAAAACATACAATTTCAAAAATCAGGACAAATAGGGGGAAACATTTCTCTGGTCAAGAGCGTGGGGGAGGAACTTAAATGATTCGCCTTGCACTTTGCAACAGTGAGTTCTCACCTTTGGTATGTAAGTGCTCGTAGACACTCAACTCAAATCTCAGTGACTCGGCTAGGTGAGTGTTCTCCTCTATCTGGTCTCTCAGCCGTTGATTCTCAGCTTGGTGTCTGTGAGTAACAATGACCAATGATTAAAAACAGTTAAAGCTACAGTCCATCATTTGCAGCTATCCGCAAAGTAACTGGCGTAATTATTGTTGAAAAACATTCTCGGTTGAAAGATAGTAAGGGGACTAAACTACCTGTGAAATTTTTCTTTCTGGCAAGCTGTCATTTTGAATAAATCAACAAAAGAAGGCCTTTCCAACGTTGCTTCTTAAGACGCACCGTACGAAATTTAAATTAGCATTTCGCTTTGTTATTATTTTATAATTCGTTGGATCGGTGCGTGACACTGCGTAGCTGCAATCGGCTCAGTGAGAACGTGTATCGGACGCTGAATTCAGGCCCTATTCAAAACACGACTCAGCAACTTTTGATTTGAAATCGAGACACTAGCATGCTGTTTTTCTTGGAATATACAGCTGAAGTTGAGCTGAAACTTCATCAGGTTAGTTGTTCAGCAACCTTCTTTAGATTTTGAGCACTTTTGTTGCTTCAAACGAACAAAATGCACAAATTACAAAAGATGGACTATACCTTTAATTGATAGTCATTTACTAATATATTGACATCAGGCTTCCAATGAAGCTGGGTGTGACTCAACCGTCGTGTAAAAGCTAAAACACAGACAATATTACATGCAAATGCCACGGTATAAATTTACGGAAATTAATACAAGATGATACTTCAACATCAGTGTGTTTGTCACAATTGTCTTGGGCCAAGAAATTCATTTGTATTCGCAATTGCAAATAAAACAAGCTTTACTAAAAACTTTAGTACACATGTACAAATGGGTAAGAAGCCAACATCCTGTACATTATTCTGCCAAAAGCAAGCTACATGTACATGTAACTTTGAAGAAAAATCATTTCCAACTGAACTAATCACATCCACACGAGTTTGTCATATGAGGTCCTTAAATCTTGTTTTCAGCCAAAATACGAAAATAAGGAAAAACTTTAGGTCATGAACATGTACTAGGGCTGTTCAGAATATACCGAATATATGAATCATTGACCGAATATTCAAAGAGCTTTTTGCCAGTTTGGATATTCGAAGAAAAAAAAAAAATCTACGCATGCATACATGACTGTTATGTTATTTTAATCGTATTGTTAGGCGGTTTATTGTCAGATGCCCCTTTTTTGTAAGCTGGAACTTTTTTTGTCAACAGCAGTTCATTGTTCCTATCCAGTATGTTAAAACCCTTGACTGCAAAACAATCCAGCGGCCCACAAAAACATTAACAGGCGTGCTTTCCATGCAACTTTAAGCCCAGTTCATACTCGGCACGAATGCGAACGCGAAGCGAATTTAAAGTCAAGAAATGTTCGCTGCGAAATTTGCCCGAGTTGAAATGTGTTCCAACTTTTACGAATTCGCAGCGCGAATACTTGCCATGACGTCACCAATGCGCTTTCGCGCCGAGTATGAGCCGGGCTTTAGACTACTGGGCACAGCAGGCAGTTGCAGCTGGGGCGTGTAGAACTTAATAGGCGAGTTTGGAATATTTGAATATTCGGTCGAACGCAATTTTGCACGGCCTAATCGAGTACCACATTTTTCAAAAATGAACAGCCCTATTATTTAGAATCACCTTTGTGCTTCTCTTTTGGCTAACTTCAGATCACCCCTCAGCTCTCTAATGGTACGGTCTTTCTCAGTATCGTCAACTCTTGAGGATCGAACTTGATTGAGTTCACCCCTCAAGTCCTGAATGGTACGGTCTTTCTCTGACAACTGCGACCTCAGTGTACTAGCCCGTCGCAACTCGTCCCTCAGATCGAGAATGGTAGCGTCCTTCTCCGTGAGCTCAACTTTCAGTGAGTTCGCCTGCTGCAGGTCACCCCTCAGGTCCTGAATGGTACGGTCCTTCTCGTCCAGCTCAACCCTGAGTGAGGCGGCCCTCTGGAGCTCACCCCTCAAGTCTCTAATGGTACGTTCCTTCTCAGTTAACTTCATCTTCAGTGAGTTGTTTCGTTCTGTGAGCTCTATGTTTGTTTGTTCTAGGTGAACGATGGTTACGCCTTCTGAAATACCAAACACAATTCAGTGCTTATTTTTTCTTATAACAATCAAAGTCACAATCACATGCTTACCTGCAAAATACGGTAGAATGTTCAGGCCAAACTACTGATTGAAATTCCATCTCACAGTGGAAAAGGGTTTTTTTCAGGAATTTTCCAGTCCCGATGGGTGTTGCAGTTCCAAAGAATATTTTGTGAGTTGAGAACAGTATTTGAAAAAAAAGTCAGCTTTTTCCCAACGATGGTCAGCCGACCAATTCATACAAAAATTTCACTTTTCTTGAAAATGACAGCACACCATGTGCCATGATTTCACAGGATGCTTGAGACTATTATTCACTTACAGTCAAGTAAGGTGCTTCATAATAATTTGGTAGTTTAGTTTGTAACGTTTGCAAAATGTTGTACAATTCAAATGTTAAAATACATGTAGAGAGCATCATATAGCAGACATTATGTAATCCTGATGACAGTCATTAGCATACTGACTAAAACTAAATCCCCTTGAGAGATAACCACACGGCATACTGGTATTCGCAAACCTCTTCAATGTTTTGCATATATTCTATTAAAGCTATAGTCCATCATTTGCAGCCATCCGAAAAGTAACTGGCGTAATTATCATGATTATTGTTGAAAAACAAACTGGGTTGAAAGATAGTAAGGGAACTAAACTCCCTGTGAAATTATTCTTTCTGGCAAGTTGTCATTTTGAAGTAATCAACGAAAGAAGGCATTTCCAACGGTGACTTGTGCGCAGCCCGCACAAGTATTGGAACGACGCACACGCGCGCGCGGTTGTTGTAATTCGTCGGATCAGTGCGCGACGTCGCGTATAGCTGCAATTCAAAACAATTCAAAACATGATTCAGTAACTTTTGATTTGAAATTGAGATCTTAGAATGCTGTTTTTCTCGGAATGTACAGCTGAAGCTTAGCTGAAACTTCATCAGGTAAGTTGCTCAGTATCCTTCATTAGATTTTGAACTCTTTTGTTGCTTCAAACGAACAAAATGCACAAATTACAAATGATGGACTGTAGCTTTAAATATTTTAAGATTAAGGGTACTGTTCAAACAAATTTCAGAACTCATTTACGATATATTACATAATGCCTGAATAGATCCCCGTTATCTGATTGGTCAGTCGTTGATCACTTGTCACTGAATTGTTCGTCCCAGCCCACAGCCCACACTGCAAAAATAGAAGTTCTATTCCACGGTAAATAGAGCTTCTATTGCACGGCCACACTTTTGGCAGCTCTGACCAATCAGTTGACAAGGATTTATTCAGGTGTTGTATGAAACAAATAATGAAAGTTTCACATTCAAGCAATGGAAAGAATACTTTCATCCGGTGACAGATGCAATGTTCGCCTCGTGGAATGGAACATTCCAAATGTCACCTCGTGAAATTATTCTTACCATTGCACTCATAAACATTCATTATTTGAAATACTATGTACATGTATGACTATGACATCATTGCCATATTTACCAGGAACCTCCCTGAATCCTCCCAAATCTTCCACTGTGCAAGGAACCACTGGAACATCAAACCCTCAAGGGGCATAAAGTCCTTTTAAAAGTAACCGTGGCTTGGCTACACCTTCCTATATTCAACAAATTTCCTCGAATTCTTGTCGAATGTCTTACCTTGTTGTCCCATGCCAGCCAGCCTTGCTTCTAGCTGCTCTCTCAGTCGATCATTCACTCTGATCGACTCCTCCAGTTTCTTCCTGAGCTGTCTCAACTCTTCCAGATGCTCCTTCAAGATGTCGTTTGGATCCTGCTTGCCATCTCCTCGTCCTGTACCCTTCCCAATGTCGCCGTCACTTATCACCGACTTGTAAATCTCCAGCTCGGCTCGAAGGGCCGAGTTGAGCCTCTCCACGTCGCGGAGTTTAGATCGCATCCGCGCGAGCTCTGATGTGGTGTCTTCAAGGCTGACTGGTGGATAGGTCGAGGTTTGCGTTGACGCCGCGACGGTTCGAGAGACTGTGGGGGTTCTCTGAGTTGATGAGATTGGTTCTGATTGGCCGGCTGCCGAACCCCGCGTCTCACGCTCCCGGGAACCGCTCGGCTGTCCGAAATCGGGGAAGTCAACGTCGCCCTCGTCAAACTCAAACAGGCCCTGTCTGGGACCGCTGCGTCTTGCACCTGGTACCTCCGTGGGATGCTGCGTGTCGCTAGGGGGCGCTCTTTGAGCAGAGGCTCTGATGGAGTCTCGCAGTTGACTGTGAAGCTCAGAAATCTTCTCGTTCTTCTCTTCGACCTCTTTTGATAACCTGTCAAAATATTTTTTAAACGTTTTTCAGTTTTATATGTTTGCTCGTGCAACAACGTCTAGTCTAAATACCACATATTATCAAAGTAGAATTAAGCTTCAAACAGGGCCCAATTTCACGGCGCTGCTAAGCACAAAAATTTGCTTAGCACAAAAAAGTCTTGCTTATATAGAAGCAGGTTATCAGCCAAGAAAATTTTCATGCTAAGCAAACAACAGCTGGATGCTAATCATTAGCAATATACATCAAGTGGAGTTTTGGCTGGTAACCTGCTTTTATAAGCCAGACTTTTTTTGTGCTAAGCAAATTTTTGTGCTGAGCAGATGGCCCTTAGCTAGGCCCCAGATGATATGTCTAGCCAAAACTCACCAGGAATTTAAGAAAAACCCTGATCTTACATGTACCCTCGCTCTATCGCACTCTCCAGTTCACTTCAATATTTGCCCAAAGTGGATTTCCTACATCTTTTGCAACCCCTTCCACATCTTGCAATGTTAATATCTCATGGGCAATACAAACACCAGAGTGAGCAAGTCTGTAGTGAGCTCCCCAGGACCTCCTAATCCCTCAGAATTAAAACCACTGTTAACCTAGCCTTTAGTCGAGGCGCGCGTGTCTACCCGCGTGTCTAGACCAGTCGAGTGGCAAAGCCACGAGTGCCTTTACTATCTCGTGGAGCTAATCATTATTCATTTTTTTCAAGTAATATGAATCATGCATGTATGCAGATATATATGAACCAATCACCACGAACAAGCCATTTTGAGGTGATGACACGCGCGCGCCCTTGAGCGCGCACCACACGTGTTCTAAAGAAACAAGACGCGCATGCATTTACAACATGTCATGCATTATGCATGAACTTTTGTCTACCAAATCGATAGACAAATGTAAAGAAAAACATAAGCGCTCTTCACGAGATGGTAAAGGCCCTTGCGGCTTTGCCACTCGTTCTAGTCTTTTTACGTGCCAGCATCCGGGTGCGTCACGTGTCCGGATAAAGCGCATGGGACTTGACTAAAGGCTACTGTTAACCAGTTGATGAACCCTCTAGATGCATTCACAGTTTTGACAACATCTTTTTTTGTATGACTCAATCTCAGTCACAAAAACAGTCGCTGCATCACCTCGATCCCGCCATTTGGAAAGTTCTGTCCGACATTCCCCAGAATTAGGCGGCAACTCTCGGAATCGTGCCACAGGTAAAATAGCACTGCATTCACTTCACAAAAGAAGCGGTGATTTATTTGCGTCTACCTTGATAAGTTGGGCTCCACAACAATCACGATTAGGAAGTAATAAAATGACCATGTAGGTTACGACGTAATTTATTTCATACGTCCTATAATAACACAAAGACTTGTGAATCTTTCATGAAGTATGTCCTGATGTGAAATTTTGCACAAGTTTTCAACAAAATGTGGCGTAAGATGGAGTTATGCCATTGTGTGATGTGTCGGAAAATCCGCTGTTGGTGGATTTTAAAGGATCAGGAAAGGAATAAAATGAACAGATACCTCTGCAGATCTTCTCTTGTTTCCTCTGCCACTCTCTGGTTGTCCGTCAGTAGATCTCGTAATTTGTGGTTCAGTTGCTTCCGATCTTTCAACTCTTTCTTCAGGCGAGAGATTTCTTTGTCTTTGGCCTCAAGGCTGTCCAGGAAAACAAAGTCACACAAATAAATGAAATTTGTGGAGTGATTACATATTTACACAAATACTCTTTGACCTGAGAAAATCAGGCCAAACTATCATCCTGACCCCCAGTTGAAATCAGAAAAGTAATTTAAAAACTTTGATGATTACCTGTCAAGATAAAGTGGTCTTGTGCCGACATCAACGAAGGACACCTTTGAACCTTGAATAGGTTCTGTAATTAACAAAAAACAACTAATAAATAAATGAGACTTAAAGGTTTGCAGGGTGGACATGAACAATGAATGGGAGGATTGTGGTAACACCATGTGAATGATATTTCTTTGGAGTTATGTGGCTTTGAGAAGAACCAGTTGATTTAACTCGACGTTTCAAACAGTATGCTCTGTTCGTCATCAGAAGACTGCCGGACTCTTACTGGTGTAGTAGTTTAAGTAGTGGATGCTAAGTTCAGTGGACCGTTAAGGCAGGACATTCCAGAACAGGATGCTAAGTTGCCAGGTAGGATGCTGAAGTGGACTGGGTGTGTACAGCTAGACTGGGTACAGCTAGGATGGACATCAAGGGGTGCAGAGTGCCCAGGGTACTGGGGACCTACAGGCCAAACTAATGAGAAGGAACTATGTGGATTGGTCGGGGTCCTTGGGTATAGAGGTCCCATTGGACCCTACGACGAAGAGATCGGCAGTCCCAGCAAGAGTCCCACAGTCTCCTGATGACGAACAGAGCATGCTGATCGAAACGTCAAGTTAAACCTACTGGTTCTTCTCAGAAGACATAACTCAAAACAGATACCATTCACATGGTGTTACTGCAAAGCTCCCATTCATCACAACTAATAAATAGCTGCAATAAATCTGTCTAAATATTTCCAAATATTTCTTATAATGGCCATACTTTTTCATCTAATCATTGTACAAATAGAGTTGTACTTTTTAAACTTATATATAGTGAGGGATAGAGGAGGTAACACACATTTACTTTGCCAAGAGAGGCCCAACTGAAAATTCCAGTGTAGAGTTACAAAGAAGCCTCAATTTAGGCGTTTCAAAATGTAGCCATCCTTATCCCCATAAAAACTTTAACAAAATCTAGACTTCTTTTCATGCATGTGTATGAAGAAGCAACGATATGTCTTTTCAACCAACCTTCTAGCACTCTATTGAGCTTCTCTGCCAGGTCTCTACTCTTCTGCATCTTATACTGGACACGGTTGATCTTGCTCGGCGAGATGTCGCTACCCTTCTCAGAATCCTTCCCATGTTTATCCATCACTTCCTCCATTGCAGTCACGGCCTCATTCAACATGGACTTCAGCGATTCGCACACCCCTTGGGAGTCATGTAACTGCTTCTTGAGAAGCTCCGTCTCTTCTCCTTGCGTTCTCAACATCTCATCGCTGATACAGCGCCCTCTAGAAGCTGTCGCGGCATCAATAACCTGCAGCTGCTCTTGCAGCTGGTTGTTCATGTTCTTCAGAGTCCCGTTGGCATCGTGCGTTTCCTGGAGCTGCGCTTGCAGGTTTTCCACCTCCTGCTTGAGTCGCTCAAAGGCGTCCTGGTTGGCCGTGAGTTCAAACCACCCACTGGAGCTGCTCTCGCTCATTGGACTTGGTGCTCGGTTGGGACTCCGCGAGCGTTCCTCACTCCGAAGTCGCCTCTGGAGGTGCCTTATGATGCGCTTGTAACGGTCAACTTGGTTTTTCAGCAGAGCGATTTGCTCTTTGAGGTCATCCACATTGTTTGTATTCCCAAATTCACTGAATGATACCTCATCTAGACCACCTCTCTCTGATGGACAAGGACTTGATGTGGAACTCTCACTCGCTTCAAACATCCCAAGGCTAATACCTGACATCCTACGTGGACTGACTAAGGAAGTACTGCTGTGTAAGAGATTGGAGTCACTGTGGACTCTTTTAGGAGTTGATGGTGGGGCCAAGCCAGCATTATGCATCTCTCTACGATAACGGTTGATGCGGTCGGCTTGGTGATGTACTGTCCCCTCTGTGGCCTGGAGCTTGACTTGCAGTGTCCGATATTTACGTTTCAACTCATCAAGCTCTGTCTGTGATCGCTGAAGCTCCTGCCGTAAGGCTTTGAGAGCACTGATATCACTAGAGGAAGCCTTCATGATACTCCTCCCCTTGTCTAATTGTGTCTGCCCAGCATCTTGGAGCTTGTCTTGAGCTTCTTTCAGCTGATCCTGGAGTCGTTCAATCTCCTTGGCCATGTCTACAATCAGCTCCGGATTGAATTGCGGCTGATCAGAATCCTGGGAGCTGTTCAAATCTATATGCTTCTTCAGGAGTTCATTTAGATTCTGTGCATTTCGTAGTTGTTTCTGGAGTCTGCTGATCTCTGGGTTGATGCTCCTAGGAGTGGCTTGCTTCAAATGTTCAAGCTCCCTACTGACCGACTCCAGCTCGGCTCTCATATTTTCTATCCCTTGGAGGGCCTGGTTTAACTTGGACTTCAAGTGCTGGTTCCGTTTTTGCAATTTATCAATGAATTCCTTGCCTTCCTCGACAGGAGTGTCTGGACTGATTCTTAGAATCTCTCTCATGATTTGGTTCTGCCGGTCCTTTTCTTGGATCAGTGCTTTTGCTTGATCCAGTTGGTTTTTCAGGACAGGAACCAAATGGTCTTCTTGTGAAGACCTGGTGTCCGGGGGATTCTCCAATTGATGCTGCAGAGCAGAGTTGACCTGTTGAAGCTGGTTGAAATGTGACTGCAGTGACTGCAGTTGACGAGCCAACGCTTGGTTCTTCTCCACCAGATCCTGACCATCCTGATGCAGCCTTGAGTTTTCTTGATGTAGGGTAGCCAACATGCTCCGACCTGGATGGATAGGAGAGTCAGGCCCAATACCCAGATGATGCCTCAATGTCTGATTCTGTTGCTCCTTCTGCTGCAGCTGATGATCCTTCTCTCTGAGTAACGTCTTGGCTTGGTCCAGCTGTTGCTTCAAGATGGCAACCACTGGTCCTTCTTCCTCCTCCCCTCTGGACTGATTCAGCAAAGAAGCTTCCAACTGTTGCTTAGCAGACTGCTTCTGCTGCTCGCTCTCTGCCAGCATTCTCTCCAACTCTTGAATCCTCTTCTGGTAGGCATTCGCCTGAGTGACCGACGGTGAGTCCTCCTCTTGACCAGGGATGCTACGAAGGCTCTCAACGTCTTGCCGATCTAGGGCATCCTCCAGAGACATCCTTCTCTGCTCAGAACCCTGAAGCTGTGTCTTCAACCTTGCAACTTCTCGCTGGAGCTCCGGGACTGTCTGTCTAGATGCCTGTCCTGAATCACTGGTCTGTGACGGGGAAGACGTCTGATCATCGTTACCCGAGGTTTGATCCGTGTCTAGGTCTCTACCGACTCCTCCAACCCTCTGTCTCATCTCATCCAGGCGTGACTGCAAGGATGCGTTCCATCGGCTACTGTCTTCTAGCTTGTGTCGAAGTGTTTGCATCTCCTTAGATTGCTGAGCTGCAGTCCTTGGAGACATATCTGTGAGAAAGGAAAAGCATTATTACTTGAATACTCATCAAGAAAGCTTACAAACTGAAGATGGTATCAATTCCCTTTGGAAAGAGTTCTCGTCCAACCATCTCCTTATAACACTTAGCCACTTTATTTATGTAATTTAATATTCTCCTTGCTTTCAGATCCTGCCACCAATAGTTCTCAGCTGTAGGGTTGGGTTTTGTTTCTCAATTATTTGGAATCTAATGAATGACAGTGTAAAGTGTGCAATTCTTAGAGTTTTTCGATGGTAATATAATTTCTTACAAACGGGGTTTGTGGCAAACTGCTTGAAGAATACTAATTTGGGAGTTTCTGGAGGTCTCATCAGAAATGGCAACGATGACCAGTATACATTAACAAAACTGATGGAAAGGTTATCAAGAAAGGTCTGCGACAAATTCTGAACCACAATTACAGCCTGATACTGCCTTTTTTGTTATCATTTTCTCTCACATCTGTGTACAGCTTGACTCATCCATCTGTTTCCACATTTTTCAGATGGATAGCTTATCATGAAAATGGAGGGTTCTTAATTACAAAAATCAATCCAGTTTTGGGATTTTGTTTTGTTTTGGTTACCTCTGTGTTCTGCTTGATTCATCTGTCGCTCAAGCTGTTCCCTCATAGCGTCGTTTCTCTTGATACCGTCCTCAAGTTGTCGTCTCAGCGCCTGCACGGCGGCCAGCTCAATGGTCAGACTGTCAGACGACCGTCGCTGGGAGCCATCCTCTCTATCCCCGCTGCCGCTCTGGGTGATGTTGACGTAGAGCTGCCTCTCGGCGCGGAGGGCGTCGCTGAGTCGGCCCAGCTCACGCATCTGATCCTGGAGGATCTGCTGAAGCTGTTAGAGACCATGTAACATTTTTTTTTTAAGTGGAATCCTTGAAATGCACCCTTGTGTCAGAAGGAAGTACAATTAAAATTCATAACGACTCCATAGTGCCTTAACCCTAACCCACCTCACTCCTCCAAAATCCTCCTGGCGGTTTTGGAGGATTCTAGAGGATTGAGGATGAATGGTGATTAAATCAAATGAGGATTCTAGAGGATTGAGGATGAATGGTGATTGAAGCACATGAGGATTTTGGAGGATTGAGGATGAATGGTGAATGAAGCACAAGAGGATTTTGGAGGATTGAGGATGAATGCATTTTGAGGCAGGACTGTCTGATGATTTTGAAGGATTTGGCGTTGGTTATCCTTCATTTCAACACGAGTGCAAAGCTTTGGGATGAGGAAGATTTTGGAGGATTGAGGATGAATGCATTTTGAGGCAGGACTGTCTGACAATTTTGAAAAATTTAGGCGGAGTTGAAACATTTTGGAGGATTTTGGAGGATTGAGGATGGTTGTAAGCAACAAGGGCCTAGGGGGTTAGGGTTAAAGGCATATAGGATCATTTGTTTTTCATGCATTTTGTTGGTTTCCAACAACACCACTCAGAATCCAAAGAAGAATTTCGAAACCTAACCTGTTGAAATTTCAGCTCAGTGGGTATTACACTTTTCGAGAAAACGTACAACCTATTGATCAGGAAACGTGATTTTGTCAATAGCACTCTATACTTAAAAATATCAGTCAACTGACTGATCGTTGGAAATACCTACATTTCTTGATGTCTTCTCAATGAGCAAGCCATGAAATGTTGTAAGCCAGATGGAATAATTTCACAGGCTGTTCAGTACCAGTACGATCTTTCATCAAGTAAACTTTTTGATAACTTGGTAGGTCATTTGGGGGATAAATGCAAATGATCTTATATGCCTTTAATTTCACACTCTACTCCTGTCAGTGGATAACTTAAGTATAAAAGTTAGCAGTCTGAAAGGTCAAAGGAAAATTAATGCATAAAGGTTGCCAGTTTGAAACTATAGTCCATTTCTTTTGACTACAGTCACTCACAATACTTTTTGGTTAGGCCTGACCCTGCAATACCTATCTGAGCTAGGAGTAACTGTACCAAAAAATATCTGTTTCAACCATAGAGCTATATTAAATTAGTAGAGCGCTAACTTCGTGTACAAAGTAATGCCTGCTGGGCGCATCCATGTTTGTGCACAAACCTATGGAGACCTAGAGATTTTGTACGGCTATTTGCATATCTGCGTTTGCATTCCATACCGGTGCATTATCTAAGCCAATACGCCCAAAACCGAAACGCACGATCAGCAAATGAGCGTGTCATTTTGCTTTACGCAAACAGTGCAACGCGTGCACGTATTCGCTGCAGATGCTTTTTGCCGTCACGTTTTTGTAACCATCAATGACGCGTTTAAGTTGTTTGCGTATCTTCTACTTGCACGTTGCATGTAGAGTACACTTTCAAAATTCAATCCATCTAATTTCATTATGTTCTACAAACACGCACATGGATTCAAAATGTCTGCGCCCAGGACAGCTTCAAAAGTGTCAGCCTGAATTTTGGGGTGATGGGTCCAATCTGTTCTGTGGTTTTGACTTACTTGATTGCTTCCATCTTCGCCACCCATCGCTGCAGTTCTGACGGGAACACTGGCCTGCTCCAAGCGAATCTCCTAGGGAAAAAAATGTTTAAAAAAATTCTGAGATCCAGACTTTCTTGCAGGGAGTGCATGTACTTTCTTTAATTCGACACAAACCGGATGAATTTTGTAAGATTGGTAATATAACTCACAACATAGGGTTGGTTCGACACAGATTTATCAACCTTAACATGCCCATTTCGCATTGGTTTAACTGATGAAATCAACAGACGAATGCCCACAACCCCACATTCACTGCTCTAGCAGCTTAATTTGCATTGGCAATTGGTGAACACTTACATCAGTACGTAGGGGTAGTCATGGGAGACCACAACTGCATGCCTCTACTTCTCAACTTTTTAAATGTAAAACCCTGGTGAAGGGCAAAACCGAATATTGAATTTACATCACCCCGACGCAAATTCCATCTTATGAATAGTTTGATTGCGGTACCCGCTGCTGCAAGTACATCAGATTCGAACCAGCCAGCCGACCCAGGCCAGCTTGGTGGTCGAGTGGTAAGACGTCTGCACTAGTAAGCAGGAGGTCGTGGGTTTGAGTCCCACACGAGTAGTTTTTTTAATTTTTTCTCACAATCACTCAACAATGAGTTGCAACAATGACTAATAACATTGTTTATATAATAGTATACGTTGGTGAAGGGCAAAACCCAATGTTGACTTTACATCGCCCCGACGCAAATTCCATCTGATGAATACCTTAATGATGTTGTCTTTGACTTTGCCCGCATGTACCAACGCATCGATGTGGTCTTGTTTTGCTTGCACTTCACTCTCTAGCTCAATGATCTGACGACGCAGCTTACCCTGTGTACACAAATCACAAAACCGCTTACTACATACATGTACATGTATTGTTGATGTACCCTAACATGGCGCGGCCCCCAACGTGGCGCACTTTGATTTTTCGTCTGTAGCGCCTACCTAGAGCAAAAGTTTTAACTGAAATTTCACAGAAAGTCAAATTTCATCAAGTTCTAAACACTCCTGTTCATAAATCGCAAGTTCATTTACCCGTAACAAAGTTAGAAGAAAAATTTATTTTGGCGTGATTTTCCTATTTTATTTTCAAGTGCAAAGTGAACCCTTTGAAAATGCCCCGAAAAATAAGAAAATAATTTTCTGACAAACATCTGGCTGGGTATGTAAGTAGGGATAATAATTAGTTATCAGAATTTATCAAGTTTACAGAAATTCTTAAATGTTAATTTGGAATTTTCCGAGATTTATTCAAGTGTGCCACGTTAGGGAACACTCCTCTAATTTGTGCCCAATTTCCGGACGCCACCGTTTTTGAATTTCGGATTAAATTTTACGAAAAATGAAATTGTTCACGGAGGTTAAATAGCAAGCATTAATAAGGTAAAAGTACTAGTATTTTACTGCATGAATTTGAGGTTTGTCAACGAAGAGGTTTGGCAACACTACACGAGGAAAGTCGGGTAAGCTTCGAAGTGCGCCATGTTATGGAACACGACTATACATGTACGCTTCGTGTAAAGTAAGTAAAGTCTGTCTCCAATCCATAGAACTCTTCAGACTTATCTCAGATTTCCTTGGCATGGAACGACTGAGAATATTTCTGTCCCCCTGGATGGGATGCTAGTCCATTCCAGGTTACTCCCCAGCTAACGCCAGAACCTGTTTATACTCCTCAATGGAGAGAGGCAAGCTGGGTAAAGCGGCTTGCCCAAGGACACAACATAAAGCCAGTGACTGGATTTGAAATCCTGACCCTCTGATCACGAGTCACAAATCTTAAAATACCACACTCCCCCTCGCTGCACTCTGCGTGGCATCTTGCTGCAATAAAAACCAGGGAATATGTGAGGTGCTCTGGTAAAATGAGACAGAACTGGGCGCAGGCCGTAGCGGAGAACACTGCAAAAACTGAAGGGGTGATTTTTTTTTTTTGATTTTTCAGTTTTTCATATTTGTTAATCTTTGATATGTCTGCTACACATGTTAAAGATATAGTACATAATATGTGGAACGACAGTCTTTCATTTTCCTGAATACAAAATTTGAAACTATAATTGGCCCTTTTCTCAGTATTTTACTTTTTTGGCAAGTTGATAAATGCCAACTTTATTACATCCATAACTTGTCAACAGAATGTCCGATTATAGGAGAGAATTTGATTCTCTTTCCTAATACCCGCAAACTCTCATTTCGACTTCTGCCCAGCTCCGACTCATTTTGCCAGAGCGCCTCGCATGTCACAGACACCAATGCACTGAGAAATCACTCAGGTTTCTACAGGCAGTGCAAATTGTAGGTTAACAGTGTAAACTAGATATTCTATACACAAAAAGGGTTCTTAAAATACCCTTATGCCTGTACTACAAGAACCCGTATGACATGCGATTGACCTATCGCATTAGAATCGCGTTAGAATTACATGATATACAAATGGACGCGGAACGCGCAAAATCTGACACAAACAAAAATGAGTGTACATGTACAAAAACTCCATAGAGTTGTCTAAGGAGCATGGCTAATTCGCAATTGAGCATAACGCCACCTCAATGATGACTTCAAATGTAATTCACATTTAGTATCTTATCACTTCAGACCTTTTTTCTGCTGGAAACTCAATACAGCACCATTGCTTTCATACAGTTCAAGCACAAGTATAAAACACAAATATATCATTGGATTTTAACACACAGCAATCTAATGCCTTACCATTTCTTGCTTGTTTTGTTTCTCTGCTTGTTGCTCTCTCTGCAGAGAGTCAATTGTGTTTCTGAAATGAAATCAAAGGGGCATCCATACATTAGAAAACATTCCTTACTGCACAGGAGTTCTCATATTGTTGTTTATCATCACGTCAGTATTTTCAGGCATGCAACTGGGAATTTAGAAACAACAAGGAAATCCCAAACCACACAAGACTTTAAGTACAGTGTTTTTCAATTTGTAATGGCATTAAAAATGTAAACAAACGAGGAATCGGCAGATCCGAGGAAAAGTTGCATGCCTGTATTTTGTGGAGATTTAACGTTTGCTATGCAAACAGATATTGGATGGATCAGAGGTTTCGCTAGGGAACGGATACGGTTTACGCACCGGATAGGCCATGGATTTGTGTGGGCTTGTGACATCACAGCAACCCGCTACCTGCTATAAGGGTACACAGCACACTAGATGTCATTGCAAAATGCATAGTAAATTAACTCAATTTTCAACCTCTTTTCTGATAAGTTTAACTTAGACAAATGTCACATACATGTACGCTAGTAATTCATCCTGTTTTAATCAAGTAGTACATGATTATATAATATATAATTATGTACTACTTGATTAAAACAGGATGAATTACTAGCGTACATGTATGTGACATTTGTCTGAGTTTCAAAACAGGATTAGCTGGAGATGTGAGGCTTTCATCGGACGTTGCCTTTTTGGATTACTGCTTCTATTGGTAACGGTTCTGATAACTAGGTATATGCGTATATATTGTTGATGTACCATAACGTGGCGCGGCCCCCAACCTGGCGCACTTTGAGTTTTCGCCTGTAGCGCCTACCTACAGCAAAAGTTGTAACTGAAATTTCACAGAAAGTCAAATTTCATCAAGTTCTAAACACTCCTGTTCATAAATCGCGAGTTTATTTACCTGTAACAAAGTTAGAAGAAAAATTTATTTTGGCGTGATTTTCCGATTTTATTTTCAAGTGCAAAGTGAACCCTTTGAAAATGCCCTGAAAAACAAGAAAATAATTTTCTGACAAACATCTGGCTGGGTATGTAAGTAGAGATAATAATTATTTATCAGAATTTATCAAGTTTACAGAAATTCTTAAATGTTAATTTGGTATTTTCCGAGATTTATTCAAGTGCGCCACGTTAGGGAACACCCCGTCAATTTGTGCCCAATTTCCGGACGCCACCGTTTTTGAATTTCGGATTAAATTTCATGAGACCGAAATTGCTCACAGAGTTAAATAGCAAGCATTAATAAGGTAAAAGTACTAGTATTTTACTGCATGAATTTGAGGTTTGTCAACAAAGAGGTTTGGCAACACTACACGAGGAAAGTCGGGTAAGCTTCGAAGTGCGCCACGTTAGGGAACACGACTATCTATACAAGATTCGAAACAATGGAAAACAGTTAGGGATAGCTAAAGGTAGCCGTATGGATGCAGAACCTCCCCAATATTGCTTTTCAGTCACACACGCTCTCATATTGTCTCAAAACCTAAATCTTACTTGGCTTTTGCCAGGAGTTTGTTCTTGTTGTCCAGCTCTGTTCTGAGTGAATCCATAAATCCTGCATCGGGCTGGTCACTCTGCAACTCACGCAAAGCAGCTACCAAAAAAAATAAAGGAAATAAAAAATTTACTTCACTTACTTCTTACAACTTGAAATATCTTTGAGGAAGAAATCCGAAGCTTCAGTCAATTTTTGTCATGTAATTAAATTCCTCAAACGTCACGTTTATAATTGCTTCTTCACACTATTATCCCACTCCTACATACATTTACTGTCAAACTCATAAAAAGTGAAGAGGTTGACTAACATCCAGCGATTTCGAGAGATGTAAATTCAATATTGGGTTTTAACCTTCACCGACGTATTTTTCAAATAGTATGGTTGCGGTACGCACTGCTTTTACCAGATTCAAACCAGCCAGCCGACCCCGACAAAATCGGTGGTTGAGTGGTAAGAACATCTGTACTAGTAAGCAAGAGGTCGTGGGTTCGAGTCCCATCTGAGTAACTTGTGAATGAATTTTTTTTTCCGCAAGCCCTCCGACACACTGAGTATGCGATGTTAATAAAAAAATACATCTGTGGAAAGCAAAACCCAAATTGAATTTAGCACCTACAAGTACATACTTTACGTTCACATCACAGGGAAATCTTGGGTGCAGAATTTAAGAGTAAAGGGAACATGTAAATGCAATTGGATATTTCTGCCGGGTTCGACAATAAGCAGTAACCCGCTAGCCAAATGCTAGTCAAAACAGCGGCGGGCTAGTAGAACTATTCCTTAAGTAGCCCTGCTGGCGAGTCAAAAATTATTGGGCTGCAGCAAAGATGAAAGGACAGTAAGAAATAAATCATTACATTTAGAAAGCAAACCTGTATCGATTTGTGTCTACTTGTATTCACTGTTTAGGGTTAAATTAAAAACACCGACAGGATTGCCTCAGGATACACTTTTTACATGTACGCACATTGTTGTTCATGAGACACTCTAGAAACGAAAAACATGCTGACTAGTAAAAATGCCTGCGGCCTTACAAGAGTCTGTTTCAGTAGCCCGGCTGGCTAGTGAATAAAAAAGTTAAAGTCGAACCCTGATTTCTGTACCTTCTTTTTCGCGCAAAGTCTTCTTGAAATCGTTATTCTTGTCTCTGAGGTTGGCTAGTTCGGCCATCATGGTAGGGCTGGGACTCTGTCTGGATGCTGACTGCTGGACCTCCTGGAACAAACGGTCTTTCTCACGACCACTCTCAATCAATTTCTGCAACAACAACACAAAGAATACCAAAAAAAAAAACCCCATTAGATATGTGGACAACAGCTTCTTGAAATACAGCATGTTCTCTGGTCTGAGTGCCAAAGTTCCAATGCCTGGATTTGATTCATCATGTTGATAGCGCCCTCTACTGCTGCAGTGTCTTGACCTTTGACCTTGCTTAACAAGAATCAGGACTGGCTGCAATAGGGGAACACAATCTACATCCAGTCTTGAAACAAGACTACTACTACAACAAAAACCTGAATACCCAAATGTTACATTCAGCAATGCCAATGTAGCATTTGTGACAGACTTTTTAAGAGCTCGGTGAATAAACCTCAAAATGTATTTATAAAATCTTATACATACATCATCTAGTATTGGTCAAGGAGATAACAGACCGAGGGCCAATTTCATAGAGCTGCTTAAGCACAAAATTTGCATAAGCACAAAAACGTCTTGCTTAATAAATATCAGGTTACCGGCCAAAACACCATGCAATTGTTATGCTAAGTAAACAACAGCTAAATACCAGTCACAAGCAATGTACATCACATGGAGTTTTGGCCGGTAACCTAATTTTACTAAGCAATGTTTCTCTGTGCTTAAGCAAATTTTCTGCTTAAGCAGCTCTATGAAATTGGGCCCAGCTGCAGCTGCAGGCTGGAGTTAATGGGAGACTTTTGAGACATTGGTGGCAGCAAACACACCCCTCCTTTTTGAACTGTTTATGTCATGTTTAAGCTAAAGCGCGCATGCTCAATATGACGCAAACAATGGAAAAAGGACCGGTGTGTTTGCTGCAACCAACGTCCTAAAGTCTCCCATATTGGCTCTGTCACGGACATTACACTTCTTCAAGTAATGCTGGAATTGCCCCTTTATTGGCCATAGCTCCCCTAATCTTTTTGAATATCTGCTATGGGCTCCGTGCACAAGTACCCCCTCAACAGTAAGGAAGGGAGAGTTGGGGAGAACGCATTGCCGATTGCATAGCCTGATGCTCATGCGAAGACGCTATGGATTTTGGGGGACTTGGTCCTGCAGGCCTGGTTTGACTAAATATTGATGGAGTACGATGGACTCGGGCCTGGAGGCCTAAAGCAAAGCATGCATTGGAAGCAGTGTGATTGATGGATTTTGGCGGACTTGGTGCAGTACTTAGTAAAAGACAGTAGGGAGTTAGGGATAATGAATGTCAGGTTAGTTTATATTACTACACTGAATAACCAGATAGTTTTATCTTTATCAGCCATAGTTGCCTTCATTTTATTAAATATCTGCTATAACGAATATCAGGGCAGTTTATATTACTACAATGAATACCTGGATAGTATGACATGTATCTATATTGGCTATACATGTAGTTGCCCTCACCTTATTGAATATCTGCTATAATGAATATCAGGAAAGTTTATATTACTACAATGAATACCTGGATAGTTTTATCTAAGTTATCAGCCATAGATGCCTCATCTAATTGAATATCTGCTATAACGAATATCAGGACAGTTTATATTACTACAATGAATACCTGGATAGTATGACATGTATCTATATTGGCTATACATGTAGTTGCCCTCACCTTATTGAATATCTGCTATAATGAATATCAGGATAGTTTATATTACTATAATGAATACCTGGATAGTTTTATCTAAGTTATCAGCCATAGCTGCCTCATCTAATTGAATATCTGCTATAATGAATATCAGGATAGTTTATATTACTACAATGAATACCTGGATAGTTTTATCTTTATCGGCCATAGCTGCCTCATCTAATTGAATATCTGCTATAATGAATATCAGGATAGTTTATATTACTATAATGAATACCTGGATAGTTTTATCTAAGTTATCAGCCATAGCTGCCTCATCTAATTGAATATCTGCTATAATGAATATCAGGATAGTTTATATTACTACAATGAATACCTGGATATAGTTTTATCTTTATTGGCCACAGCTGCCCTCATCTTATTGAATATCTGCTACAATGAATATCAGGACAGTTTATATTACTACAATGAATACCTGGATAGTTTTATCTTTATCGGCCATAGCTGCCTCATCTTATTGAATATCTGCTATAACGAATATCAGGATAGTTTATATTACTACAATGAATCCTGGATAGTTTTATCTTTATCCGCCATAGCTGCCTCATCTTATTGAATATCTGCTATAACGAATATCAGGATAGTTTATATTACTACAATGAATACCTGGATAGTTTTATCTTTATCGGCCATAGCTGCCCTCATCTTACTGAGTAGCATGGCTTGTTCCTGTTCAGCTCGGCACAAAGTGTCTTCTGCAGCCTACAGAAGAAAAAAACAAACAAGATCACTAAAGATTTCATTTCGGCCCAACTGGAAAAAGTGTGTTTTTAACTTTTCATGAAATTATGACAAATGCAAATGACCCTATTACCTTTACAAATATTGGCATCCTGACTAACCTGCACGCTGTATTCCTTGTCGTTCAGTTCCTTCTGTAGTTCCTTGATGACGTTGTTCTTGTTGGCAGTCAGTCGGTTCTGCCTCTCATGAAGCTCCTGATAAAAATAAAAACACAAACGCTGCCAAACATGAAAGAGTTCCACATTGGTACAAGCCAGCCAAACTGGTTAGTACATGTATGTGACATAGCCTATGTCCCTGGGACAACACTTGAGGATTTAAAGGCATATACATGTAGGATCATTTGCTTTTCGTGCATTTTGTTCTTTTGCGGTTACATGTATACCACTCAAAATCCAAAGAAGAATGTTCAAAACCCAACCTGTTGAAGTTTCAGCTCAGTGGATATTACGCTTTGGTGCAAACAGTGAAAACTATGCACAACCTTTTGATCACAAAACACAATTTCATCCATACCAATCTTTATTTCAAAAAAATCAGTCCATTGACTGGTTGTTTGAAATCACCCATATTTCTTGATTTCTTCTAAATGACAGCAAGCCAGACGAAATAACTTCACGGGGTGTTTAGTACCAGTACGGTCTTTAATCTAAATAGACTTTTTGATAATAATTTGTATGTTACTTTTGAAATAACATGCAAATGATCGTACATGTACATGTACAATGTACCTTTAAAGCCAAAAAATGTGCCTATACAGGGTTCGACCATAATTTTTTTTTTCACTGGCCAGCGGGGCTACTGAAACTGACTCTTAACTAGCCTACGGGCATTTTCACTAGCCCGCATGCTTTTCATTTATAGAGTGTCTCATAAACAACAATATGCATACATGTAAAACATGTATTTTGAGGCAATCTTGTCAGTGTATTTAATAAACAGATCTAATAATTTAACCCTAAACAGTTAAAACAATTAGACACAAATGGATACAAGTTTGCTTTCTGAATTTTATGATATATTTCTTCCTGTCCTTTCATCTTTACCGTAGCCAAAAAGTTGTTGACTTGCAAGCCGGGCTACTGAAAAAGTAGTTTGACTAGCCCGCCACTGGTTTGACTGGCATTTGGCTAGCAGGCTACCACTAAAGTCGAAACCTGTTATACACAATTAAACTAAACATTGTCATGACAGTGTAAGTGCAAAGCATGGTATATTTGAGGGCTTTTTCTCCCGAATTCCGAAAAGTAACATATCAACAGCATGTTTCTACACATGCTGGAGTAACGTAGATGAGTAGAAACATATACTGTACCCTTGCATTGTACTCTCTGTCACACACACTGTTGGCATGCACCACTAGTCTGCTCTTCTTCTCAATGATAAAAGGGTTACATGACGACCTAATGTTCTTTTTGAAAAATCAGATACGCTACTCACAGAAACCAGTACCCCGCAGCAGAGATTGTTCTGCAGCTTTTTTTTCCCCGGGATTTTTATTGCGACGACTCCTTACCTTGATTTGGTTGTCTTTATCCTTGATGGTGTCCAGCAGATCCTGGGCTGCTTTCTCATTGGCTACGGCTGCCTGAGATCTCTCAGCTAAGACTTCCTGCAAATCAACAAAATGGAGTTTGATGCAGTTGGTAAGGTTGGGGTTAAGAGACAAAAGCTGAAGTTGTTGAAGACCACAGGAAACCACCTTTAACCAGTTCGCCTCGGAGGACGTGATAACACGCACTGGCTGTTTTTATAGACAGACACGGCTGACGGGTTAAGACGTCTTGACTCGCCTCCGGGTGACATCTAAACACGCTAATCCCGCGTGCCTTTTGTACACACCCACAAAGTCCGTGAAGTCTGTGGAGGCAGACCATGTGTTGATCTTTAATTGGCTGATGTGCACTGCCTATTGTTGTACAATTTACATTCTGATACACACCCCGGAGTATTGAAACATTGGAGGTTTCGGCAAGAACTATCGTACAAATACTGTTGAAATGACTCTTGTGAACAGGTATGCAACTGTGAATTTAGGAAAAAAACGAGGAAATTCAAAACCACACAAGACTTTGTACAGTGTTTTTTTCAATTGTAATGGCATTCATGAGAAGTAAAAAAAAAACCAAGGAAATCAGCGGATCCAAGGAAAAGTCACATGCCTGTGTGAGTCAGTATTTGTGGCGTTTGGCTGTATATCAGAAGTTGGCTGAAAAATGTTTCCTTTTGCAAAAATCGAAATTCTCGGCAAAAATAATCCCAGCGCGAAGTGGTTAATCTACCTAATTTAGCTCAGCTCAATTGTCATATTACTACATACCTCCAACAACTTATCTTTGTCCTGCAGTCTCGTCTTGAGTTGCTCGATGATCTCGTCTAGCTCCCTGGCTGCGTCGCCACTCTCCCGTTGCTTAGCAACCTGCATCTCATTGAGCATGTTCTCGTTTGTCTCCAGGGACTGACGTAGCTTCTGGACGATGCTGTCTCTCTCCGAGAGGGCACGGCGTTGATTGTCATCAGCATCCTGAGCAAATTTCAACAGACATGAATTTAACCAAGTGATTAAAGGGTTGTTGCTGTTCTCTAACCCTAACCTTCCAATTCCTCCAAAATCCTCTTTGCATAATGGAGGAATTTGAAGGATCAAGGCCCTTTGAAAATCGAAGCACTGGAGGATTTTGTAGGATTGAGGGCGTAACAGGATTTGCCTCTGGAGGATAATGGAGGATCCAGGTTAGCAGGCCCCAATTGAGGCTGTATGAAATTGGAGGATTGAGGCTCTGACTGGTTTTACCAAAAAATGATTTTGGAGGATGCAGGCTGTTACTTGCTTTTTTGCATATACTTGTGCAGGCATCCAGCATATACCACTGTTTATTGTGCGGCCTCTTTACTCCAACACGTTTGGTTTAGCTGTAGACCATAGGATTCGTGATCGCGAGATTGGCAGTTCGAGCCCCGCCGTGGCCATGTTTGTTGTGCCCTTGAGTAAGGCGCTTTACCTCAATTACTCTTCTCAACCCAGGTGTTAAATGGGTACCAGCATTATTCAATGCTGGAAAGGTAACAGACTTGCTGTGGAGGAGGAGGTGTGGCGATCCCCCACAGCAGCATATGAGTCTGGCCCAATCGCTATGAAAGAGAGATGGGCACTCCGTTCCTGTGAACACAGGTTCGCCCCCTTTACCTTTACTCCAACTATTTAGGTCCTTGGCATTGCCAATCCACAATACAGGATAACAATGGAGGATTTCAATAAGTTACACAGGCTAATGAACTCATAAGAGCGTTGAAATCTGATGATGTGATAACATGCCAGCAAACCCAGTGGAACATTTTGAAGGATCCAGGCAGAGGCCTCCAGCAACAATCAGTGGATGATTTTGAAGGATTCAGGTGCTTAGAGTTTTTAACTGATTGCCATTGGAGGATATTGGAGGATTTAGGCTGCTTCTGGACAAGAACGCTTTAGGGTTAAAGGCCCCAAGGATCATGAACTACAAAATATTATTCTTAGACCTCACTTGTTTGTTGTGTCTGGCTCGCAGTCATTTTGAAAAAAAAAACGACCAAAAAGATGGTCATTTCCAAAGATTTGTAAACTTTAGAAATTCACAAGTTTTGTTTAGACTTGATCCCAGTCCCTCCATTATTACTCTTATTCTTGCCTTGCCTGTTCTTATTCCTTACCTTGTGTGCCTGCTTGTCTGCTTCTATAGCTTCTTCTAGTTGTCTGGTCTTTGCTTCTTTCTCTTTCAAATTGCTCTGTAATTGCTGCAAATAAAAATAAATAATAAATAAATCACAGAATTTTAAACCAAACCAGCTCATCCGTAGACAAATCTAGCAAACTGTATATTGTAATCTGCCCACTGGCCCAGTAACTTCAAGTTTTTATCACCTTCTACAGCTGATGAGCTGATAGGCCATTGCACACTGATGTACCCAATAATATAGACGAAGTAGACAACACACATAGGAATCGGCCAACAGTACTCTTGAAACTGTGTGACGAACTTGAGTCAGATAGCACCAAACTTCGTATTCACGTTCACGAGAACAATGCATACAACCCACGCCGCATGCATTTGAACACAGACCTTCGCATGCTACATTGGTAGCTATGCCTCAAGTAATTTTTCAGAGAGAGGCTTCTGTTATAGTCTTTTTCGACATGCATGGCCCAAAGCAGTTAATAAATAGCTAAGGCCAAAAAAAAAAGTCTTCGGTTTCTGGTATGCGCGCGCGTCGCCATAGCCATGCGCGTCGGCAAAATGAAAAAGTTTTTTCTTTCAATGAAAGATGATGTCTTAAAACCGCCAAACTCACTGGTTTGACTGGAATCCTGCTGCTGCACAATTTTAACGTGTTTTTAGATGGGGTTATGATCGAAAATAAGCTTTATGTGGCCTCTCTGGACTCCCATATATTTTCACCAAGTTTAATCGGGCACCATTTGCAGTCATCAGCTGACATTTGAAGCAAAAAAGTCAGGTAAAAAAAAAAAAGCCGCGTCGCCGCACCACTTTTTGGGCAAGCTCCATACCAGAAACCGGAGACCTTTTTTTTTTTGGCCTAATACAATGTGACACACTTTCGGCCAATAAAGAGACAGAATCCATATTAAAGCGAGGTGTTATAATGTCCGCTGAAACTCAGTGGGTCACCCATTAATGTTCTGATCCAGATCCTCACATTGATTTTGTCTTGGTTGGCCAGGTTGTCACTGTGAGCCTTCTCCAGTTCCCTGTCTCTGTCTCTCAGGGATGCTCTCAACTGACGCACCTCACCTTCCTTAGCTGCTTCTGCCTGTAACTTCTCCTCAAGGGCTTCCTACAGGCCAGGTCAAAGATAATAGTAATTTTATAACACCCAAGTAAATCCTTGTCATTTGATTGGAGGATTGTAGGCCACCCAGCATTCATTAATCAAACATTACACGGCCTACGTCATAACCGTGCACTTTTGGTTCCATTCATTGTGCATTTTCGTTTCATCCCTTTTGATTTATTGCACGCCGCGCGCATGCTTAGACGTGTTCCCTGAATGCGAGTGGGCCAACGGATTAATCTTCAAGCAAACTTGACTCATAGTAAAGTTGGAACAAGGACACTGTTCACAAACTTTGCAGCAATTATCTGCGCATGCAGCAGGAATGGTGCACACACTTTTGAATGGCGTGATATGCTGGCGTGCGGTATGGACCGTGGTATGCATAAATAATACATAAATGTGACCTGTTCTGTCAAAAGCAGACGCTTCTGGGCAGAGGTTGAAATTAAGATAGGGCCAAAAAACGCTGTGGGGGTAATTTTTTTTCGATTTTCTAATTTTTGCACATTTGTAATCCTGAACATGTCTAAAATATACTATAAAAGTTTGAAACCCTAATTTGAACTCTAAATATAGTATTTTTTGATGATTTGTTGGGGTATATCAGCTAAAGAAATGTCTGTTTTGTGACGTTCGTGGCCATTTTCTCCGTATCTACTTTTTGACACAATGAACTTCAAAATAGCATAACTTTGCCCAGGAATTACTGGTTTCAATAATTAAACCACCTAATAAAAGGAAAATGTACATATTTTAACAATATGCAAAAATCTCATTTTCGACCTTATGCCCAGAAAAGTCTGATTTTGACAGAACAGGTCACAAATATGAACGATGAACAAAAATAAGGCAGGGTGCAGCCTACATCCTTGACACAATGCATCCTCCAAAATCAAATGACTTTCATTTGCCATTCAGCCTCAATCCTCCAAAATCTGTTAAAACGGCCTGTTTTTTGGAGGGAATAGGTTATAACCGGAGACAAAGCCAACATCAGAAACATAGCTGAGCTTATAGACTGGAGAGTTAACCTTATGTACATGTTTATGAGGACTGGTAATGCTGTCAGCGCGTCTAAAATTGTGTGCATGTAAATGACTTGACCCCACACCAGAGGTCAAAAGGACAAACTCCACCATGGCTGTTTTCAGTCTCTATATCCTAGTGTGAGAGGCATCAATGTGTTGATTAAACAGCACACACACATTTCCACTAAAGGGCTTTCACAAAATGTTCCAAAGGCTGCAGTATTAACTTCATGCCAAAATTGAATAGAATCAATACTGAATGTGGATTCAGGATCCAAGCAAATGTCATTGGGTACATGAGGGCGATTCATAGAGCTACGGTATATTAAATTAATAAAGCGCTAACTCCTCATTCTTGCTCGCAGAGATGCTTTGAAGCCATCGTGGGCGCAGACATTTTGAATTCATGTGCATGTCTGTAGAACATAATGAAATGAGATGGATTGAATTTTGAAAGTGTATTCTAAATGCAACGAGCAAGTAGAACGTACGCAAACAACTTAAGCGCGTCATTACTGTTTTAAGAAAACGTGACGGTTAATCCAACGGATTCGCACACACAATGCACTGTTTGCGTAGAGGAAAATGAAATGCTTATTTACTGATCGTGCGTCACGGTTTTGGGCATATCGGTTTCGATATAGTGTGGGCTATATGTGGATGAACGCCGGCCAGACAGGCAAGTATTTTTACTGCTAACAGGGGGCGACTACGGCAAGCTCAGAAAATGGTAGACGGTTTTGAATTTGTAATTGAGCGGGCGGTGCATAAGTGTTAAACCTTTGGTGTGCCAGACCCCAGCGTACACAGACCTAATACAAGTAGATATTGCTTTGCAAACTGCTGAAACATCGATGTGAGGAGATTGAGAAATCAACTCTTGGCTTATGTTTCAGTAGTAAGACCTATTCATTCTTTGATTGGGATTAATTTTACAAAGACTTTATCCATAAATTTTAACTATCTTCCCAAGTAAGGAGTTAACGTATTGGCCAATACATTGACTCCTTATTTTCAATACATCCACTGGAAAAGCCACGATACAAACCACACACTAGAGCAAGGACCCAGCACTACGTGTACTAACAAGTCTAGGTGATATGGGCAATTCCACGGTTACTCACGTTAAATTTTTGATGTGCTTTTGAGTTTCCTTGGGCTGTAATTACCTTACTGAAAAGGTTTCATAACTGTTATCCCCATGGTAGATAGAGTACACCTAGACCTACATGTACCTAAGCACCAAAGATGACATCCAGAAAAATGTGTTATGTATGATAAACAAGACGCACAAAATCGGTTACTTACATTACATTTTCGTAACATGAGTAACCGAGTTTGTGCGTCTTGTTTATCATACATAACACATTTTTCTGGATGTCATCTTTGGTGCTTAGGTAGGTCTAGGTCTACTCTATCAACCATGGGGATAACAGTTATTAAACCTTTTCAGTATTAATTACAGCCCAAGGAAACTCAAAAGTACGGTACATCAAAAATGTAACGTGAGTAACCGTGGAATTGCCCATATACAGAAACATTATGCACAACCCATGCTCTATTATTCATGGTGGTGCGCGTGCCCGAATCACCAAGACTGGATTTGGTTCGCCTCGTCGATAGCGCCCTCTACCGTTGATGTCGTTCGGCTGCATAGCGCGCTAGGCAGCCTGTACGTAAACAAACATTGTAACACGTTGCAACTCGCGACGCGTCGTATCTTCCATTTCACGAAAGTTGCGATGTGTTGAACGCGTCGTAAGTTCCTTGACAACGGCTTAAAACACGTCGCAAGTTACGACATGTCTAGTGGTCATCGCAAAATAAGAGGAGTCATTTCTAAGCCAGTTTTATGCCATAAACATTACATTAACGAGATTATAATACCGAGGCAATGTGTGTAAAGTTGTAAATAGAAAATTCATTGAATAATTATGAATTAGAACGGAATATTAAAGTTGAAATTTCAAAGTAGCTGTACAGTCCAATGAGAGCTAGTTTTCCTTCAAAATTGCATCGCACGGCCGCCATTTTGTTTTACGTTTTAACCAATTTCGAGCTGAGATCCAACGACTCTTTGTTGAATATCAGACGACTATTTACCCGGTTTGAGGACGATCAACTCAAGAAAACACACTTAACACATTTTGCACTTTACAGTATAGCAGTGATACATCTGTATTCAATGCTGCTGGAGTTATATAAAACTAGTGTGCTAAGATGACCTACCTCCACAGCTTTATCCCGTTGATTGAGTCGCTCCCGTAACGTTTGTATCAACGTACTATTACCGCCATTATCATCCTAAATTTATGAAAAGACCAACTATTCAGCTAGCAAATGAAATCATGTAATACCTTATCAATCTGAAACAGTAAGGAAATCATCTGTTTTATCATGAAATCTGTTCGTAGAAAAAAAATAGGCTCTCAAAAAAAAAAAATGTGCAGTTTTTATGCACACGATATTGGTATACCAATACACTTTCCTATGGAGAGCCTGTTGCAGCAATACAGTTCCAAAAAGAAAATCAAGTCCAACTCTAAATCTGTAGCTTATTTTCACTGTTATCATTGGAATACATGGCTCTCCGTACCACAGTACAACAGTACTGTGAATATTGTTTTCCTCACAACATTTTACTGTATGTTTTTTAACAAACCACAAAGGGAAAGTGAATAAGGACATTGTAATGATTTGTTTATCAAGTTGAACAAAGAAATTGACTGGAGCGGGGATATGAACCTGCGACCTCAAGATTACCATTCTGGTGCTCTACCAACTGGGCTGTCCAGCTTTATATAACACCGAAGTAAATCCTTGTCATTTGACTGGAGGATTGTAGGTCAAGCGGCATTCATGATTAAATCGAACCATTGCACGGCCTACGTCATAACCATGCATTTATGGTTCCATTCACCGTGCATTTGTATCCCATTCCTTTTGATTTATTGCATGCCGCGGGCAGACTTACACCCAGCAGCCTGGCGCTATATGATCTTTGCGCTATTTAGACCTCATTTTGCACAATAGCAGTACAAAACTTGCCTTTGCAGTTGATACAGTCGCCTTGCTGAGTTTCTGCATCGGTTTAAGAACCTACAACGTTAGTTTTCATTATTGTCAATGATTTGACTTTTAAACCTTTGTTAGCCTGGAATAAGCTGAAGAAAAGTAGTGGATAAGATACAATTTTTGTGAGTTTTGTTTGTTCTTAAAGTTTTATCCTACAATCGAATGACAAAGATCTACTTGGATACAAACAATGAATGTTTTGCCTTCGTGCAATGGTGAGAATATTTTCATTCGTTGAAAGATGGAATGTTCCATTCAATCGTTCAATTCATGAAAATGTTCACACCATTGCACTCATAAACATTCATTATTTGTATACTAACTACCAACATAGGGCTGGATAGCTCAATAGGTAGAGCACCAGAACGGCAATCTAGAGATCGCAGCTTCAAACCTGCTGCAGTTGTTTTCTATGTTCAACTTTATAAGACAAAGTATAAGCGGCACAGTGCCTGACTCATAATGTGAAATGGATCTAAAGATGCACAGTTCATAAATTGTTGGCGCATACATGGTGAAAGGAAATAAAATAGTAGCAGAATACAAGTTGTGTTTAAGTGATGTTGTCTTGTGTTTGGTGATAATATTTAGCTGGTTTAGGGCCCGTGACCATTCAGCCCCGGTATGAAAAGGGCTCCCCGGTAAGCTCGTACCCTCCCAAGAAGTCCTCTCGTACCGTCCCAGCTACCGGCCCAGGAGCTGGTCCGGTTGCTAATCAGGAACTCCTCTATCCTTGGGTCTATTGTTTGCAAGTATTGACACATGTAATATATCCCAGAAGAAACCCGCTTGTGGTTTTCGTCTCTCAGCGCGAAACAATAGAACACTTTCGTCGGCACAGATCAAAACCCCTGCCATGCGGATTCGCGCACAATGGGACCGTAAATTACCAAGGCGTTATGGAAGGATTTTATCTTTAATCCGGTAAGTCTGCTATTGTTTTGCTCTGGACGTTCTCTGAAGGGCAATAAATTGATGCGCCTGACTGACTTCAAAACTTCTGGTCAGACAGGACCATGTACCGGACGAGACTGGGCTGAAGACCGGACTGGCTTTGGACCGAACGAGGTACGGGGGGGACCTTTTCATACCAGGGCTGAATGGTCACGGTCCCTTAGGTATGATATTTTCAGAAAGGTGAGGGAGGGACAGTTGAGTAGGGTAGTGGTGGACTGAAAGTGCAAAGGACGATCAGTAAGAGTGCATGGGAAGAAATATGTTACATTGGAGCTATAAGGCCGCTCTGCGTGCGTTAGTAGTAATAAGGTATATATTTCTGAGTGAACATTCATGTTCTAGAAAATTATTTCTTCAGAACTCTTTCAACCAACGGCGCAACAGCTTTTAAGTTTTTGTTTGATAACAATGCAATATTAACGTATTTGTTCTTCTTGGATTGTTAAGCTCTGGCAGGAGCTTCTACATGACACTTGGTGGTTGGTTTGTCCCCGGAAAATTGACCAAAAATGAGCCCCCTAAGTTTCCCATAAAATATAAACTTTTGTCAATGGAGGCAAAATATGTGCAGTAATGTTATAGTCACGTGGTATACAGCGCCCTATATACCGCGCTATACACGCTATATTTTATGGAAAACTTGGGGGGCATATTTTGGTAAATTTGGAAAAACTAGCGCGGCGTGATTTTCGCATGGGATGGCGCCTGGGCTTGTACGCACAATTTCCGATCAGCATTACGCAAGACTTTCAAGCAAGATGGCCAGAGCTTATTGTGCACTCGCACTTGTTTTTAGTTGTGACAGACTTGCATGTAAAGAATTTGGAAAGAAAACTTCAAGCACTTCAACAATTCAGACGCTGAATCTGATAGGTGAACACTGATCACACGACACACTTACATGAGTTGGTTTATTGGCATCTCGGGCAAGTTCCATATATTCCTGTCAATATGCAGACAGCAGGATTCGGTTAGCAAGATGCATACATGCAGTGTTAGGAATCAAAATCAGTTGACATTTGCCAAGTTATTCAAGTAAATGTCATAAGTTGTTAAACGGTGCAAGAAAATAATCAAGATGTAAAATGCAAAGGAATTCAGGACATTCAAAAAGCATTGGTCATTCTCAAGCAATTAAGAAAGTGGCAGTTTTTTAGGAAAGATTTCCATAAACGCAGTTCAATCAACACCCTGTGTACAAACCCTATGAGATTGGACTGAAAAATTCGAAGTGTTTTCTAAGAAAATGCTTGTATTTTCTCACTGCTCAAATTGACTTTGATGGCATGAAATTGCTATCTGGGGGCTTGTTAGTCAACACAGAGGAAAATAAGTGAACTTCGTATATGGAAATCTTTCCGTTTTTTTAACCAAAAGTTTGGGTTGGTCGTGTGGGAAACAGAGCTGTAGCCTGTTTTTTTCCCCAGTCCCCATGTAAACCTACATGTAGGCATAAGATTGCATTTGCCTTCCCATGTTAAAAGTAAAGTAAAGTCTGTCCCGAGCCAATGTGGCTCATCAGGCCGGTGTTTATCTCCGGTTTCCTTGGCATGAAACGACTGAGAATATTTCTACTCCCCCTGAATGGGATGCCAGTCCATCGCAGGTTACTCCCCAGCTAATGCTGGTACCCATTTATACTCCTGGGTGGAGAGGGGCAAGTGGGGGTGAAGTGGCTTGCCCAAGGACACAATATATGGCCAGCGGCTGGATTCGAACCCCGGACCCTCTGATCGCGAGTCACGAATCCTAACCACTAGGCCACACACTCCCCCGCCTTCCCATGTTACCTGGTCTTCATTTTGAAAATTCCCCACAAATGACAATCAAAAGCTTTCTTTTCTCAATGTGTGAGAAGTTACTAAGTAATTTGTAAAGTTGGTTACGGGTACTCGATTCCATAATCTGGAACTGGTTCCTGACAACTACTGTCGGGTATTCGGGTATCCGGTTCTGATGCACAGCCCTAACAGGGTCCATTCTGTGACTTCTTTCCAAAAGCCTCAATACCTGAACACTCATGACCATACTGGATTGTTATTGAGGGAATAAATGTGTGCTCGAGAGGTTTTAATCACTCTGTTTAAGACCGCTTAGAGTCTGGGTGCTGATAATTACCCGAGCCAGAGGCTTGTTATTAAGGGAATAAATGTGTGCTCGAGAGGTTGAGCTGTTTAAGACCGCTTAGAGTCTGGGTGCTGATAATTACCCGAGCCGGAGGCGAGTCTGGGTGCTGATAATTACCCGAGCCGGAGGCGAGGGTAATTATCAGCACCCAGACTCTAAGCGGTTTTAAACAGAGTGATTAATACCGACCGAGCACATATTTATTCCCATTCATAAATACCTTTTCGGTCAAAAAAATATATAACATTTCGGTCAAAAAATCCCGATTTTGTTCAACAAGTTCACTTCATGCTTTTTGAAACACCCCTTTAGCTAAATAATGGAGTGTTCAGCTGGCAATTAAGATGTAAACAACCCTTTTATGGAGATTGACGCACGCGTGGCACGTTCTGTGCGATGTCGCGCAGAACGCACCTGGGCTGTTGTGTTTTGAATTTAGAACTATAAAATTCTGACTCACTGGTAGTGTTTCGCATGCCTACTTAAGGACTGTGAACGTTGAACCAATAAAAACGGTAAGAGGCACTGGATTTTTAGGAGTCCACATTTTATGTGACACTGGAAAAGTGTTTAAGACCAGCTAGCCATGTCTTTATCATCCGTTTAAGACCGGCCACGTGATGGGACTCTCGACCAATAGGAATGGCTAAACTGTCTGAGGTATTTATGGATCAAGTATATAGAATATTATTTCAAATTTGATCTCTGTACTCTTGGCGAACTCAGAAAAAAACAGGCTCAACTTCAGCTCTGGTGGAATGGATAGGGAGGTTTGGGAGCAGAACTGCAAAGAGTTTGGGAGATTTTTTCCAAATGGTCCAGAGATTCATTAAAGGAAAGATTTCATTCTTAGTAGACGCTATAGCGTAGGGATCGAACAGTTAGCAATTAAAACCTGCTGAGATGTTAAAAGAAACTAAATTGGGACCAACCTTGACCAGTCTGTCTTTGTCCTGTACACCTTTGGTCAATCGCTGGATGATCTTGTCTTTATTCTGCAGCTGTTGCTGGCCATCTTCCAATAAACCCTGACAAACCAAGTGAAATGATAGACAGATTTCTCAAGAGAGTGGTTATGGTCAGCGTACTGGATAGGGTATCAGTTTGTGTGGTCTAGTGATGTCATTAGAAACTTGCTATCGTAACGCGTCTACACAGCACGGATATGTTCCAATTGCTACACAGGAGTGAAACGCAAATTAAAGGGAATATACAACATTTGCAAACATCGAAAAATAAAACTACCAAGTTTTTACGAAATACCTTACTAGGATGTTGGTAAATGACAGTCTAAAGCATCCTGTAAAATAACGGCACCTGGTGTGAAGTCATTTTCAAGAAAATGGTATTTTTGTATACATTTCCAACGGTGGTCGGCCGACCACCGTTGGAAAAACCTAACTTTTTTTCAACTACTGCTCCAACTTTACACTTTTTTCGGTCCAAATTTTGTTTGCTATTGGTTACATGTTCATGAACGGGTGCAGGCCAGCTAGACTGGTTCCCTTACCTTACAATTTTCCGGCATCTATAAATTGATCCATTTTATCTTTAGTGGAGTCAAGGAACCAGACTACTTGAACATTTTTGTTTTTCTTGGTTTTTCCAGCATTTTCGAACACAAAACTTCAAATATGTCAGTGTAACAATATTTGATGTATTATACTAACCCCTCAAATAGTTCATTTCTGAAAATTACAGCAAAAGCCAATGATGAACATTCCCTTTAAATTGTTGATTTGTTCTTCTTTACCCACCTCCCTCAGCAGACATTTTTTTCATTCAAATTATGAACAGCGCGCACCAATTAAGGAAGTGCAAGTGTACTCCCTATAGACATTTCACAGATACCGCCATCTCTGTGGTCACGTGGCTGTGACAATGAGTGAGTCATGGTCTGGAGCACTGAAATAGTGGTTTGCGGGTAATTCTGCAGGTTGTGGGTTCGAGTCCAGCCTGGGGTTGTAGTGCGTGTGCCCTTGGGCAAGACATGTGCAACCTCGTCCCCAGGGTGTCGAGCAGTACGCGCCCACCACTACCTGCTCTCTCACCCTGGTATTGGATCATTTGCATGTGCAAGATTTTTGAACACATATGCAAATGAGGAACAGTCTGGTGCCTGGATATGCGTTACACATTAGCGTTTGTTTTTGTATGCGGTGTCTGGGGTAAAAACAGAGTCAATTCGTAGCAGCGCGAGCACGGCGTGAGTTACGAAAACACAATTTTTGAAATCAAACTGTTACGATCTTATCGAGACAACATGCAGTATCATATTTCATATTAATATGAGCAAATTGGAAAGGAAATAAGTATTTTCGAGAAGGCGTGGACGAATGATCGCAAAAAACACGTACTGCACGTTGTGAATATATAGCACCAAGTACACGATAAAAATCCATTACTAGCCAATTGCGGTATCCAATCACGATACAGGAAGAAAGTTTGCTATCCAGGGTTTACTATTGGAAACGCGGTTGGAAATAAAGTAAGCACTGGGGACGAGGTTGAGACATGTGTCCCTCATTGCTTCTCCCAACCCAGGAGTACATGGGTACCTGTGAGGGCAGAGATGGTTATTGTGACTGATTTTAGCCGCTTTGCGCCGAAATGGCAGCATCAAGCTGTATACTCCCCAGGGAGCTGAATTTGCCTTTGGAATGTTTCAGTGGTCTGATGAGCAGGGTAATAATGATGTAGCGCATTGAGCACCAATGGGCCTTATTCACGAGTCGGCCATATTGGATTAAGAGCGAGGTAAAATCTTGATTTTTGGAACTTGTGTAGAGAAATGAAAGCAAGTTAATTTCTAATTAATTCCAGTCTGCTTCAATGAATAATTTAGAATTTGTAAGTAAACATTCCCTAATGTTTAAAGCCAGATTTAAAAAAAAACAGTAAGTAAGGCTGCATTGTGCCTGCATAAATAGTCTGGCGCCATCCCATTCAACAGTTAACAATTAATGAAATACATTAAGGGAACTCGACAAAAATGGCCAACCCGTGAATAAATAGTCTGGTACCATCCCATGCAACAGTTAACAATTAATGAAAAACATTCAGGGAACTCGACAAATTGGCATTAGTTAAAGGGAAAATACAACATTTGCAAACATCAAAAAATAAAACTACCAAATCATTTTGAAATACCTTGCTGGACTGTTAGTGAATGACAGTGTAAAGCATCCTGTAAAATCATGGCACCTGGTATACTGTCATTTTCAAGAAAAGTGGTATTTTTGTATCAATTTCCAACGCTGATCGGCCGATGAGCGTTGGAAAAAACTGGCTTTTTTTTCAAATACTGGCCCCAATTGACCATCGCACTTGTTTGCAATCGATTACAAACCTATGAACGGGTACGAGCCAGCTAGACTGGTTCCCTGACCTTACAATTCCCCAATGTATGTAAACTGCTCTGTTTCTTCTTATATGGAGTCAGGGAACCAGACTCAAGAAAATGATTGTTTTTCTTGGTTTTTATAGCATTTTCGAACCCAAAACCTCAAAAAAGTCAGTGTAACTATATTTGCTATATATTTCCAACCCCCCAATTCCATCCATTTCTGAAAATTACAGCAAAAGCAAATGATGTATATTCCCTTTAATCTCAAGGAGCATTTCACTGGGAAATACACAGAAAATGTATGCTCGATCATGCTCAAGATTCAAAGGCATGACAGGACATATTTTCAAAGAAATGCCACCAAGATTACCATGAGAGTGCAAAGATGGCGATAGCCATGAAATGGTCCATGTGATGTTGCTTCGTGAAACAGCGCCCTCTCTTGGTCACTAATGGAGTCCGTTATTCTGGCGTCTCTAAATTATGAATCACAGACTAATTTCATCCAAAGAACTCACCTGATAGTGCTGTTCAATGGCATCCACTTTATCATCGGTGTTCAGCTTAGCATCCTGTAACTGACCTTTCAACTCCTGTTGGAGGTCAAAGGTCAAAGGGCAAAGAGTAATGATATCACTAGAAAGTTTCTACTATACATGTACATAACCTCTCACAAGAGAACACCTTGATTAGGTGTATCAATCCTAACTTTTTTCCTAGATTTCCTTGCTTGGTAAATTTTTGAATCCTTCGTAATTGTATAAGATGCAGTAAACCAATGGAGCATTCTACGGGTTTTTTGAAATCCGGCTTTTCCTTGGTTACAGAATCATCGGAAGGGTTGGGCTAAACACACATTCAAATTGTGATTTCTGCTGCATATTCCCCCATTAGGCATTGTACGCCTCCCTGTAGCGCCAAAAACTGCCCGCGCACTCTATGGTTTTATGGCTTCAGTCATGATCAGTACTGAAAAGTCACAATGTACATGTAAATGGAGTACAGTTTAACCCTAACCCCCTAGGCCCTTTTGGCTAGGAACCATCCTCAATCCTGCAAAATCCTCCAATTGCCACCATGTCAAAATTGGGTTCAGCCTCAATCCTCCAAAATCATCCCTTACTTCTTGAATTTGTTCAGTTGTGGGGTGACCATTGCCTCAATCCTTCAAACCCTCCAGCATTGACCGTTAAAGAGGTTGTGGAATGCTCGAAACCATTTCCGTCATTTTTCGGGTATATGTAGCCTAAGGTGTGATAAAATAAAAACGACTATTATTTCTGTCATGAAATGAGTACAAAAGGTACTTTTGAGAGCTGTTTTTCAAGTCCTGTCATGCCTGTTTCGACCCGAATGTGCAATTTGTGTAAAAGTCGTCATTGCGGGCAGCAAACAAAAAACAGTAAATCGTGACGTAATAAACAGGACTCACGATGCAGAGTAGCATATACGAGTCCTGTTTATTACGTCACGATTTACTGTGTTTTGTTTGCTGCCCGCAACGATGACTTTTACACAAATTGCACGTTCGGGTCGAAACAGGACCTGAAAAACAGCTCTCAAAAGTACCTTTTGTACTCATTTCATGACAGAAACAATAGTCGTTTTTATTTTATCACACCTTAGGCTACATATACCAAAAAAATGACGGAAATGGTTTCGAGCATTCCACAACCTCTTTAAAGGGTTCAGGCAGTGCCAATTGTATTCAGAAGCAGTGCAGATGATATCGCATTGAGCATAATGCAGGGCTCAATTTTGCATGACTGAACATGAACAATGCAGGGTACAGCCTACAAACTTGACGTAATGCGTCCTCCTAGATCAACCAACACTTTCTTGCCGTTCAGCCCCAATCAGCCCCAATAAGCCTTTTCGGAGTTCCAACTGCGCGCATTCGTAACCTGTGACAACGCACATTGTTTGTCTCAAATGCCCTTTGACAGTACCCACAATGCACAAACAGCCTTTTTGTAAAGTCAGTGGCGCGATGTTGTCAAAGGCCATTTGAGACAAACAATGCGCGTTGTCACAGGTTATGAATGCGCAGTTGGAACTCCGAAAAGGCTTATTTTGGAGGATTGAGGAGGGTTAGGGTTAAGGCAAACAATTTGGACCGACTAGTGGAAGAATTGAACCAAGGGAACCATGCCAACCTTGATGGTGAGTTCTCGCTGCTCTAGCAGGTCGTTCAGATGCTGCTCCGCTTCATTCCCATCATGCCTCAGTCCGTCCAGCTCCTGTTGCTTCCTCGCGAGGGTTTTTTGCAGCCGCTGAGTACCCGGCGAAAACAAAATGACAAATTTTGATAAGAGACACACAGGACGGGTACAAATCTACGCTGTAATTTACTAATGCCAGAAAGAACAAATTTATAAAGTTCAAATTTGAAACATAAGCGATTGTAGGAATATCATTTTCAGGGATTGTGCTGCCAACAGCAGACCACTGTTTTTTAAGATCTTAAGCCATCCTCAGGTCAACCTGCAATTTGCCTTGACCGCGGCGAAACCATCAGGATCAAGCACAAAATTCAAGCTCAGGTCACAGAACTAAGAAATTGTGTGATTACTAAGGGAATAAATGTGTGCTCCGGAGGTTTTTATCACTCGTTTAATACCGCTTAGAGTCTGGGTGCTGATAATTACCCGAGCCTTATCCGTAAAAAAATATCAAATAATTCGTTCAAAAAATCCCGATTTTGTTCAACAAGTTCACTTCATGCTTTTTGAAACATCCCTCTAGCAAAATAATGGACTGTTCAGCTGGCGAGTAAGATGTAAACAACCCTTTTATGGAGGTTGACGCGCGCGTAGCATGTTCTGCGCGATGTCACGCAGAACGCACCTGGGGCGTTGCGTTTTGAATTTAGAACTATAAAATTCCCACTCGCTTGTAGTGTTGCGCATGCCTACGTGAGGATTGTGAACGTTCAACCAATGAAGCGGTAAGAGGCACTGGATTTTTAGGAGTCCACATTTTATTGTGACACTGGAAAAGTGTTTAAGACCAGCTAGCCATGTCTTTATCATCCGCTTAAGACCGGCCACGTGACGGGCTCTCGACCAATAGGAATAGCTAAACTGTCTGAGGTATTTATGAATATGGAACAAACGGCATCTCAACACAGAAAAATCGCAACCACGCTATGTCGCCCACCAACAATGCAATGACGATTCACAATCAAATTAGATGATCTAGATGCACGCATGACATCATAACGTCACACAGGTCGACTGCGATTGATTCCCATCTATCGGGAACGCGTTCTGTCGCGTCGCAAAAGTTGACATTATTCTACTGTTGTGACTGTTGAATTTTTTTTTCAGCGTCGATGCCGATCATCTTAATATCATCGAAGTAACATGTACACTCAGGTCCCAAAATAATTGGAGACTGATATGTTCCGGACGGCTGCAGCGCAGGTGCAGCTTGATCCTGAAAATTCAACCCGAGGGCGGCTTCAGGTTCAAGTCCCACTTGTGCCAGATTTCCTTTAATAGCTAATATATGAATGAATCTTCACTTAAAATTAGTATGATTTCAGGAATGTAATATTCAGGGAAGTCAACCTCAACTGTAAACCCACTGGAGCTGCTGTCCAAGGCCATGGGTTCGAGTCTAACTTGTGACAAATTTCCTCAGCATTGCACTGAATTTTCTCTGGAATTAAATACGTTTATAAGCAACGTCCTTTTCAAGGAAAGCAATATCAATGGCACACCACTAAAAGTGCTGCCCAAGGTCTTTGGTTCGAGTCTAACTTCTTACAAATTCCCTTGGCCTTAAATGAAATTTTCAATCTTCTTATGCCAGCCAGAACAAATTAATAAAGTTCAATTTGAAATAAAGGTAGCTATAGGAATGTCAATTTCACTTTCAGGGACATATATCTCAAAGGTAGACCACTGGACCTGCTGTCCGTGGTCTAAGGTTCAATCCCGATGGAAAACAAAAAGTACAATACAGATGAACAGATGAGTAAGTTTATCAGCTTGAAATGAAATGTTATACTGTTTGAATTTTATCCGAGTATGAAAATTGAACTCCACAGTATGATACCATACCTCATTCTCCCGCTGTTTGCTGTGCAGGTTTGCTTTCTGCTCAGCTAGCTTGCCCTCCATATCAACCATGGCAGCTTGGTACTGCTCCATCCCCTAAACAGTGAAAAAGAACCAGAGGATTTCAGAAACACTAATGTCAATATCTTCTGTATAGAAATACATTCAAAGTTGTAGCTTGCATGCTGTCGTGTTTACCACAATCAGGGTTACGTAAGTGTCCATCGACAAAATGCTAAAAGTTAACAGCTACAATAGTTGTCTGAAAATCAGAAAATGTCCCTCCAAGAGATATTATGTTCTTGTCTCGCTTACATGAAAAATTGTCTTGAAACAAGAATTCTTTTCTGTTAAGATAACGGGAAAAAAAGACTTTACTCAGCAACAATCAAATGCTGAAATACTTGGAAGTTAAAAAGGAAAAATTCAATCGATCATCAAAATCAAAGGCCTCGGTGCTCCCTGTTGTGACGGAGATTACAAACACGAGGTTCTCATATCCTACCGCTACAATGGCGTAGCTCTGTAAGCCTTGTTAATTTTAATTTTGTCATTCCTAACATGCCTAGGAACAAAACTTACTTTGAATGCAAGATTTGTCCAAAATCTCAGATACCTTTGATACACCGGCAACACAAGCGTCACACGACATTTTGATTTCCACTTTTGAAATTTCGTCACGTTCTGGTTTTACAACTGTACACGACTACGCACCTCGTATTTGTTCCTCTGCGCTTTGTGCATGGCCTCGCGTGCCTGTGTGAGGGCGTTCTCGCGATCGTCAGCTTGATCACAAAGCAGACGAATCTAAAAACAATCACCAAAAAACAAAAACAAGTTAATCAGGAAAAAAGTGGACATATCTAAAAACCTGAGCCACACACTGAAAAGTTTCTCAAAAAGAAAACATAATACAGAAAATTGCTTTCACTTGTTTACCGTTACTCTATTGGGTATTTTGTCTAGAAACTTTGTCAAAGGCAACAACAGGCAACACTTGTCAAAGTAAGAAGCCTGCTCAGTGTAGCAAGATCCATCAGGGCAAATTCTCACAGCCAAGCCTCAGAGTCTGTGGTCGCCAACTGCAGCGGGATACAACTGTGGCATTGTGCAATGGGACTAGCTCTCAGTGTCTCAGAATTGGCCATTGATGCACTGGTGTTGATGGCTCAATGCAGCAAGGTCCCACAGACTTTTACACCTGCTGCCAGACTTGCATGCCTCATGACTCGGACTCGAGTCATGATGACAAATGACTCGGACTCGGAATCGACCCTGCAGACTCGGACTCGACCTGCGTGACTTGAACTCGACCAAAAGTACCACAAATCACTTATTTTTTTCAACATTATAATTATTTGGAAGATCCTCTCCTGAGCAGACGATACAGTCTGTGCGGTGCAAAAGAAACACATCATGTACGGTATATGTACACAACACAGCGCATGCGGCTGGCTTGTTTGCAATATTGACTTTGGAAATCAATGTATCGAAACATGAACCCCAGCCTCCACACTTGATATTGCGTAAATGCAGGCTTGATAGTATTTCCAGTTCATTAATTTAGAAAAGAGCTGTGAAAACACTGAAACATTTACACTGTGCGATTTTAGCAGTACCTCAAAATTTATTTCCAATACAGTAAACTCTGGCTAAATTGGCACTATCATGACCCGAGAATTTGTGACCACTTACGCGAATGCCGACATCTGCTGTAAGTCGTCCTTTTGCGGACTTACATGAATGGCCTTTTGCACACATGATTCATTGCACTAATTTGCTGCGATTTACCCTGGTTTATCTCCTTAATGCTTGAGTTGAATCCCGCAAATTAATCCTCGAATTGTATCATCACGTTTGGGGTATTGACAGTGGAGACCGCGTGTATTCATATGTACGAGCACAGTAACGAATTGAATGCGTGCGTGGTCCGGTATATACCACGCACGCACTGACTGTAGCACTAGTCATTCAATAAGACGACCCCCAAAATGGACAGAGCGCATGCGTACAGCTTAGAGGGGGTACTGGTATTGATACAATGTATGCTCGCGATGCATATGCGATGTATGCAGTAGGACACCCTTTTTCGACGCCGATGCATGCAGCGATCACAGGCCGTGCCAAACCACTTTTCACTCAACACTTCTTGCCAACCGCAGTACAGGAAGTCGATGCCAATGCGTGATTTTTTGAATGCCGACTTACACAAAGGATTTTGTAATGCTTTTTACGGAAAGGGGACCGAGAGTAACACGACGACTTGAGCGAAATGGCGACTTATAAAAGCCGACTTAGAAATAAAAAAATTCCATGGAAATGCATTACGGACAATCGCGACTTAAGTCAGACGGCCGACTTGAGCGATTTGACGAGTTGTATGATGTCGATTTAACTCGGACTCGGACTGGACCTTTGTGACTCCTGACTCAGACTCAAACTGGACCTGCATGACTCAGACTCGGGAGAGGTGACTCAGACTCAAACTTGATGTTTGGTGACCGTTCTCGGACTCAATGTTTGGTGACTCGAATAGAGGTCTGCGCTGTTGCATCTTGCAGGTTAGACTAGGTTAGGGGAAAAACGAGTGAGAAATAATGCACTTCACAAAATAAATGGTGATAACATAGCAAACCTCTTTATCTTTGGCCTTGATGGTTTCTGCCAGTCCTTGTATTGCTTTGTCTCGCTTCATTGTGTTACTCTCTAACGTCTTCAATTCTTTGTTCTTATCATCAGCCTCTTCTTCCAAATCCTGCGGCGAAAAAAGAAAAAGTTCACCAAAACTACAGAATAAAAGCCGCCTAAAACCCCTAAGAAAATACATGAAAGAAAAATAAACGTTGAAAATTGAATCATTCAATTGTGTTGTTAGATGGGGTCATTTTGTCCTTCATTTTTTTTCACTTAAAAGTAATGTAGATTTGCAAACATTCAAAAGTGCAACTGCTAAAATATTATGAAATAGCGCACTTGATTGTTTATTAATAGCAGTATCAAGCATCATACGAAATAGTAAAGCATGGTATACTGTCATTTTCCAAAAATGAGGAATTTTTGTATCAATGGTTTTAACCAACCCATCATTGTGAAAAAACTTAGGTTTTGGGGTCAAGTACTACATCCGTTAACAGGCACAAGCCAGCTACATGTATTTACCTCGTGCGTGCGTGTGGTTACGCAGGTACATGTACGTGTATGTATATTATATGACACAGCCAGCACTCAGGCACGGCCTGTTACCTAAGACATGGGTTTCATGCAAGACACTACCATGACTGTATAATCAATATTATGTGAATACTGTTCAATCAGAAAGTCAACATTTAAGTGAAACATGTACCTTCTTTTCCTTCTCAGCTTTCTTGAGAGTATTCTGTAAATCCTAAAATAAGACAAAGAAACATGGAACATTTTGCCAGTTAAAGGGAATGTACATCATTGGCTTTTGCTGTAATATTCAGAAATGAACTATTTGAGGGGTTAGTATAATAGATCAAATATTGTTACACTGACATGTTTGAAGTTTTCTGTTCGAAAATGCTGGGAAAACCAAGAAAAACAAAACTGTCAAAGTAGTCTGGTTCCCTGACTCCACTAAAGATGAAATGGATCAATTTATAGATGCCGGAAAATTGTTAAGTTAGGGAAACAGTCTAGCTGGCCTGCTCCCGTTCATGAGCATGTAACCAATAGCAAACAAAATTTGGACTGGAAAAAAAATGGTAAATTTGGAGCAGTAGTTGAAAAAGTGGGTTTTTCCAACGATGGTCGGCCGACCACCTTTGGGAATTAGTACAAAAATACCACTTTTCTTGAAAATGACTTCACACCAGGTGCCATAATTTTACAGGATGCTTTAGACTGTCATTTACATACATCCTAGTAAGGTTTTCCGTAGAAATTTGGTAGTTTTGTTTTTTGATGTTAGCAAATGTTGTATATTCCCTTTAATAAATTGTGCTGCTCCAGCACAAAACCAGTCAGTTGGACCAATTTTTGAAAACTGGAATTTTTTTTGCTTTAATGGAAAGGACATTGAATAAGCTTTCCAATGATGTACAGAATATGGGAATCGGATAAAATCTAACGGAGTTATAGGTATTTTCGGTTTCCAATTTTCATCAATACATGTATTCTACGTATATTGGGTTGCATTATAGGCTGTATCTCAAAATACGGACACGTGAATCCCGACTGGTTTTATGCATTGTACAATCCTGTCCAAACAAATGCATTGTTGAGTGCAAGAGAGTTGTAGGCAATACCGTGCACTAGTGAAATGAAGTAAAATATTGGTCATGATATTGAACGTTTGTTGGAGTGCATAAGATGCCACAGCGACACGCAATACATTAGCAATGAACGGAAATAGAAATGTCCATACATGGATTTATAACACCTCGACCATAGATTCTGTATCACGATTGGCCAAGAACGAGTCACATGACATTCGCTATTTTTACCATCTTTGCTGTGCACGGCCAAAAAGACTACACAACGGCTGCAAAAGTACTTTACACATAAGAACGTAAGAACTGGTATCTAGACTGCCACATCCACCTCTCTTGCAAGTCCAACCCTTGCAAGGCCCCATACCTTGACTTCTTTGTCTTTGTTCTTCAGCTCTTGTTGCATGTTTTCTGAAGACGTCTCAAGGTCCTTCAAGCGTCGTTCCTGTTCCTTAAATGCTTCCTAAGAGCACAAATGACCGTGGATAAACAAAAACAATATCTTTAGAAAAATAACAGATTATAAAGAAAAAGTTACCTAAACTTACCTGCGTGACCATAAACTAAAAACTGATTATTAACGAAGAGTTGTACTCAAGTCAATCACAAGTCAATCGCAAGTCAACAGAAAACCATTTAGCCCAGCCCAATGGTCTTTTGGTCAATCACAGTTGTGTTTAATGTTCGACATGCGTCCGCAAAAGTCTGACATGCATGCACGCGCGCATGATGTGCGCAGCTGGAACTTGCACTGTGGTATTTGAGATGCGCATGTGTTGTTGCCAGCGTGCGCAGTGGGCGGGGCTAAATGAATCCATCTATTCACAGGTCAATTAACCTATCGCGGTAGAATCGCGTGAACGCAGCTTGTGAAGTATGAGGGCAATTCCACGGTTTCTCACGTTACATTTTTGATGTACTTTTGAGTTTCCTTGGGCTGTAATTACCTTACTGAAAAGGTTTAATAACTGTTATCCCCATGGTAGATAGAGTAGACCTAGACCTACCTAAGCACCAAAGATGACATCCAGAAAAATGTGCTATGTATGATAAACAAGATGCACAAAATCGGTTACTCACGTTCCTTTTGCGTAACGTGAGTAACAAATTTTGTGCGTCTTGTTTATCATACAGAACACATTTTTTCTGGATGTCATCTTTGGTGCTTAGGTAGGTCTAGGTCTACTCTATCTACCATGGGGATAACAGTTATTAAACCTTTTCAGTAAGGTAATTACAGCCCAAGGAAACTCAAAAGTACATCAAAAATGTAACCCGAGTAACCGTGGAATTGCCCATTATCAATTACATGATATACAAATGGACGTGGAACGCGCAAAATCTGAGACAAGCAAAACTTAACGTACAAAATTCCATAGGGTTGTCTTAGGGGCGTGGCTAACTCGCAAACGGTGATAGGTCAATTCACCAGTCCACTCACAAGTACCAGGAGATGAACAATAACAAAGGAATGCCTGGTTTACTGTTCATTTGAAAAGCTTGTGAGGACAGGATTGAACTATAAAATTATGACTCACTGGTAGTGTTGCGCATTCCTACGTGAGGATTGTGAACGTTCAACCAATGAAACGGTAAGAGGCACTGGATTTTTAGGAGTCCACATTTTATTGTGGCACTGGAAAAGTGTTTAAGACCAGCTAGCCATGTCTTTATCATCCGTTTAAGACCGGCCACGTGACGGGCTCTCGACCAATAGGAATAGCTAAACTGTCTGAGGTATTTATGAATAATGCTTTCTTCATTCTTTTTCATGCACAAGAATTACAGAAGAAATCTGCATTTTTTTTGAAAACCCAAACACATACTACACTTACTTCACACTCTATTTAGTCTTCAAAGAACTTTGCTTCCATCTTGTGAAATTTAAAAACAAAATCTTTTTTAAAAACCTAGAAAGACTCCTTGCCTCATATTGTCTGTCCCTGTTTCGTCCTTCTCCCTTCTCCTTATCCAAATCCTCTTTGACTGCCTGTACATCAAATATCATGGGCAAAGGTTTATTCATAAGAGGGGTGTGATTGGGGAAAATGAAAATTCCACAAAATAATCAGCAGGTTTGAGAGTCACCAAGGGCCCCACATAAATGTAATGTCTATGGTATATGTTTGCATTGACCTAAGGGCACCCCTTTACAATTCCCATTTCTTTTGTTATGTATAAACGTTTTAGAGGTATTCACACCTTCTAAATTTTCAAAAGGGATTCTTTAAAAATCCTGCAATCAGTTAAAATCCTGACCAAAAAAATCTTAAAATCAGGAAAACTCCTGAAAATCTCATCCCTGTAACAATCTGCAGAAAATATATTATAGTTTGGTTTCAAACGTTTATATTTGGACATACAATTATGACCAAACACTCCCGACTGTTTTACATGTCAGGCAAGGAAGCCTTCATGAATGTGATTGCAGCACAAACATTAAGACTGCAGTGTTTTTTTTAAAACTTGAACTTTGCAGAGAATAATAACCAGAGATTTTTCTCAGCTTAGAAATCATTAGCCAAGAATGAAAAAAACAGACTACCGGCCATAATATCTTGTGATGTATAACTGCAAGTGACTGGTCATTCACAAATTATTGCTTGAAACATAATTTGCTTTGCTGTATATAAATCTAAGTAAGATTTGAGGCTTTGCATGGTGGAGATACTAAATAATGAAAGGTTTGCGGAAACACCATGTGCGAATAATTTCTCAACTAAGAGAATGGTTCTGAAAAGAACCAGAGGTATAAACTCGACGTTCCGGTCAGTATGCTCTGACCGTCTTCAGGAGAATGCCTAAACGTCAAGATCTCCAGGAATCCGGATGGCACCCTGGGACATAACGTCTACAGGAAACCAACCCACACCGACCGCTATCTCCACCAGCGGTCGTTTCATCACCCCAGCATCAAGTCATCGGTCAACCGCACCCTAGTACAGAGAGCCTTTGAGGTCTGCGACCAAGACAACCTCAAGCGTGAACTCAAGCACATCCAGGCATCACTACAACGGAACGGCTACAAACCCAACCGCATCAAGATCAGCAAACCTGACCAACGGGTCTCCTATACATGTACCTAAGGTCCTTCCACTGTATCTCCCTCAGTCACTCTTCCTTACATAGGTCCAGCTTCTCATCATCTGCAACGCATCCTCCGACAAGCCGGCGTCAAGGTGTACCACTCATCTGGCAACAAGCTCCAAGGCAGCCTCCACACTCACAAGGACAAGCAGGACTCCTCATCCAAGCCGGGAGTCTACCACATTCCATGTGAATGCGGCAAAGTCTACATCGGCGAAACCAGTCGGAACCTTCCTATTAGGCTCAAGGAACACAGAGCACATGGACGGCGAGGGGATTTTGACAAATCGGCCATTGTCAAACATTCCCACATCAACGACCACAAAGTTGATTGGGATGCGGCCGAACTCATTGCACCGATTCAGCCCTGGCATCCAAGACGCATACGGGAAGCCATCGAGATCCGCAAGCACAACACAGTTCCGCAAGACATCGGGTTTCACCTCAACGACATCTGGCTCCCACTCCTCCAGACTGATGGGTCTCCTATACCCTACATGTAGGTCCTCAGCTACCACCTTAGACTGATGGGTCTCCTATACCCTAGGTCCTCCCTCTACTGACACTGCAACCCTACTGTTCCACTTCAGTGGGCACCAAGCTTGCTCTAGGATCCCGTCTACTTGGCATCCTCACAAGATGCAACTTCACACTTCATTGATTTCGCCTTTTGCTACTGAAGTATTCACTTTCTTAGAGTTTAGGCATTCTCCTAAAGACGGTCAGAGCATACTGACCGGAACGTCGAGTTTATACCTCTGGTTCTTTTCAGAACCATTCTCTTAGTTAAAAAATTATTCGCACGTGGTGTTTCCGCAAACCTTTCATTATTTATATAAATCTACTTAGAAAATGTACAAAACTCAACCTAGGCAACAATCAGAATTTGAATCACAGATCTGTGTATGTATTGGCCTCCCAAGATGGCTGCCTAGTGACTTCAGCCTTCAATCTTGATACACTATGCTGTCTAGTCTCAGTGTTTATCCACCACCTTTCTGACCTGCAGTTGAGCGTTCCTATTCTCCAGTGTTCTCTGCAGTTGTTGGACCTCTAGCTGTAGTGGATCTAGCTTCTCATCCACAGCGTACTGTTTCTCTGCCTCCAGTTGAGCGATCATGGCTTCCTTCATCTTCACAGCGGCATTCAGATCATCAATCTCCCTGCAGAAGCAAATTGTTTTCTATTCTTCAGACTATGTGCATTCACAAGACTATCAACAGAGGCAAGTTCGCGCAATAGTGACCAATTGTTAACCCCATAGTTTGACTAAAGTTAGCCCGAACTCTGTCTAGTCGACGATGGTTGGTTATGCTAGTCGACTATTTGGAACCAGCCTACCGCGGCCGGTCGCGCACCGATTTAAAGCTGGTTATCAATAGCAATTTCCATAGCAAAGTGCAGAGGGGACCAACTATCAACAAAAATGGCGGAAAACGAAACTGTGAGCGCTAACTTTCATTTTCATTGCACAGTTTGTCCATGTTAGTTTACGCATGGTTTACGATTGTGTCACTTTTGTCACCTTTGTACAATAAGATTGGCGATTATGTAAGATGTCCTAAACTATAAACAAGCACTATTATTGTGTAAATAAAAAGAAACAATAAGTGTTGGATAATTGTGGGACCACCATTTTCTGACGGTCGTTGACATGACAATAGTTCGACAAGAGTCGTTCGCACTTCAACTTCAGTGCGCATGCGCTAGGTACGTTAACCACTTGTCCTTGCTCGAACTTGCCCTAAGATTGGCCAACAAACACATTCACTTCACACCCCTCAATAGACTTCATGCATGTCCCTCCCATGAGAGCTCCATGACAGGGACACATTGCATGCAGCAATAGTTTGAGCACTTGCTTTTCACCTGAATACACAATGGGCTCCGTGCACAAGTAACCCCTCAATGGTAAGAAAGGAAGAGTTGGGCGCAGCCAACTGAAGTCACATTCCAACGCACTGCCAATGACCCCTAAAGCTCGCACGAAGACGCTATGCTTTATCATTTAAATCATCATACACAAACAAAACACACTATACTCATTAATTTGGGATTGTGCGAGCTGCAGCAACCAGTACTTTAATTAGCCTACACTTGTTTCTTCAACTTCTCCAATACACATCATTATTACTGATAACTTTACACAATATACATCGAGATATATATCAACATATCAAACAGTGAATTCGACCCATTGCTTTTGGTGATCGCCAGATACGAAAAACCACAAACCTTTTTGAAAAAGTGGAAACGTATGCACTGACCTATGCTGACCACCGCTCTCGGGCTAGCTAAGCAATGATAATGGGAGGTTCTTAAAACAACTTATTTTAAGGTTGAATGACTTTAGCCATTACAATAGCATATAATTAAATAAATAACGTGTGTTGCGTTGCTGCTAGCAAACGTGAAGTGACGCGTTTCTCCGCTAGCATCACATACCACTACCTATTCAAAATCCCATACCAAAGGACTTGTGACAAATTGTTCTTTACTTGTGAGGACATGTTAGGAGCTGTGAGGACTTCCGAAAACGTATCAGGACTTGTGAGGATTTATGATGATTTGTGATTGACTTGTGAGGACTGATTAGGATGTATGAGGACTTGTGAGGACTTGTGAAGACTTGTGAGGACTTGTGAGGACATGTGAGGACTTGTGAAGACTTGTTAGGACTTGTGAGGACTTGTGATTGGGATATGTGGACTTACATGTATGAGGACTTGTAATTGGCTTGTGGGGATTTGTGAGCATTTGTGAGGACTGAGGACTAGGGAGGACATTTGAGTACTTTTAATAGTCTTTTGACGACTTGTGATTGACTATTGAGGACTTGTAAGGACTTGTGAGAACTTCTTTGGAATTGTGTGGACTTGGCAACTCTGACAATTAGACACACATACCTGTCTTTTTCCTGCATGGCCTGTTGATGAGCTACCTGCATGTCTCTGGTATCTTGACCCTTGTCTTCTTGAGCTGGTTGCTTCTTGGTCTCAGACAGACGCTTCTGAAGGATCTCATTGGCTCGCTTCACTGACTCACATTCCTGCAAACCACCGTCAAAAATACAGTGACCAGGGTCTGATTTCTCAAAGCATTAATGGTATCTTAACCTACAAGGGAATGGAGTTCTACTTTTATGTTTTTTTGATTAAAGGGTCAGTGAGATGAATTTTTCTTAGGAACACAATTTTAGTGCAATTCGGGCGTTTCACAATGCAGTGCGCCACCAAGAGTTTGCCATGGAGAGTCTATTTTTCAAGTTTATGGTCGACAAAACATGGCCCATTTGAATGCCTGTCAGTTGACAACTTGAGCTAATTTGTTATAAATTGGGGCATAGCGTTCTGCCGCCTTATAAAACACATCACATAGATAAAAAGCAAAGAAAAGACCAAAAAGATACTCGAATCATACGCTTACGAAACTACTGACTGGAAAAACAAACAATTTCAAATGTCCCGTGCTTCGAATTTGTCGACCATCTCCCACAATGCACTGGGGAAAATGAACTCTCCTTGGCAAACTCTTGGTGGCACACTGCATTGTGAAACACCCAAACTATTTCTACTCCTCTTAAATGTATTAAACTGTTCGACATTCTGTTTTGGTCAATTTTATTATTAAAAAGTGCACTTCTTTAAACATTAAAAATTGTCATTTCAGGAAGACACTGTTCAGTTTAGGGGTTTTGTGTTCAAATTAAGAACCTAAAAAAATCTGCTCATTTAAAACATTTGTGAGAAAAGTTTGCTCATTGGCTTATTGCTATGTACCGACACACCAAAGAAAACAAAATTCACTGTGTGACAGCTAAATATCCAAAATTCTGGTAACTTTTGGGCTGAAATAGCTGTAACATTGAGGTTTCTGCCTGAAATGGCATCACACTTTTGCTCATGGATATGGAAATTCGCATTAGCATGAAAAACAAAAAGGCACCAAAATACCTTTGAAAAAGGCAAAACCAAAATTGTTTGGGTTTTGGTTAAAGCTATAGTCCATCATTTGCAGCCATCCGAAAAAGTAACTGGCGTATTATTGTTGAAAAACATACTTGGTTGAAAGATAGTAAGTGGATTAAACTCCCTGTGAAATTAATCTTTCTGGCAAGCTATCATTTTGAAATAATCAACGAAAGAAGGCCTTTCCAACGGTGCGTCTTAAGACGCACCTTAGGAAAATTTAAATTAGTAGTTCGTTTTGTTATTCGGCGCAGCGCGCGCAAGCATTGGCACGACGCACACGCGCGCGTGGTTGCTATAATTCGTCGGATCAGTGCGCGACATCGCGTATACATGTAGCTGCAATTCAAAACAATTCAAAACATGATTCAGCAACTTTTGATTTGAAATTGAGATCCTAGAATGCTGTTTTTCTCGGAATATACAGCTAAAGCTGAGCTGAAACTTCATCAGGTTAGTTGTTCAGTATCCGTCATTAGATTTTGAACACTTTTGTTGCTAACGAACAAAATGATGGACTATATCTTTAAAGGTAAGAGCCTCCACGAGCTCCACCTGAGCTTTGCTTTTAGCATTTCTGTTCGGCAGTTCTTTGAATCCTGTATTGTACAAACAAGTTTTCTCCTCCAATACAAACAATCAAGCAATCTTCTTATAAAACTCTTCTGCACGCTGATTAGCTACACAATAAAATTAGATAATCCGGATGTACGCACGACATCATAATTCCACACAGGTCGGCTGTGATTGATTCACGCGTGTCGGGAACACATTCCGTCGCGGAGCAGATGTTGACATTTTTCTACTTATCGTCTTCATACATGTGAAGTTGCAGTTGCACTCAGGTCGCAAAAAAACGATGAGTGAATTGTTCCTGATGATCTTAGCTCAGGCGCAGCTTAATCCTGCAAAGTCAGTCGCCCACTGTTCACATGGACCCGAGGGTGTCTTTAACCCCTTTCTTACCATGGGCGACTTTCGTCGACAAGAAGTACCCCCCTGCTGATTCCCATAGGCGACTTTAGTCGACCAGGAAACAAACACCCTTAACACAGATTTATTCACTGCTTTTCAGAAAGGCGGCGTGTTGATATGTTTGGCTGCCCATACATCAACCATATACCAGCTGAAAGAGTGTTTTCGGAATGTTCTAATGGTGTAGATTATTCACAGTGTTACCATTACAAAAAAATTGAGAAAAGTGCTTCAGAAGTATCCACACACAATTTGAGGTATGGAGTGCCATTTGGTCATGTGGTGAAATGGCTCGCAGTTTGATAAATGGGACCAGACAAACAAAAAGGCATAACTTTCTTATATTTGCACATGTGGACTTCATTTTTACATCACATAAAAGAGTAAGGTTCAAGGAACAAATGTTCCACACAACACCTATGATTTTAATCACTCCTTGGCAGTGAAAATCTGGGTTGAAAAAAGTGAGTTTTGGACTCGTGCCCATTTTGTTCACGCTCTAGTGATTTCCGCATGACTGAGCAAACAATTTGGTCCTGGGGAGAGCCAAGTCAATAAACAATGTGGTAATGAAAGGGTTAAGCGCCATGGGTGCATTGTACGGCTGCTATGCATTTGTGTCATTCTGAACTCTCTCTTTATAACCACACGAGGGAGGTGTGCTTTTCCATACCTGTTGCGATTGTTGCAACGCTAGCTCCAGCCGTTCCCTCTGATGCGTCAGTGCCTGGTTGTTCTCTTGCCTCAGCCTGTCTGTCAGTCCCTCCTTTTCGTGGGCGAGACTCTCCACTGCATTCCTGTCAACAAAATCACAAGAGTTTATCTGAAATACAAGAGATTGGAACTTGATATGGGTCATTCTATAAATGTTATACCTGCGTACAGTTTACCTATCATAAAAGTCTCGTAGAGGGCGCTCAACAACCATGTAGTGCGGATGTTGTTTGGGAAAAAATATTTAGCAGCCAGGTCGTAGGATAGGACTAATAATTCAATGACATGTGATCAACGACCCACCAATCAGATGACGGGGATATATTTAGGCGTTGTATAAAACAATATATTGCACTCACTACCGATATTGCACTTGTGAAATATTATAGCTTGAGCACTATATTCTTGTATCTCCCTCAAAGCCATCTGATATTATGTAAGTACTAGCACAATTGGTAATTGGGGGAAAGGAAAATAACAATGTTTACTTACGATGCTTTGATAAGAAGCTGTTGTTTTTCCATCAGGTCTTTCTTTAAACTTTCAATCTCCACTTTCAGCTCAATATTCTGAAAAAAAAAAATTGTGAAACATAACCATATGGTAAAGTGAAGAAATTGTCAGAACACATTGACAAATTTTGCTGTCATGATATAAAAACTTGGGTTTTTTCCCCAATAAATTTGAGTTAGTCTGAATTATGAAAGAGCCTTGAGCATATTGGTGTGAAGGTAACTGTCTTACCGTCTTGGTGTCGTCATCAAAGTTCTGCTCAATTCTCTCCTCCATGAAGTAGATTCTCAACTTGAGACTGAAATTCTCCTTCTTCAGCTCCGAGATTTGCTGAAAATGATGTTTAAAGAAAATTACACGTCTCAAGAAGTAATATAAAAGGTAAGTGTTCTTTCAGCAAAACGAAAACAAATCACATAGGGATGTGTGTGAATTGTTTTTGTTTTGCTGAAAGAACGTACATCATTTTTTGTGATCCGTGGACAGAACTTTAAACATGTTAAAACGGTGGTTGCGTTTAAAATTCCGTAACTTGAAAAGTACATGATTTCAATGATTCTTGTACCAAAAGAAAGTTTTTGAATTTGGCTTTCATATCCTAGATTTTGAAAGTGTTACATGCAGAACTTCACTAAGACAATGGTCCTGACATTTGGATTTCGGTTTTTTTTCACTCACCTTGTATGTGTACTGCATTCACAGTACAGTACCGGGTTGAAGAATGCTACGTGTACATATTAGGGTTTTACTGATTTGGATTTGTATCCTTCAATGCACATAATGTGGAGGATATTGGCATATCTGGCTGACTAGCAAACCAACTCCACTTCAATGACAAAATAGGTAATGATGCCTAACCTAAATCTATCTGGTCTGATCCGGTATAATCTTGTCAACACCTTTGCTCATGGTGTGTGTTACTCTGCCTGGATCCAGTCAGAACCAGTTAGATCTGGTCCAAACCAGTCTGGTCTGGTAGCTTACCTGCTCATAATCCTTCATGGTGTGCGCTCTGATAGGAGACATTCTGCCACTGCTGATTTTTTGGATGGCTGAAATATCAAAAGTTATACAGTCACAAATTTTAACTTTGCTTGATAGATACATGTAAATATCTTAATTTTCCTCCAAATTTGCATTGCCAAAAAGGAAGACAGAAATGGACAATAATCATGATAATGATTGGAAATTTACCAATACCATATTATTTGTGAGGCGTTCTGTCAAAATGAGACAGAACTGGACACAGGCCTTAGTGGAGAAAAATGAAAAAAAAAAAAAAATGGGGTAATTTTGTTTCAATCAGATTGATCGATACTTGTAATCTTTAATATATCTACTACACATGCTTTAACCCTTACCGCCCTAAATGCTTCAAAATCCTCTTTGCCAAAGTGGAGTAATTTGGAGGATTGAGGTTACATGGCAAAAGTGCGTTACTGATTTCGTAGGATGCACTTTGTCAAGGTCTTGGGCCGGACCTTGTGTTGTTTGTGTTCAGCCATGCATAAACATAGGCCTGGATTATGCTTGAAATCCTCCGTACTGTTCCAGGATGCACTGGCCAAGCCTCAACATACTGACAGTCACTGCCGCTGGATTCAGGCAGTGGTCACCCCTCCACAGACCATATTCAAGAAATAATGGAGGAATTTGCAGGATTGAGGCTATATGCTATTTTTCCATGAGGCCAATTGGAGGAATTTGATTTTCTTTCCTAATACCTGCAAACCCTCATTTCGACTTCTGTCCTGTTCAGTCTCCTATTGCCAATGGGCATTCTAATTTCATTTTTGTCCTTGAAGCAGTTATTTGTTTGTGATTTTAGCCTGTGTACTGTACCTGGCATGTTTCCATCAGGGAAGTGATCACTGAAATTCGCCGCAGTAATGTCTGGTCCAGTGGTCACATCTGGCAGGCCTGCCATGTTGGCACTGTTGAAAAGAACACAAACAATAGGTCAGTTCCAATGGTTAAACATGTTCAGTAGACAGTGTATGGTAAAGTGTGTATCTACCCATCCATAGGGGGCCTACCGTTGAAGCACGGACAGAAAGATACGCGCTGTGGAACATCAAATAAAAACAGTTAAGCCTGGTAGGCCAACCATGTCTGCCACGAGAAATTAACTACATGTAACAGATAAGAGGAATACATGTACATGTACATGTAGGTACACTGAGTGCTACATGTACATATAGTGTTGTAAATTTGTGACCCGCTCTGCAAAACGAGTTGGATGTTGCATACATTGTAATTTAAATTCAAGCTTTCGCCATTTTGAAATGGAAACAATCAAATTTCTATACAAATTTGGATTATTTCTTGCTTTTGTTATATTTTGGTTGTTTTACAAAATGTTTTATACATATAGTTTTAGTTTAACCCAAACTCCCTTGCATGATTTACTAGGAACCATACCCATCCTAGCAAATTCCAACACCATATGGGAAACTGTGCACACACATTTCTGACTTTGATTCTGGAGGTGTGCCAACCCAATGTAAAAGACGGTCAGTTTAGGGGTACTGTACCCATCCAGACAGATTCCAACAATACATGCTGTTGGGGATTGATGGGTGGAGTTCTATTAAGGTTAAATGTCTTACAAAGTAATGTAACTACTGTTTGAATAAGACTGACAAAATTAGGGTTTTTGGTGCTTTTCTTGGTTTGTTGCAGTATACAGTACATGTATGTATTTGTTATTTTCCAAACCCTTTTTTCCCCATTGAGACCTTTCTGGCTTGGTGGAAAAATTGACAGAATGAAACAAGCCCAACAGTGCAACCAAATGTCCCAGAGAGGTCCATGATATACTGTACATACCAGGTCCAAATGAATGCTTATTTCACTCTTATTTCATTATTCCTAACTCCCCAACCTCTTTTAAAAGGAACTGGACCAAGTCCATCAAAATCCATCAATCACTGTGCTTCCAATACAAACCTGTACATGACCTAATGGAATCCACCACTGACGCACTGGTTGACATTCATGGACTTGCTACACATGGCTTTTAACACATTAGCAGTACAGGAAGCTAGGCAAAATCAATCGGATACCCCTAGCACTGCTTCAGGCCATGCCCAAGTCCATCATAGTACTCCATCAATATTTGGTCACGCCAGGCCTTCTAGACCAAGTCCCTCAAAATCCACCAAAATGGGGGGATGGATTTTTTTATGGAGTTGGGGTGGTTAGGATTGTAGTTAACTTAAAACGACAGTTTTGCCACAACAGACTCACTTTTGCAAAGCAGGTCACATTAACATTGATGAAATGAACAATCAAGCGCTAGTACATGTATGAGGAAGTTATTAAAACAATTCACAAGTTCCTGTACTAGGCTATGTGCTTAGGGTTTTGTCAAGGGTGGTAAATTGTCCTCCTCTTTACTACACGTACCTCCCGCCTTAACCCTAACCCTACGCCCTCTTTGCTAGGAACCATCCTCAATCCTCCAAAATTTTGCAGTTATCATGCTTTATGTTCAAATGAAGGATACCCACTGCCTTTATCCTTCAAAATCCCCCAAACAGCTCTGCCTCTCAAAATGCAGCCTCAATCCTCCAAAAGTGTTTCTTCAAACACCATTAATCCTCAATCCTCTAAAATCAACTGATACTGAATGTCCATGAGCCCTCAATGGTCCACAATCCTCCAAAATTGCCTGTTGCATTCAGCTTCAATCGTCTAAAATCCTTTGGAGGACTTTAGGAAAATTGGGGAAGATAAGGTTAAATAAGGTTCATAACAAGTAATGGAAGGATACTACCGTACATGTACATGTCAAAAACAAAATGTCCTACTTTTGATCCTCAATAACTCTGTTGTTTACCAATGGAAATAAACGAGGCATGACAACTGCTTTTTTAAAAACTCACTTTCAGAATCTGCCACTTTCGACTTGGCGTCCTCCAATGTTGATACAGTGCTGGAGACTGTGGCGGAAGGGGCGTGCTGCAGCCGAAAGTTTCTGAAGGAATGCAGGATCACCCCTGATGTCATTGCATACCTCCTCGATTGTTTGGCGCAACACACGATCGAGGAGGTGTGCAATAACATCAGGGCTGATCCTGCATTCCTGCAGAAGCTTTCGGCCGCAACACGCGCCTTCCATCACCGTCTCCAGCGCTGTATCGACATTCTGAAAGTGAGTAGGCCTACTTTTTGCGTATGGCATTTAAATCTCACCCTCTTGCACAAAGCTGATGAAACTCGCTCCATAAAATTGGTCATGCCTTGTTTACATGATTTGAAATTTTGATTTAATTCCATTGGTAAACAACAGAGTTATTTAGGATCAAAGGGTTTTTTTGACACGTACATGTAGTACATACATGTACATCCATTTTGTATATCTACATTGTAAACCCTAACCATGCTCAATTCAAGTAGATTCTGCATAATTCAAATGATCCCTTGGGGGCTAGGGCTAATCACATTAATTTTGCCTGCATAATTCTCCTCTGAATGTTGTGACCACATTGTACAATGGTGGTGCAAAAAAAAGGAGAGAACAAAAATCATAGGTCTAGATGGTATACATGCACAGTATGTATGTACAATGTACAAGTAGATCTACACAACTTTGAATACATGTACATGAACAAGTGTATGTTGTTACATCAGTTGTCTACATACATGTACATACATGTACATGTACATTGTCAGTTATTGTCCATGTATTTTTGTACCATATCTTTGTATAAATTGTACATTCCCATATTCCATTCATTCGTCACAGAGCCTACATTTATGTAGGCCAAAAACAATACATGTAGTTCTGCTTCCTGTTTCCCTACCAACCCTATTCTGACACCCCCTACCCTAATTTTTTTATGGGAAAAATGAGGGGGGAAAACACCCAAAACCATCAATTTCTACAATTTAGCCTTGACTACATGTACATGCAGACACCTCCATATGATCATACAAAAAAAATTTGGCCAAAAAGAAAAAATATCCTACCTACCTACCCTATTTTCGAATGCCATGTAATCGGAAGCAGAATTTTTTTTGCCTTAATTTCATGTATGTTAATTATTTCTCCCTAAATTACAGGTACACTGATGCTGCCTGTGATCATTGTGATATCAGCATGATCAATCAATAGATTTGATGCCTTAAGGGTTATTATATTTACAATGAGACGAGTAGGTTTTATTGATTTCCATTATTTCGCATAATTTGTAATGATGGGATGCAGTTTGTACAAAACCCTACTAGTCTTCTGCACAATATAACCCTTCAAGTTTTGCAAAGCCAGTTTGCCAACAGTGTTGGCACTCAAATTTCAAATTCCTTCGTAATATTGGTGCAAGATGTTCATAGTGGGGTAATTCATGATATACGGTACAACCTTTGTACAGCCTTTTTGTCCATGCTCAAATAAACTACTTGCACAATTAACGGGGTTGAGATTATCTCTTTAAACAAAAGTACTTTCAAAATTGTTTTAAAAGGTTCGCTGTCACAGAGTAAATGAAGGACTGAATTGCAAAACTTAGGTTTTTTTTCCAAATACAGCTTTTGCGTGTCCCTCACGTTTTATAATCGTAAGTGTTGTTTTGAATGTATGATTTTAATGTTGTATTCATTTTTCCACTTGAGATTAGACAAATACAATCCTTTCTTGGGACCTGGAGTGCTCTGAAACGTGCAAAACTAAATCAGGCCAACTTTACTCACTCTTTTGACAGCAAATTTCACCAAAATTTTCATTGGGCAAAGAAAAGGTCCTCAGTATTTCACCAACCAAGTTTGCAGACTCAATTAAATTCTTAAAGCTATAGTCCATCATTTGCCATGTTTGCAGCCATCCGAAAAGTAACTGGCGTAATTATTGTTGAACAACAAACTTGGTTGAAAGATAGTAAAGGGGACTAAACTCCCTGTGAAATTATTCTTTCTGGGAAGCTGTCTTTTTAAAGTAACCAACGAAAGAAGGCCTATCCAACGGTGCGTCTTAAGACGCACCGTAGGAAAATTTAAATTAGTAGTTCGTTTTGTTATTCGGCGAAGCGCGCAAGCATTGGCACGACGCACACGCGCGTGCGGTTGCTATAATTCGTCCGATCTGTGCGCGACGTCGCGCATAGCTGCAATCCAAAACAATTCAAAACATGATTCAGTAACTTTTGATTTGAAATTGAGATCCTAGAATGCTGTTTTTCTCAGAATATACAGCTGACGCTTAGCTGACACTTCATCAGGGCCCAATTTCACAGCGCTGCTTAACAGTTAGCAGAAAAGTTGTGTTTAGCATAGCAGAAATATTTGCTAACCTTAAGCACTATTTCCTCTGAGGTAAGAATGCCTTTTGCTGTGCTTATGCTTATGGTCTCCAAGAAATAAACGGAGGCTCTGTTAGCAGAAAATCGTGTGCTTAGCAGCGCCGTGAAATTGGGCCCAGGTTAGTTGTTCAGTATACTTCATTAGATTTTGAACACTTTCGTTACTTCAAACGAACAAAATGCACAAATAACAAATGATGGACTATATCTTTAACGGAGACTTTTCTTCAATTTTTTGCACATGAGAGGGAAGTCAAGTGATTTCAAAATGAGGCTAAAGACTAGATTTGTACATGCCCAACCATGGTCCAACTATTTGAACCACAAGCTCGCTAATTGCCCAATTTGGCCGAGGGGCTTCGAGCTAACTCCATGTTTCCTACATGTACCTCCATGCTTGAACAGACCATGAACAGACTGACCTCTTCATTTAGTGTCATTAGTCTGGTGGCTGACTATGGAGAAATGTGTAGTAAATAAAGACTAGTTCCCTGTTCATGCCACATGTTTCTTTTGGCACAGTTGATTGATGCAGTTCTGAAGCAGTGCTGGATTGGTTGTTTCAGGTGCCAGTCTATTTTCTTGTAGGCCTACCGGTATATTGCATGTTTTCAATACCTTAAGTTTTGGGACTCTCATACACAGTATCAAGAGTCCCACATTTTTGGACTAATGCATGCCTGACATGTTTTTTAAAGTTGTTGGACAAATTGAAGTGTTTTCAACAAATGTTTCCTACTTTTGGATCAAACTTGGCAGACTTTTGAATTTTTTTTGTTCAGAGAAATTTGGGGGTAAAACCATGGAGCTAGTATAAAAACCAAGGATGAAGACGAATAAACACAACACACACAAACAAATTGTTATCACCGCGATGTAGTCAGTGAATGCATGACATACATGTACATTATAAACTGAAATTAAAATAAACCACACCTACATTGTACATTGTACCAAAAGACACAATTCAACTGTATCAACAATAGGTGACAATTAAACATGTTATTGTTACATGTAACTCTCCTATGCAAACATATTCTGTGCCAAGTAGTCCTTTCAGTCAAAATCAAACAACTGAAATTTTCAACAGTTAAGAATTGTCAGCCTACATAAAGCAGGATTGACTGGCTGGGACTGTGTATAATGTAAGTAACTTGATACAGCTATGCTTTGACTCCGGGTGAATGATAAAACAGTGGTCAGACTGTCTGTGACAGTTTAAATAGCAGGAGGGTTAAACATGTTAAACTTTAAAAGAAGATTGCTAATGCTTGCACTTTGCAGAAGTTATTTCGGTATGATAAAGACACTCTATTAAAGTCACACAAATGAAAGACATGAAATAGTGGACCTTATTATAACTACACAATTGAATTATTGACCATTTGTCATGTGTTTTTTTCACTCTCATTTTAATAATATTCCTTATATCTCACTTTTTTCAGCATTCATGCTAAATCATAAATGCTAAAGTGGAAACGTGGGAAAGAATGTTGCATCTAGCCCCATAAATGTGGCCAATTTACTGGACTAGGGCCTACCTCTGTAAATAAAGGCCACACTCCACCATGTACAAAAACATGTCGAACTTTGTCAAATTTTCATTTTCACATTTAGGCTTAGTTTGTAGTTTATTTTTGCTTTAGAAGCATACATGTACATTGTACTCACCCTCTGTGTAGGCTAAATTTTTCTGAATGTTGCATCCTGACGCCACCTTTTTCTTGATATAGGGGCCTATTAATTTATTATCTCAATGGACATGATGAAGGTCAGTTGTTGAAAAGATGTGAATCTCGCATGTCTGGGACAATGACTGAAAATAGGTCTTTTCTAAAACTGTAAAAAAAAAATAATGGTAAGGCCAAAAAAAAAAAGTCTCTGGTTTCTGGTATGCGCGTGCGTCGCCGTAGCCATGCGCGTCGGCAAAATGAAAAAGTTTTTTTTTCAATGAAAGATGATGTCTCAAAACCGCCAAACTCACTGGTTTGACTGGAATTCTGCTACTGCACAATTTTAACGTGTTTTTAGATGGGGTTATGGTCGTGAATAAGCTTTATGTGGCCTCTCTGGACTCCCATATATTTGCACTAAGTTTAGTCGGGCACCATTTGCAGTCATCAGCCAACATTTGAAGCAAAAAAGTCAGGTAAAAAAAAAAAAAAAGCCGCGTCGCCACACCACTTTTTGGACAAGCTCCATACCAGAAACCGGAGACTTATTTTTTTTGGCCTAATCCTTACTTTTCATGTTAGGACACGAGTTGTGTTCAAAACTGACTTTTGCAGATGACTCTCCAGTACCAAAGTGACTTTTGCAGGCTAAGTAAAGAAGTCTTTTTTCTTCAGACAAACTCATGTTAGTTGTAATTTTGAAAGCACTTTCAAAGAAAATGTGACTTTCCCACTTTTTTTGCAGTTCGCCATCTTACTTTTTAAATATATTTTCTGTTTGTCATCGTCGTCTTTAACCCCTCATAAATCAAAGCCCTGCCCTCTTTCTACAAAATTAAACCTGCTGTGCTGATATTCAAGAGGTGTCAACTGTCATTCACTCATTGCCAACTGTTCAAATATGCCAAGAATTGAAGAAATATCAGAATGTCACTTTTGATTGTCATTTACTGATTTAGTCAGCTGTTTTGGTGAGTCTTTTAACCTTATATAGGAAAGGGGTCCTATTATTATTTTGGGTAATCCTTACCTTTAAAAGGTAAGGATTACCAAAATAATAATTTATTAAAAAAAAAAATTAAAACTGTTCGATGTATCCTATAAGCGCACAGGTTTTCAGACTGACTCTACGCAAACATCTACGTACGCTTATATCAATGACATAGTCTGGAGCCTTGACACGCCAAACTCTCAAACTGTCGGGTTCAGAAAACACTGTGAAAACATTTTCGTTTTCGCCTGAAACTGACCGAGAATGGAATTTTACCTTTCCTCAAAGTCCACTGGTAATGTAGGGTCATCGCCGACCACAGAATCCATTTTGATTTCGGCACGGTTTCTCGTTTTAGTCCGCTCTCAATCGTTTTTGGTTGATGTCCGTTTCGGTTTGTAACCCCGCCATGTTGGCATAATTATTGTAATCGAGGATCATGGGAAATTTGTCAAATGAGCACTTTAACCATTAACCGACGACTGTTTGAGTCATACGTGGGGTATATTTTGTATGTAGTGGTGCCCGGTGTCATAGGAAAATCATTCAGACGCCTGAAAATCGGACTCCAGTTCCCTTTTATTGGTTAAAGTTTCCAGTGGCGCACCCAGGATTTGGCTTTGGGGCTTACACTTTTTTCAAATTTTTCAGAAAAAAATTTTTAAAAAAATTTCAAAAAAAAATTGCCCAAAATGTTTGGCCGCAGAAAAAAATTAGGTTTTTGTTTGTTTGTTTGGTTTTTTTTGGGGGGGGGGGAGGATGGGGAACTATTTTGTCGTCGGTGGCGCCATTTACACCCCTATTATACTGCTCGAAAAAAAAAGGCCACATACATATCACCAAGGTCAAATCGTGGGACTAACTTGAAACAAATCCCCCCCCCCCCAAAAAAAAAAAAAATGGGTTAAACCCTCTTAACGTGACTGGCCAATTCCTATTAAAATATCTTCACTTAAGGCGAAGTAAAAAAAAAACATGTTTAGCGTCCCCGCCCGCTTCCTTTTTAGAGGCCGCCTCCTTTTTTTTTTTTTTTTTTTTTTATAAGACAAAAATTGATAAATTTTAACGATCTCTGACGAAAGAAATCGTATTTTTAGACTTTTATAGCTGTGGAAATAGTCAATGAGTCCAAGTGGCGGCCATTTTGAAAAAAGCTGGTAACCATCTTGAAAAATAGCCTGGCCGCGTTGTCTTGAAAAATGTGTCGGGCGGCCATTTTGAAAAAAAAAAAAAAGGGCCTCCTCCTTCCTTTTTGTCAAAGAGGCAGGACGCTAAACATGTTTTTTTTTTATTTTGCCTAATAGAAGCAGTATGCACAATACATGTACTACCAATGAGTCCGTTTTTATAGATTCACGCTTCACCGGGTAGGCGAAACTATATGGAATTGGATTTCATGAGACGACGTGCGTTACTTCTGTATCCGTTTCTTATGTCATCCATCGGACTCAGACACAGATTACAAGTTTCTGTATGGGTACAGAAGCCGGGCGTACGGTAGACTGGTCGTGACTGGCCCTCAGCAGCGTGGCCATGGTTAATTCTCCCCAGCGATTGGGGGGAGGGGGGGGGGATATTATGTTTAATCCGTTAACCATGGTCACTTATAGGACTACACATTTCCAGTGGCCGGGGCCGGGGCGACTAGGGTTTCCCCTCCCTGGCTACGCCTATGAGACAGGCATGTCAATCACCACAGACATGTCAATCACGTATACTTTCTAACTTTTTTCTATAAACTGTCAACGAGCGAAGGGCAGGGGGGGGGGGGGGGTGCGAGCGAAGCTGTCCACGTGCTGCATTGCCTGACAACTGAGGGCGCTGTTGCAGTCAAACTTTTTGGCATAATCGCATTGGCCTGAAACACATCTAAAATGACCACAAGTGGATCCAGAACCAACTTTTTTTTCGGAGGGGTGGACATTAATTGGACAAAATCAGAAAGGACTGACCCACCCTATTTGACACTGGGGGCGCCCTTGCCCCTTTTTCGTTCCTTTCTTTCTTTCTTTCTAATATTTCATAAATCCGTAGGGGGACAGTTGACTGAAATTTATAGCTTTCAATTCACTTTCACTTCTCCGGTGTATTTATTAACATTTGGTTTTGGTCCCCATTTAGGCCAAATTTGATGGATTTTGCAATTTATTGTAAAAACGAATTTGTAGCCAATGGCGAAGGCCTTCAAGCTCTAAAGAAATTATATTTAAAAAATGGCATTCCTGAGCAGTTTGTTCATACATGATTGAACGCAGTCGTGACTGCGGACGCCAGCACACCTTTAATTTTAGTACAATAGGCACGCCCCCGCGCCGTAGCAGTTCAAGGATTGGTTGAGACAACTTACAATAGTGACGAATAAAGGATGCTGTCACAGCTTGGTGCGCGTGGAATTTGGAGTCCTTCCAAAACGAAGGTTGTCAATATTTGTGCGATATACAAAAATATCAATTATCGATCTCAATATCAATGCAAAAAAATACTGCTAACAGCAACAGCGTTCAGTTACTGTTTTGACTCTATCAGTATTTTTATTCAAACTTTGATTAAACGGGAGAAATTAAACATAGAAAGTTCAGAATTTGTCCGGGTGAAATTCACGACCAATGACATATCAATGATTGGTCGTGAATTTCACTCGATAAATTCTGAAATTAGCTTGTGGAAATTCACCCCACCCGACTTCGCGACTGAAACTAGAAACAAAAGACGGTTAAAGAGTTATAAATTCATTCATTGGAATCGATATAGATTTTCACTCCGAGTTTCCAATGAAGAGATTCCTTTTTAAATACTTTCATTCTAGAATTTGAATGATTTTCACTCCAAATCGTCAAGGTCATATAGCAAGATAGAAACTTTTGAAGCGCAAGCGCACTATGCCCAGCCCTAAACTCCCAAACTACGCTGCGCTACTGATGAGAGCAAAAGCCATTATTGTTAAATAATCATTACGATTTCACTCGACTGATTTTGTTTCTATTTAGGCATACCAGGTATATTGTCCTCATGTTTGTCCTTTCACTGCGAAATATTCCCTTTCGAGGGTAACAGAAAATCAGTGTTTGGGTAAGCCAGCGAGCTCTACGGATGGTGTATAGCATGCATCACAGTCCTAGCCTACCTCCACGATCAGACGAAGCGCAGGACCCACACACCCACTCGCCAACCTCGGGATCAGCACGGCCGGCTGACAGCTCTCGTCACGGAGAAGATTGCAGCCTGGACACTCACCCGAAGTAGGACAGCAATCAGGACCGCTGCTTGTGGACTGTAGTTTGCAACCTGTCTACTCTGGGTTGAGAATGTCACCCACTTATGAGGCATCTTTCAACAGTTCAATATCACAGACGACATAGCGGGTAAGTAGCGATACTTCTTCTCTTCAAAGGTATAATGGACACCATTTGCAAACTATCAAGAATGGAGCTGTCAAAATATTATCATGTAATATCCTCCTTGATTGTAAGTAAATAATAGGATCAAGCATCCTGTAAAATCGCTGCGCCTTATAGTAGGCCTATGCTGTCAATTTCGAGAAAGTAGGAATTACTATCATTTTCTAGCGATGGTTTGTGGGACCAAACCATCGCGCTTTCAACGGAAACTCATGATATGCTTTACGTCGAGAAATATGAATGCATTTTCACAGTTTTCAACAAAAACAAAAATAATGCGGTTGACATCAGAGCTGAAATTTTGACAGCTTAGGTTTTTTTGATAACCTGCTTCAGATTGATTGTATTGTTGTTCCTTGAATCGGAAAACAAAAAACCGCTACACATTTTTTTTGCAAATGGTGTCTTTTACCTTTAACTGTTGACAATATTAAAACATTTTATCGAAAACGAAAAAGTCATTCTCGACAACCTCATCTGATAAAAGCTTGAAAGTTTAAGTCAAACATAAAAATGGTAAACGGTAAAAAAAAAAACCCGGCAGTCTCGGCGGACAGACGACGTCAAGCATCGCAACTATATAGTGCCTTAAAAAATAGAGATTCACCCGTAGATAGTACCTTCTCACCTACGGTGTTCACTTTTACGGGCATGTTAATTTATGCCAACGTTGGTGGTATTTAGAAATGTAACACTTTTTTGAAAATGGGATTCTAACGTGGGCCTATTAAAGGCATATAGGATCATTTGCATTTACACCCAAATGTAACTTACCGAATTGTTATCAAAAAGCCTACTTCAGTTAAAGATCGTGCTGGTACTATAAACACTCTGTGGAGTTATTCCGTCTGGCTTGTCGACTTAGAAGAAATTAGGGAATGTAGGTGATTTCCAACGATCAGTCAAATTGACTGATTCTTTGGAGGGAAAAAAAGAGTTATTATGACGACATCGTGTTTCGTGATTAAATGGTTGTGTAGAGTGTCGAGCTGATGCTTCAACAATTACAAGTTAGGTTTTGAACATTCTTCTTTGAACTTTGATTGGTGTCATTGTTGGAATCGAACAAAATGCATTGATGATCATGTATGCCTTTAAACTCCAATTCTTAGTGATCATTACAAACGGGGCAGTTTATTTCGTTAGATGGTATGTTCCTAATTTCTGTCTTCAGTAGTCTCAAAAATTCGAGGTGTTTCTCTCAATGTCATTTTTATTGTCAATGTCATGTTTTCCAAATTTGTATCTTATTATTTTAGTCTCTAAACTTTGGGAGGTGTTTTTCTCAATATCGCTTTGCTAATCTCATATACTTACTGATGAAGAATAGTGATCCACTTTTGAAGTGGACTTTCCCTTCAGTGTGTTGAGCTTTAGAATAAGTGAAAGGTCGCGGGTGTCATTGTTACTCACCAAGATTAGCGCACACACCTGCGATTTCAATAGTCAAGTCTGTGAAAATCAAGATCAGTGTACATGTCAGTCCGTGAGGCGATACGAGCGGAAAGGATTACAGATAAACCCCCAAGCTTGAAAATAGTTTCAACAAAGGCTTCTTTTATGTATAGGCAAAGTTGTTACTAGAAAGTCATGCGGAAAGTGCCCTTTTTTAAGCTCACGCCAGGGGGCCGGCGGTGGCTTTCGTATCAATTGAACTGTGAGAATAAAATCAATTAAAAGAGAATTTAATGGTCGAAAAAATGAAATCAAAACACCTTCCTTTAGATGAGTTGACCTTAACACTGTGAGGTGGTCCTCTTTATTGCGACTGCTTAAAAAGTTGGACATGCATCAGTCCAGTCTTTGGCCTCAAATTGATATCACTTGACTTCTCTCTCAGCTGCAATACAAGGGTGAGTAAAAAAAAACGAACCCAAATGTCGGGGCCATGGTTCTAGTGAAGTTCTGCATGTAACACTTTCAAAATCTAGGGTATGAAAGTCCAATTCATAACAAATTGTTTTCGTTTTGCTGAAAGAACGCACACCTTTTTAGTGATCCGTGGACAGAACTTTAAAA